TTATGATAGTATCAATTCCTTACTTTTCGACTCTTGAGCAGAAGCTCCAACTGCTGTGCACTATCATGCCAATTAAGGTAGTATACAATCATATGTTGGTCTCTTCAAATACCAGTTAAAAGATTTTTTCCAACTTACAATGCACCAGAAATATATATATTCCCATGAAATTGCTTATAAAGGTTATCCTTAAGTTGATTAAATAATCATGAAAAAAAAATTCCACAAACTACAAACATAAGTATGAGCTATCTATACCTATTCCATATCAAAGAAAATTTAAACTTGAGGTACTGTGAGCAATGAGCTCACTAAATGATACCCCTCGCCTCCCATATGAATATAATGGCAGTGTCCATGTTTTGCTCTGGAAAATCCAAAATATATCTCAGATCAAAAAGTAAAATAGGAGGTCCACAGGCACAATGGCAATATGTAATAAAGATTCTGAGAACAGGGATTTTCCACTACCCTGTGTAGGGCTGAATATGGGCCCCATTCCCAATTGCAAAACCCCTCCCTTTTTTCCCAAAAATGAACTGCCTATGTTCAATTTTTGAAAGAAGAACTCAAGAAGGTAACCTGAACATAATTCACAAAATACAAAACATGTTCAGGTTTGGAAATTTGAATGATATGAACAGAATTTTGAAGAATCTTGGGTAAAACTTTATCATAATGATCAATTCTCTGATTCATAGTTCTGAATAACTAAGTAAAAGATCTATTTTTATTCATCTTAAGTATTTATTTCTTGAAAAACATCATACAGTTAAATTTCCAAATAAATGATAAAATGTCGTAAAATTCCCAATTCCAAGAGCCTGGGCACCATTCCCAAAAGTGAGTGGAAAATCCCAGGTGAAAGTTTCATTAAGTATGAGAGGAGTTGCGGATAAGAGATGGGTACCCCAAAGCATAACAGACGGACGGATGGATGGACGGACGTACAGACAGCCGGACATACCAATTACTATATACCCTCCCGCTTTTCAAGCGAGGGGTATAACAATTAGAAAAAAATAATCAAGTCACGGTTGTTTTAAAAATAAATAATTTATGCATGACTGCTTCATGGATCAAAAGATGTATGGACAAGAAGACCATGTGTACATATAAATTCAGATACCAGTAAAAACACATGGTCTGGTGACTTTTACTTAGACTGGTTCACTGCAACTGATATTATACAGTTATGGAATGGGTACGAGGGAAATAGCAAATTTATGGTTCCCCAAGGGAGGAAACTATTTCCTGAGGCGGCGAAGCCGCCGAGGGAAATAGTTTCCTGCCGAGGGGAACCATAAATTTGCTATTTCCCGAGTTCCCATTCCATAACTGTTTTATTATACCGAAACAATCATAGTCGTAGTGCTGGGTATCGCGACTGAAAAATCGTATCGCGATATATTGCAATATTATATTTTGTATTGCAATATATCACGATATAAATATTTAATAATTTTTTGCTTTTCGTCAAGGTTAAATGAAAACACAAACTCAAATTACATGTATTTTCGAGTTGATATTCCAATTGCCTGATCGCGTTATGTCGGCGAAAGTGGCAAAATAATATTTTTTGTAGCACAACTTGTTGAATTCAATTAGCGGGTAAGTTATAACTCTCAGATTCAGCTTTAACATGAAGGGGTTTAATATAACTGTTGTCGTCATTTCGGTTTTGAAAGAGATGTGTCTCTTGATCATACTTCACGTCGCTTGCCGCCATATTTTACCTTGAAAAGGGCAAATAACTCTTTTTGTAACAATTTATAGCATATCGAACCCGAACCGGTATTCACAAAAAATACCGTGATACGTATTGTGAAGAATGAAATTGGGATACACCGGTTAACCGGTAATATCGAACAGCACTACATAGTCGATTTAATTTTTTTACAGATATTCCGAAGTTAAAAAAAACACAAAAGAAGAGGCATAATTACAAATGCATGCCATTTAACACATTGTATGATAAGTAATGCATCGTGTCCTAAAACAATTAAATTATTTTTAAAAAGTATTTTCACTGACATTTCGAAGAATTATCATTGTCTTCATTTTGCTAAAATTCAAGTATGATTTTGGCATCGCATTTCGAAATGTTTTGACGTCATAGTTACATTGCTAATAACGTGACGTCACATACTCGAGATTCCTTGAATGCTCCGCCTACTGAACACTTTGATTGGTTAAAATTTAGGGATGTGCGATTTTATCGGTAAACCGGTATATTGCGATTTTTTGGCACGCGATACGGGAACCAAAATACCGGTATTTTTACATTATTAAAAATAATCCGGAAATAAACCATTTAATCGATCAGATTTTAAAATTACTATTACAGGAAGTTTAAATGGCGACTTCTGAAGACATCGAATTAGTCAAATTCACCAGAGGTAAAACAGATGTATGGAAATACTTCCTCGTAAAAAAAGACAAGAAAACAGGAAAAGTTACAGAAAACATAGCCGTTTGTTCAAAGTGTAAAATTGAAGTGAAATGCCCTGGTGGAACTACCTTCTTCTTGTCAAAAATGCCTTGCAGTTAAGAAACTGGAAAATATTCTAGCCAAAATTAGAAGAATTGTAGCCTTTTTTCACAGAAGCAACATTGCAGCTGCTTTGCTCAAGAATACAGCTGAAAGTTTATCACTGCCTCAACACAAATTAATAATGGACGTCCGCACAAGATGGAATAGTGCCTACGATATGATCTCACGATTTCTCGAAATGCAGGTAGCAATATTTGCTACCTTGAAATCAAAGGAGTTAGGAAAAGAAAGAGAAGCAGAATTAAAGTCTTTCCATGATGATGACTTTACTGTGGCAGAGGAAGTGGTCCAGCTGTTAAAGCAGTTTAAGGATATAACAACACTCCTGTGTTCAGAAAAATCTCCCACTTTGTCCATTATCTTGCCATTTCACAATAAACTTCTGCACAAGCTTCGTGAACAAAATGATGATACCCCAACAGTCCGCAGCATGAAAAATGTTATGTTTAAAGACTTGAAAGAAAGATATAATCGGATTGAACACACTTTACGTATTGTTTCTGCTTTGGATCCGCGGTTCAAGATGCTTCCATTTTTATCAGAAAATGACAGATCAGCGGTGTACTCTGATATTGTGTTAGAAGTCTGTAGAGTACAGAGTATAATCAAAGTGAAAAGAGAGAAAGAAGACAAAGATGCTGAATTAGATGATGTTGAAGTCCTGAATGAGCCACCCCTCCCCTCACTGTCTTCAGATTCTCCAGCTGTTAGCCCTGTCAAAAAAAGAGTCAAAGCAGGAGGTTCTTCCTCTACTTGCGGTGATTCTATGGAATCTGTGCTCCACAGCTTTCTTGGTGATGTATACATTACTGATGTTGAGCCTCCAAAATCACCAAGTACGATTGCTGAGCAGCAGGTGAATGAATACAGAAGTGCCAGAGCAATACCTCTTCAGGAAAATCCTCTTTCTTGGTGGAAAGAAATTGAATTTAAATTCCCACTTATTGCTAAACTTGCTAGAGCATACCTTTGCATTCCTGCCACAAGTGTCCCATCGGAAAGAGTTTTTTCAACGGCGGGAGATATATTAAATGCCCAGAGGGCACGTCTAAAGCCTAAACATGTTGACAATTTACTTTTCTTAAAAAACCAGAAGTCTCTGTCGAGACTGAAGCTCTACTGGTTTGTACTTATAGCAAAGGAAGAGAAAAGTACTTAAGCAGTTGGAAATTGAAACTTTTCAACAGCAATAAATAGAATAATGATCCTTGATTTTTAAGTTTTGAATGAAAACACATTAAATACATTATAAAATGATTGATTTTTCATTTATTCACAACAACAATGAAAAAAAAATAGGAATAATAATCAATAATTCCATATAAATCAAAGAAATAGTATGCTTATAAATATCACAATATATCGCGATATTTTTATAAAATATCGCGATAATATCGCGATACGAAATTTTTGGCGATACCCATCCCTATTAAAATTACTAATAAATATTCATGAGGGAGTTGTCCCAGGGAGTAGCTCTGATTTTCCAGGGAGTAGTCTTCAGTTGAGGGTAGTAGTCTCTTCTCGGGGAAATAGACAGTTTTATGGTATTAATTATATATAGAGTAATTACAGCAGAGGTATAATAATGAGTTTTATGACATATATAAGGTATAGCTGTGACCAAAGCAGTTTACATAGTCACTATATAATCTGTTGAAATGGAAATGATAAACAAATTAATGAAATTATATAAGGCCTAAAAAAAAAATAAGTTTGTTTCCTGTAACCCGACCGACTCATTCAAATTACCCCCGGGTGGATTTTTTTTTCTGACAAATGCCAAAACTTCGTTTGACAAATCATTAAAAAAAGAAAATTAGCTTGTAGCTTAAATTGAGACATAAAATATGTCAACTTATTTTACATTTACCTTATTTATTAAGAGTAATCATTATTATAACAACTATTTCCCCCCACAACTTGCTGAAGTTCGTTTTCTGCCTCTTGGCAGCCATTTTGGATGCCATGTTGGGTGTCCACTGTAAATATGACAACTAGTATATTCAGTCCGGGGATGTTTGACCATTCATAAGCCAAAAAAAAAAAAAAAAAAAAAAAAATTCCCGACCTACCGACCCTTAATTTTTGGGGAATGTTACAGGAAACAAACATATTTTTTTTTTAAGCCTAAACAAGAGATGTTTGTAAAACACTTATGCCCCCCCCTCCAAATAAGAATTTTTTTAAGTCCAAGGGGCATAACTCTGTCCAAAATAGTCCGATCATATGCAAAAACAGAACATGATCTAAATATTCTTATGATAATTCCGTGTACCATATTTCATTCCAATATGTGCAACCTCTGCGAAGAAAATGAACGGAAACTGATGGTGGACCGACCGACAGACAGCAACAAAGCAATATGCCCTCCGGCCTCCCTTCTTCGAAGAAGGGCATAAAAATATAGACAGAGGCTTAAGCAATTGGATTCAATAAAACCTACCTTTAGAACCTCTTTTCTTTTTCTTCTTCTTTTTTCCATCCTCAGCAGCAAGATCTAGGCTTTGTGAGATGGGCCGTCCCTCAGGCATACCGTCTACTGTGTGCTTGGTGCTAGAGATGAGCTCTCCGATAGAACTCCCCACCTTATTAAGCTGGTCCAAACCCTGGCCAAACGGGGGATCACTCCCATACCCTCCACGCTGATAACTCTTTTTCTCAATACGTACATGTTCACTACTAGTGCTGCCAATGTAAGGGGAATGTCTGCTATACATAGGAAAATTAATCTGTTCATCAACATCCCGTAGAGAAGATCCCGATCTTTCTTTAAGTGCCCTCTGACTTTTTTCAAAAGAGAAAGTTGAGGTGCTAATGTTTTCGTAATCCTCACAACTTTCGCGGGTCATTGGTGTGTAATAGTTTTGATGACGCCTTCGGTCACTCCTGGCGTACAGCCTCTGGTGAAGATCTCTGGAATCAGAGTCACTGTCGTCATCAGTTTCAAAGTCATCGTCATCATTGGGAATTGTCCGGCGAGAATAAGTCCTCATCTGAACTCCCTGAAATGTTGGTTCACTATCACTGCCCTTACCACTCCGCGGCGATTCGATGTCATTTTTATCAGAATCCACCTCGTGAGCTTCATCATAGTCCAGATGATAAGTTGTTGTTGGTGTGATTTTGACGGTAGAGGGGTAGTAGTCAAAACACCCTCGCTCATCACCTTCGCTATCCTCGTGCTCGGAGTAACTTCCAACACTGGTGGTTGTCTTACTAGAATTACAGATACCAGAATCATTGTCAGTGCGTTTATCAACTTGTTCCATGTCTATGATACACGACTCTTGGCGTCTGCTGTAAGATGTTGACGGGTACGCCATTGGACAACCACCGAATGGGCGGAGCTGAACCCTGTCTAAGTCGTCATCGTTGTCCTCACTCGATGCCCTGTCCTCTGTTTTGTACATCCCGGTGGCAGTCACATCATAGGACATTTTGTCCCTGTTCTTTGCCAGGCTAAAGTTGCGGGCTCTCAACACTAAAGCACTGAATTCGTCCTCTGGATAATCAGCAATAGCACGTGCCCTGTCTTTTATCAACTCTACCTGAAAAAGACATAAAAATGGTTCATTGATGGGTTGTTTGGCAGAATAAACGAAATATTAAACTTTTAATGCATTTTATATTTGTAAGGGTTTTCCCATTTATGATACCATCTGAACAAAGCTTATTTAGCCTGTATATAAACAGGTTCATCACATAACCATAAATTGTAATTTCACAGTGAATCATAAGTGGTCAACAGTGAACATGCTTAACACATTCAAATTTTTTTTTGAATAAAAAATTTTCATATGTTTGAAAATATTTGCAATAAATTGCCACAAATGTAAAAATATGTAATAATAAGGTATCGTTTTAAACATTGATTTGGATGTAAATATGAGTTAAATTGGTATGTGATCAAATGTATCACAAAGGGTTTTGATCATATGACCAACCCATAAAAACACAATTCCTGATAATAAGCTTTGCTATATAAAAAAATGCAAATATTCTTTAATAAAAATTTCTGTTGTGCAGTCTGCCCATTATTTTTTTTTCATGTCAAGTACTAGTCTGAATTTCCTCTGCAATAGTCAATTGGCCATGCAACACTTTTCTACATCAACATCAAACTAATGCTGATTAATGTAATATGAATCCTGTGGACTACAGTATAATTGATTATTTTGCTTACAGTACAAGCAACCTGGAAACTACAATAAAGTATAAACAAAATATTTCCCAGTCCTTTATAAATTGATTGTGTGTATGAATGCTTTGTTGTTTTACATTCGTCATATGTATATTATTAGGTACTTTTATATAATCATTTAATAAATACACATTTGTAATGAAAGTGGAGTCATTAAAACCAAAAATTTCCATAACAAGCATCCAGTAGATTAGACAATTTGGTTCAAGTAAGAAAAGGGGGGGGTCACCTTTCCATGGCCTTAAATTAGCAGCATGAAATATCTGTACATGCATTTAAATAACCTTCTTGATATTATTGCAAATATGACTAAATATCACTGATGTGGGTCCATGTGGTCAGAATTTTCTCGTCTCCATATTTGAGAGCTTTCAACATGGGTGCAGACATGTTGGATACACTGCCGCCTACCTTGAAAATTTTGCCCTACTTACACTGCAGCTAAGCACTTACGGTTTCAACTGAAATGGAGTCATTTGGACGCTTTTGTGCTATAATAGGTGCTGAAACATAATTCTACAACAAAGAATGAATATTCCAGACACGTCATATACGGCTACGGGTTTACAATTTGTTATTCGACTACACCTAATAAATATGTACACAGGTCTGGCCCACGCAAATGTTTGCCGATTTCACAGTGAAAGGGAGATCACTCCGATTTGTTGATCTCGTTCCGACGTTTGTTTTAACATTCAAGTTAAAAATATATAAAAATAGCAAAAAAATCAAGTTTTATACTGTTGTAATCAAATTAAATATTTCATAGTATTTGTCCTTCTTATTTTCTATCGAGAAATGAAGAAACAAGACCTAAATATTCACTTTCAAAGTAGAAAAATGCGTGTTTACCTGAGTGTCAGGGAGATTTTTTGGCAATATCGAATCGTAAATGCTGAAAAATTGCTCAGGGTCTTCGTTTCTTATTGCCGAAGCAAGGAGAAATGAATACTTTTCGTTTTCTTCCACATTTTCGGCGTCGTTATCCATTTTATCGAGAAGCCATTTTGAAAAAAATTCGTCTCCAAGAACAAACCTCGGGAATCGCGAGAATGTTTCAGGCGCGCGAAATTTGAAAATGTTTTTTCCGAAGGGAATGAAAAATTGCTGGATCCGCCCCTTAACAATAGCCCCTTCTTCCCCGAGACGATTATTTAATAATTTATGCCTGATACAAAATATAAAATATCAGTTGGAATAGATAAATTCAACAAAAGATACCAAAGTGGAGAAATGCTTTATACACAAAACATAGCCCTGCGGAACTCAATTTTAAAGATTTTTCCGAGGTGGGGGTGGAGTCCCTACGGGTTTCTCTACATCAAACGCGACAGACGTGATTTCACGACATAAACCAAACATAAATAAATAAAAAAGAGGCCCATGTGCTACTACACTCAACTGAGTCAATTTGGTCCTGCTGTTCCTCGTCAGATTCTCTTCCTTGTAATACTTTGGCCCCTAAATAGGGGATAGACACAATCGTGTCCCCATCCTAAATCTGGGACTATAATTTGATAATTAAGAATCTTTACTACGTTAGGAAGCTTCAATGTAAGTTTTAGCTTTACAAGGCCATTTATTTTTTTTAGGAAAAGTTTTTCAAAGATTTTCAGAGCATCCTCGCAATGCCAGGGGTCCTGAGTCAATAAGTTCCAACGGCAACTCGTTGACTCAGGACCTATTGTAGCCCCAATCTAACAGGCCACGGGGGGCATGGTTATCTGACCCGGGCGATGGTTCTTTCATACATGTCCAAGAACGAATTCGACTGCCGTCGATATCGACAATATAATGTCGATATCGTATCGATATCGATCCTCATCAGTAGCCTTTTTCACAAAAATTCTTACGACTAAGATTAAAATTTGATAGCTCTGATATTTCTTCGGTTAATAAAGAAAATTATTATTTCAGACGAATAATTCACAGTTTACTGCAATGTAAAAGAAATATAAGATTTTTTGTAACCTACTATACAATTTAGGTACACATAGAAGAATTGGAAAAAATAATCCTAGTCGTAAGATTTTTTGTGAAAAGGGCTACAGCATTATTAATTGGAAATAATTGATAAATATTTAGACTCGGTCAATCTACACTGTAGATACCCCCTCTTCATCATACTCAGAGCATGCGCTTGAGTAGAAAAAGTTGGGAAACAGATAAAAACCATAAGCAGAGATATTACTACATACTAAAAAAATATAAGGAAAGCTGACGACAGGATATTAGCTGAAATCATTGTTAGTTATACATGATTTAATTGTTAGTTGGCCTGTGTCTTTTAAAGTCAATAAAAAACCTAAATATGAAGCAGATGTGGCAGACTCTGTAATTGTTGTGTACACTGGTTTAAATCGAATAGACCTTTTAAAATAACTATTGTTTAAAATTAATAAAACGCCAGCGATATAATTATATGAATGTCGAGTTGAAGGCCATGAGAACTATTTTCTTCTTCTCGTGTAATTTTAAAAAAATAAGTTCAGCTTCATAGGAATACAAAAAAAGTCAGCTAGTAAAGAAACACAATTAGTTCCCATTGGAAGTCCAACAATTTGTTGGAAGCTTTGGACTCCGAAGAAGAATATTATCAATGAAGAACTCCAACATCTTCTCAATATCAACTTCGAGTGCTTGATTGTGTTTTTTTTACAAAGTAATTTTGTTGATGTCCAATCAAAATATGTGAAAATTTCCGAGTAACGTTTTTTTTATTCAGTGAAGAAGCAGACGTCTATTACACCAAAAAGCCTTGTCTTTACTCTGTACTGAGAAATGGTGTAGAAAAACCTTACCCGCTTTTAATGCACATAGCACCGTGCATAACCCCACATATGGGGGCGCGGAATGGTGCCATCCGGGAATGAGGAATTCGAAGCGGAATTTGCAATCTTCGTTGACCTGATTAGCTTTCCGACAGTGATTGAGATGAAAATAATCCTAAATTCACTTACGGCGGAACACAGTGATATCCCAACTTACTGGTACTCGTTTCCCAGCTCGGGATTCGTCCTAGAAATACCTGAACACTTCTGCAATATCTGGCAAGAGCATGCGGGAACGCAAATTTGACCGTTTCTTTGTGAAAATTGGTGCCTTATATATCACTCAGCTTTATTTGATTTATGTGAGGGACTTTTAGATATAAATTTGCTCAAGACTCTCAAATGTTTCGGAGAATTCCACCTCAAATAAAGGGGACAGACTTCAATATAAGTGTGTGGCACTCAGGGGTGAAGATTTTAGTGGAGGCTGGGGGAAGGAATAAATCTCTAACTAATGGAAAGGAATCGTTTCTATAAAAACTATAGTGATTATACAAGCATTGAATTGCTACAATAAATTTATTAACTCTCTCATAATTTCATAAACCTTTTCCCTGAATAAGTGCACTTTAGCGCATATTTAAACTGTTTACTAGACATCTATTTGTGTATTTCGATATAATTTAATTTTAGTTGTAACACGTCATTTGATTAGATAAAAGATTTAATTCATATTGTATCACATAACTTGGCTACGTCACAATGAGCTACGACAAAAACGTTTACACTCCGCTTGACTTTATTTTTAAAATTTGCTCAGTTTGAAGCCATTTTTGGAGGAAAAAAAATGTCTCTTTGTTTATACTGAAATTACAAGTAGAGCTTTTTTAAAAAGCTTCCCGTCTTTAGCAACAATCTTAAACTGTAAACTGATCTACACCTATCAGGCCGTATAATTCTTTTGAATTTCTTGATTTTGTATTTCTACATTAGCTTTTTACTGGCATTAGCCCTACCACGGTTGTCGCTCGGTCATCTCCGTAAACTTTGACTCGCCGAGAGCTTTCGGCAAACCTCGGCTGATTCCATTTCCTTCTTCAAACAAGAAAGGGGAAAAGAATAATAACAAATTGTAAAGCCTGTAAGTTGTAAGCAATAAAAATCAAATTTTATTTATAATGAAGTTAAAGAGATCTTTTATTTTTTGCTATACAAAAAATCATGTTATTAGGAATTAATTACTGCTGATTTTGTTGTTCGTTTTGTCATTTTTTTTTTAAGATTGAAAATCTTGCAAAATTGTTAAGTCGTACGAAAATTAGATCATCAGAAAGTTATCTCCCTTGCCTTGAACAGCATTTCAACCAATTAAATAATTGAAAATTTTCTCATCATGCATTTTCTACCAATCACAAAAGAGAGGAAGTGCATAGTCCGAAGACTGTAAAAAATACCGTCAAGGAAGACGGTAATCAGGAATGAAGCTTAATGTAACCCATGTTATATGATACATGTATATACATAAATTGGTCCAAGTTATGTTTTATCGTATATTATAGGTTAAGATAAGTTTCATTCCTTAAATATACTTAAGGTATACATATCTTTCTTTAATTTACAGTAAATAGAAACTTGAGCAATAGTTAAGAGTACATATTACGTATACTACTTGTTAGTCCGTTATTTATACACTGAATTGACGAAGGATTTTCCAGATCATGACAAGGGGCATACGGCGGGTGTGACCGGTCGGCAGGGGATGCTCACTCCTCCATGGTACCTGATCCCACCTCTGATGTTTAGCAGGTCCGTGTTTGCTCTGCTCCTGTTTTGTATTGCCTTATGAACTTTTGATCTTGAATACTGTTCATTATCTTCATATGTTCATGTATATAGAATTTATTTAGAATTATATGTACGCGTGTTCATGCAGTAAAGTTAATTAAATATACTGACTATTGAAAGGAGAGGAGCTAACAAGGCGTTCAGAATACCCATAGCTTCAAATATATAAAAATCATATTCAATTTGTGAAAAGAATTTCTATAGAATAAATTTTTCATTTTCGAAATTAAGGTAAACAATTCCTTTCTGAGAAAAAAATTCTCGAATAAAAAAATTATTCACGACCTAGCTGTTATTGTAAATGGTATTCGTGTAATAAAATGGAAAAAAGGCCCACTGCAATCGAAAAATTGTGTTTAAGTATGAGAAAATGAACCCTTTTGGCCTCTTAAGTGTACTAGCATGTATGCTATTTGATTGGCAAATAATTTCAATCTGTGCCAGATGTTTGCAAATTGTGGAGATTCTTCAAAAGAAAGGCACCAATTTTCACAAAGAAACGGTCAATTTGCGTTCCCGCATGCTCTTGCCAGATATTGCAGAAGTGTTCAGGTATTTCTAAGACGAGTCCCGAGCTGGGAAACGAGTACCAGTAAGTTGGGATATCACTGTGTTCCGCCGAAATATTAGAGTGTCTTGAGCATAATCATATCTAAAAGTCCCTCACATAAATCAAATGAAGCTGAGTGATATCAAATTTCACAAAGAAACGGTCAAATTTGCGTTCCCGCATGGTCTTGCCTGATATTGCAGAAGTGTTCATGTATTTCTAGGACGAGTTCCGAGCTGGGAAACGAGTATCACAATCTAATTAAAATCAGACTTCTTAGATCCGCGCCGTATACACTCTTACGCAGAGTTTATACGGCGCGGATCTAAGAAGTCTGATTTTAATTAGATTGACGAGTATCAGTAAGCTGGGATATCACTGTGTTCCGCCGTAAGTGAATTTAGGATTATTTTCATCTCAATCACTGTCGGAAAGCTAATCAGGTCACCGAACATTGCAAATTCCTCTTCGAATTCCTCACCCCCGGGTGGCACCATTCCGCGCCCCCATATGTGGGGTTATGCACGGTGACATAGGCATCAGGGGAAGAAGCTGCAATAATTCTGTGATTTATGACTAAGCCTGTTTCTTAGTTTCTAACTTTAATCATCCAAAATCTAAGTGCACATGTAAGAGATCAGGGAATCAAGTTTTTATGTTGAAAGAGACACTCCAAATCACATTAAAAATAAGAATTGGCTCGTGACAACAATGATTCCTATGAAACAGGAATTTAGAAAACCAGGTTTTTGTAAACAGTGTCTTTATAAATACTCTCAACTGGTCATCAATATGAAAATGAAAATAATTTGAAAAGTATATAATTACATGAATTTTTTTTGGTTTTAAAAAATTGCAAATTTTTATTGAAAAAAAAATTACACAATGAAAAGAAGTACAATATAGGTTTTTTTTGTCTAATTTATTTGGGGGGGGGGGGGGGTATTTTATATTCATATTCTAAAGTTTTGATTTCTTATTAATTTTTTTATAACAAACAAAATATATATGTGTCTTTTTAGTTTTTTAATCGATGGATATAATTGCATTACAAGGTAAATTAGATGCATATTAAGCTCATCAATTGATTTTTTTTAAAATCAGGATGTGTCCGTTTTCATCAGGATAGTTCCTTTTCACTTGTTGGCAAAACCGGAAACGAGGAGTTCCGAGAGAAATTTTGACAACAAAATCGATTACATGTTGGAGAATAACTGACTGCTTGGTCATATCTTTAATAAGATTGCACTAGCATCGTCCTACCAAAGAACTAAGGGTGAAAATGACAGAGAACATTTTTCTGTTTATTCCAAATATCGTTGGTAAGTGTGTTAAATCTAGTTAAGTGGAGTACCGAAAGATTTATCAGCTCACTTTTGATTAGTCTATCAGGTCCAGTCCAAAGACTATTTCTACCTACGTAGCTATAAAAGCTACGTATGTATTTAGACCTACCCAAAGTAGCTATTTTTACCTACTTTCTGCTTTACTTGCATTATGTGGGCTGGCCAAACAGAGGAACGGCGCAACATGGTGAGCACTGAATTTCTTGTTACAGTCACACTGATGATGGATATGACAAAAATTTGGCCAAAAAATGATTACTTCGTATATTATCAATTTTGCATAGAAACTAATGTAAAATTGCCGATTCAGGTAGTAATCGTTTTTTGGTCAAACTTTGTCCAATTTGATTAAAATATCCTTTATCCGCTCCTTTGTTTTTTTTTATTGTCGCTACACTCGTGTAGCGACAATAATAAAAGCATTAAGGAGCGGATCGAGGATATGATTTTAATCTGATTGAAACTTTGTCATAATCATCATTAGTGTGACTGTATCAAAAAAGTAATGGTATTTACCATGTTGCACCGTTCAGTACGTTTTTTGGCCACAAAATGTAGATAATGCAAAAAGTAGGTAAAAATAGCTACTTTGGGTAGGTTTAAATACCTACATAGCTATTAATAGCTACGTAGGTAGAAATAGTCTTTGGACTGGACCTGATGAAGCCAGGCACAGCACAATACCCTGATAAAGGAATATAGCTTGATTAAGCTATATAGCTTTATCAAGGTGTTACAAATACCTTGATCAAGGTATTTTATGCAATGAAAATTCAAAAATATTCTTTAAGAATTCAATACTGAAAGACGAGTTCTGAGTTGTTGTCATTAAATTCACTCATACATGTAAAGTACTCAAACACAAAGAAATCAGTATAAATGCATATCTTGTGAGGAGACGTTCTTCTATGCTGTGTTTTTATACCAGAGTGCTTTTCATGCAGGACTGGACACACAGACCACAACTCATAATTCGACTCTTGAATTTAAATTTTTAAGATTTTTTTAAAATTTTCTTTACCTAAAATACCTTGATCGAGGTATTTGTAATACCTTGATAAAGCTATATAGCTTTATCAAGCTATATATCTTTATCAGAGTATTGTGCTAGACCTGGTAGCTGTATACTGTAGATTGAATAGCTTTATTAAAGCTGTTTAAAATAGCTTGACAAGGCGATTTTAATTTTACCAGTTTATGGGAATGACTTTTTTAAAAAAAAACAACAAGAATTAGATATAAAAATGTGATTTTGTTCATTTGCACTTAAGGCAGGACCAGTACATTAACTAGTACAGACAATACAAGTACTGATGTAGCTATCTACTCTAGCCTTTGTAGGGGTGGTTTGTTACCATGGTTATTGATTGTTCAGTATTTTACCTGTCCTAAGTCCCCTTCATGCTCTGAGACACCAGAATGTATTTTTTATATATGAGACTATTTAGATAAGTTTCAATCTGTTGAGATTGATTGAAACACTAATTTGATGAAACAAGAATATCAGCAGTCTCGTTTAAAGTCATCATTCTGTAAGTTCTATGATCGATACAATGACCTTGTCAGCAAATACAATTTATCATTGAGTCAAATTCTGACTGATGTTTTCATACTAATTGTTAGTCCATTATTTATACACTGAATTGAGGACAGATTTTTTCATTATTTCCTGATCATGACAAGGAGCACACAGCAGATTCAACAGTCAGTAGATGATGCTCATCCTCCATGGCACCTGATCCCACCTCCCTGATGTTTTGGAGGTCCATGTTTACTCTGCTCCTATTTTTTTTTTATTGTTTTATGGATTTTTGATCTTGAATACTGTTTGTTATCTCATGTTTCACTGACACTTTTTCTGTAATAAATTTTAACCCCATAGCATGATACAGTAAAATACAATTAAAGCAAACATGTTGACAGCAAATTGATTTTCAATACACATGGTATATAAACATATTGTTATCTTAAGGGATAGAAGGAATAACATGTATAACAAATGAAAAATGCATATCCCTGGTACTTTGCTATAAGCATGTTTATCTGTTACTATAACACAAGGTATCAAATTCAGCATTATACATGGAGTACCTCCTCGCCAGAATCACAGTTGAGAAAAATCACTGGCAAACTGATAAGTAGCATACTGTAGACTTTTCAATAATATATCAACCACATATGGCATGCATGTCTTTATTTTCATTTATTTTTATAAACATCATCCAAACCCTGCTGGCCAACTGAAGAACTTTTTTTTCATTGTTATATTGTTCTATACATCTTATAGATCACACTATTCCATTCACGCTATTCCATGCATTTGATATGGATATGTAATTGTATTACTGTCTGTTTTAGATTACCTGCGGGTCATCACAGCTTTTATTTCCTTCTATTACCTGCCAACAGACCCATGGAGCGCCTCATTTTGGTATTTACTGAGTGGACTGTTAGATGCCATTGATGGACACTTAGCCAGAATGCTGGACCAAGGTAAAGGATTGACTCATCTATCTGTTTATTTGATATGTAAAAGTTGTATGGTAAATGCTGCTGTCAAAGTTTTTTTCTGATTGAGTATTTGAAAGATAAATTTCTGTCTTTACATCCTATTTTGGGATTCTCTGACATTTTTGATACTGCCTAAACTGCTTATTTGTTGAGTATTTTTCCTTTAAATTATATATCCTATAGCTTTACCAAAAAAAAAAAAAGACAGCCACTTGACATTCTTCATGTTTACTGATTGATGGAAATTTTTACGAAACAGCATATGAGAAATGCTTTTAGTGATTCAGTGGAAAGTGTGCATAATAGTTAACTCATTAATCATGTTAAGAAAATGTAATTAATTGACAATCTATTGTTTAAAATCTAGTACATGTAATATTAAGCAATATTTTAGTGGTTATATAAATGTGTATCTTCTATTATTTCTGAATTTTAGTACGAAAAAGGATATGGTCATAATATTGGCACAGGTACCTGACGTTACATATTTTCTTATAAAAAAATAACCCTTGCCTAAACCTAATAACACAGTTTACACATTAGGTATGGGTTATTTTTTGGCATACTGTAGAAGTATTTTTTCCGCATGGTATTAATTTATGCTATGTACGCGGTCACAAATTTTCCGCGGAAATTTGTCCACGCATTCTTAATATAAATGTAAGACATATAGTGACAGCCTAGGAAATCCACGTAATTTTCCACACGCGGACTAAACAGAAATGGAGATTCCACAGAATTATGACCCCGTGGAAAAAAGTACATCTGCAGTATAAGAAAAATATATAAAATCAGGTGCCTGTGTACATTAGATACTTTTTAATTGATTACAGCAACTGAATATCTGAGACATTGCTTTATTATATGTAACAGGAAGTAAGCTTGGAGCCATGTTGGACATGCTAATTGACCGCTGTGCCACCATGTGTCTAATGGCTGCACTGTGTCACTTCTACCCAAAGTACATGTTGTTCTTCCAGTTTAGCATGGCACTAGATATCACTAGTCATTGGTTCCATGTCCAAAGGTTGGTACTGCAAACAAAAGCCTTTTTTCGAAAGATAAAAGAAACCACAATTGAGTTTTTCAACAATAATTCAGAAGACACTTTTGTGGAAAAATAAACATTGTAATTTTGGAGATCTCAACAGATTCATAATTAAAAAATATATTTTCTTTAAATGGAGAACCAAGTTAATGATTTCTGAAAACACTGATAAACAACTAAAAATTGCTTTAATACTTTTCATTCAAATTTGAGATTATGATTTAGAAATTTGATAAGATAAACTTGGTATTGTTTGTACATATTTATTTAATTTGATGCATTACTTTTACAGTTCTTTGATGAAGGGAGGAGAAAGCCATAAGAAGCTTGACTTGTCAGCCAATCCAATCCTTAAACATTATTATCACAATAGGGTGAGTAGCTTTCATTGAGTAACTGTCAGCCAACCCAATCCTAAAACACTATTATCACATTAGGGTGAGTAACTGACAACTAACTGTCAGTGAATAATTGTCAGTCAATCCAAACCCAAAACACTATTATCACAACAGATTGAGTAGTTTTCGATGAGTAACTGTCAGTCATCTCAATTTATTTCCACCAGATGGTTTAAACAAATTACTTGTTGTCCCCGGCGTTGGTGAAAGTGGAGGGACATTAAATCTCATTTGTCTGTCTGTCCTTTAGTCAGTCTTCCTGTCTGTCACAAAAACTTTAACCTTTGTCATAACTTGTTAGCTCTACTGGTCAGAGACCAGAAGAGCTTATGCTATAGGAAGGTGTCTGTCGTCCGTCCGTCTGTCTGTCTGTCCCGTCTGTCTGTAAGCAATTTTTCAAAACGCTACTCCTCCTACAGTTTGGTCTGATTTCAATATAACTTGGCACACAAGTAGACTACACTAAGATACATAAGATAGTGCATCAGTTTTTGATTTCCATGAAAAGTGTTGCCATGGTAACTAAGAATAGAATTTTCTGTGAAATTCCCTTCAAATGCTGCTCCTCCTACAGTTTTTGGTCTGATTTCAATAGAACTTGGCACACAAGTAGACTACACTAAGATACATAAAATGGTGCATCGATTTTTGATTTCCATGAAAAGTGTTGCCATGGTTACTAAAAATAAAATTTTCTGTGAAATTCCTTTAACTAAGATACATAGAACAGTGCATCGGTTTTTGATTTCGATGAACTAAAAATAGAAATGGTTACTAAAATACACTAAGATACATTAAATGAATTGAAATTCCTTTAAAATGCTACTCCTCCTACAGTTTTAGTCTGATTTCAATATAACTTGGCACACAAGTAGACTACGCTAAGATACATAGAATAGTGCATCGGTTTTTGATTTTGATGAACGGTGTTGCCATGGTTACTAAAAATAGAATTGTCTGTGAAATTCCTTTAAAATGCTACTCCTCCTACAGTTTTGATTTGATTTCAATATAACTTGGCACACAAGTAGACTACACTGAGATACATAAAATAGTGCATCAGTTTTCGATTTCGATGAACAGTGTTGCCATTGTTGCTATAAATAGAAATGTCTGTGAAATTCCTTTAAAACGCTATTCCTTCTACAGTTTTTGGTCTGACGGCAATGGCTTCTTTTCTCATTCTTTGTTATAAGTACAAACCAGTAGAGCTACAATCTCGACAGAGACTTCTGGTGTATCAATGCTTAGTTTGAATATCTTTTTTTCCAGATAATCCTTTTTGTTATGTGCTCTGCCAATGAGCTTTTCTTCTGTATGTTGTACCTGACCTACTTCACTCCGGGGCCAACTTGTGAGTATGCTTATTAGTATTGATAAAAATTTGACCAGCTCTTGTACTCATACTGTACATGTAAATGTACTTATTTTAGCAATACTACCTGGTAATATATACAAATGTATTACCTCCTTGTACACTTTTCTCTTGCCATAGTAAATACTACTTGTACTAGTACATGTATAAATTTCAATACCGTGTACATGTAGCGGGTTTTCTTGGCGGGTGTAAAATTTGGCGTTTTGTCTGCTCAAAGGTATGCCAATAATTTTGGCGTAGCTTATTTTAGCGGACACAAGGTTTCATCTCTTTGCAGATGAACACTAAGGAGAGTACTGACTATTTCAGCGATACAAATTTTAGCGGTTTACCATCAAAATGCCAAAATAAGCCAAAATTAACACCCCGCTAAAATAACCCGCTATATGGTATATCCCTTCTTCACATAATTCTGTATGGGTACATAATAATGGGTATTTAAAATTTAGCACAATCACTGGATATAGAGTTGTTGGCATATTCATGAATTAGCACTATATACCTTCCTGTTGCATATTGTATCTATGAAAAATTATTTATAGCGGTACATGTATTCATGAAATAATGTATTGTTGTCTGCACCAAGACCGCTAAAATGTGAAGCCCTCTTTTTAAAGTTATATACAGTAACTCTCATAATCATTTGTAAACGACTTTCCAGGAGTCATTTTAATTTTGGAAATGATACCACAGTCATACTTGTATTTTGATTTGTTGATCCTTTGTTTCAGTGTTAGGGATTGGGCTTTTCCAGGCCATTCTTTACATCAGTGCACCCCTGTCCTTTATTAAGGCAGGAATCAGCGTCCTACAGCTTATAGCAGCAAGTAAGAACATCGCTCTTATAGACCAGAGTGATAGAGAGGCTAGAAAGACCAAGTAAAGGGAACCAGGTTAATAACAGCAATAAAGGGAGGCAACTCAGCATAATTGTGTTTCTTCTAAGAAACAGAGGACAATATTCATTGATACTCGTCCAATGTTTATTTGTTGTATGTTTTTTATCTGTTATATATATTGTTTTTAATGAAATCATTAGTATAATGTGTTTTATTTTTATTAGAGTTCAGACAAGTATTGTATAAAGCATTGAGCATGAAATCCTTTTATTGATTTTTAAAGAGATGATTTTATTTTTATTTTACTTGTTTAACATGACTTTCTTTTGGTTATGTAAATAATTTGTTATTGAAAGAAAAGAGCAGTTTTCAAGGATGAAGAAAAAGATGACAACTCAATGAATATAACCTTGGTATTCTATCATTGAAAACATATAGGATTGGATATCTAGGTATATTTAAAAAAAAAAAAGAAGAGATTTGTAATTGACAGTCTGTAGATGATGAAGAAATATTTTCATGCCAGAATTGGCAGAAAAAATGCCATTCAAAGCAAGATTATTGTGTGTATGTATTCAACAAATTTTGTTTGACTACCTGCAATGTATGCAAAAGGATGAGTGGATTAAAAGAAATGGTTGGTAGAGAAGACTCCAGGGCCAGGGACAATAATATTTATTTTTTGAGTATTCTATATTGATCAAATTTTTATAGGATATGTCTGTTTTTTAACAAAGGGCAGAAACTTTGCACAATCTTGTTTGATTCTCTGTAATGCAGCTTAGAAGCTCCATCAATAGTTGTGACATGTTCCCAGAATAAAAAAGGACAGGGATAATTTGCACTGGAACTGATCAAATATATTTTTGCTTCACAAATTAGAGTCACCCTTTTTCCTGTGGTGTGTTTTTTCAATCTCAAGCCAGAATGAATATATGAAACATTAAAAAAAAATATACTGGATTTACGTATCGCACATGTTGGTGTGATTGTTGAAAGCCATCTCAGACTTGTGTTAGCTATAACCTTAAGTATTCAGTATTGTACCAAATATTGATTTTTGTTTGTTAGATTTTTTAGTGTCATTAGCTTTATTGTTAGTTATTAGTTACAATGTATAATATATGTATATTTTTAGGTGTATTTGCTTAATGATGTAGACTGGTGCTTAGTAGACAATGTTATTTTTAAATTTAAATTTTTTGATGATTACAGGTTTTACAGCCCTTAACTAGTTGAAATATTGTCCTAAAGAAGGGATTCGGATGAGTTAAAGACACAATGATTCGCAACAAAATGAGAAGTCAATGTTTGCAGTGCATAAAAAGCAAATATCAATTTTCAACATTAGTTTTCTTAACTTGAATTTATTTCATATCAGAATTTTAGCATATTTTTTTATACTAAAATAATGTGTATATAATATTGCAAATTTATATAGCATATTTGTAATTCATGTTATTGGAATCCATTCTTTGGAAGTGAATTATGTATTAACCGGTATGAATTTATTTAGTGATGAAAATGTAGAGAAAATAGTTATTTACATCAGTTTACATCATTTGTATCAAAGTACCTTGAATGCCAGTATGTTTCTAGTGAGAAGAACATGTATTGTGTTAGTAAATCTTTAGGTCTCAAACAGGAAAAAAAAATTAGTCTTTAGCTGCTCTGAGACTTAACTTTCTTGTGCAGTGGTTAAAGTTGAAAAAACAAATACCGGTATTATCAAATTTATTCAATATTATGTACATTAAATGCAATTACATGTATAATCATACAAGTGTACATTAGAATAAAATAAATTAATGGATTTCATGAATATCACATACATGTAAGGACTTCTGAAATTCTACATGTCTATCATCACAGTTTCTTAAAATAAAACCAAAAACAGTCTAAATGCAATAATTTAAGTATCAACAGCAGTGTTGAAATTGTTTTGATGTTCTATTAGAATACTTAATTAACTTTGAAGTCTTTTATATCTGCATCTAATATTGTCCTAAGAGATGAAATTCTGTTTTTGTTTAAACCATCATCAAGGAATGGAACCCAGAAAAATATCTGTAAAAAAGAGTATATATTAAACATATTGATAAAAAAAAGCCTGCATTGATATGATTAATGTGATTTGAGAATTGTTGTGATAAGATATTTGGCATGAAATAAAATACTTACACAGTTAACAATGCTTATAAATGGAATGAAAAGGGGGAAAAGACCAGAGGAAAAGGAATTTGCCTAAAAATTTAAAAAAAGAATTAAAGTGTGCATGAGTATTGGGTACAGAAGAGATCGAATTTCAGTACATGTATTGTGAGAGTAAATATTTCTTACCTCAACTTTGCCATTTAGAACTTTAAATTCCATCACATCTAACCATTCTGCCCATGTGAAGACAAAAACTCTCACAAAAGTTAAATCTTGGCTTATCTGTAAATTCAAGAGTCTCGTGTTAGCTTGCCTGATCAGAAGGCTTAAGTGAGCTTCTGATCCTGTTGTCTGTCATATAGTTGTCATAAACTTTGGCATACACATTAACCTTAAAACTGGTTTTTCAGCAGTTTGAAACTTTTCCAACTTTTAAAACACAGCAAATTATAAATTCTGCATTGTTCTGCCATTGTGATGGAAGATCTGTCTTTGGCTTCCAACAATTTTTTTTCTCTTCACCCAAATTAGGAGTTTGCCTTGGAATGGCTTGGATATGATGAAGTTTAACCTTCGCCATAAGATGCTATTCGGGGCATAAGTGTTTCTGCAGTTGCAGTACACCATAAAAAAATCATTTACATGAAATACTACTGGACATTAAATTTGCATAATGTAAATCCTTGTATAAAAATGATCTATAGTGTTAAAAAATATATTTTTTAAATATTAAAAAAAAATGTCTTATATTATGCGATTTTAGTTTTTGCGGAATTGTCCTATCTGCAAAATACTGCAAACATTGGACAACCGCAGAAAATACTTGTTTCGACTGAATACCAAGTCTATATCTTCTAATCTAACCTTATGTATATCGTAAACTGTGCCTTTCTTGTCCTGCTCCTTTAAAATTTCTAGAGAATCGATGATTGCTTTTAAAATCACTGTGTTTTCATTTTTACACGTCCACCTGAATTTTATGAAAGAACGTGAAAGTGTATAAATATACATTATGTCTAGAATTGCATAGTTCAAATTTATTTTATTAAATTAATCTTTAGATTGACACCTACACCTCTTTGTAGCTGTGCAATTTTTTAATAATGGGGAGCCACATGGCGGGACGGAGAAGAGCCTGGACAGGGGACTGCAAAAGACTGGACAGCGAAACCATGTCGACATGTGCTTTTGTTGACAGAGAAACGCCCCTCAGATTTGTTTACATTTGTTGGAAGTTCCGTAAATTATTAGTGCTTATTCATGAACTGTATATGACATCGAAAGAATCATTAGACTTATTGATTTTATTAAAGAATACAAAGAAACAATATAAATAAAAGATATATTAACACATCCTTTAAGCAACTGAAATAAATACGAAACTAAGATTGTACATTTCTGACCTTGACATTGGAAATGGAGTTGACGAGTCAGCCAGAGGCACAATAATCACATGATTTCTATTGATTGACAATGACACGATAGCTGACTGGCGTAAGTGAGGTTGTACTTTCATTTACATGTACTTTTATATTGATAAGAATTAATGTTTGGTGCTTTAGTTTAGCCAAAATGCTGATACTTCCGTCTGCCCTTTCTCTGTTGTTTTTGCATCAGGCATCCTGAAAGATAGCCTGATGAGTTGTAGGGAGCTGCGCTTGTCAATATTTACAGACAAATGTACTAGATGCTGATGAGAAGATATACAGTCATTTAGGGTATTCCGAATCACCCTGCATTTCGCGACACTCGGTAATTTACCTAATCGCTTATCTTATACGAGACATGCACACGTGTGACAACTAAATATTCTTTCACAACATGGTTCATGCTTAATACATACAAAAAATAAAGAGGTAAACTCAATGCGTTAATTAAAAAAATAATTAATTAATTCGTTTACTTGCTATCTTTCTCGAAGAAATTTCCGTGTATAAACGTTGCAGAATATTTCTCATCGATGTCGTGGCGTTGTTGGTGGATGAAACCTGGCATATTAGGTATTGACAGAACGGCAATTTTATGAGCTTTCACGAGCATTAATAATTTTTTATTACATCTCATAAATGTATATGTTACAACCGCATTTGTAGCCCCCTACAATTTGGGGTAAACATGTATGTGCAGGACCGCAACTGAAGAAATTTGCATACTTGTTATATGCCCGATATTTTGATAACATCGGTTTTCTTTACATGCAAGGGACCTATGAAAATTATGAAATGGAAAAGCTGTGAAGAGTTAATGAGTAGCTTGACCAGTGTTGATCCTTTTATCATACCTGTTTAAATATGGAGTTGCAAGCATATACACATGTACACATACTATATGTACACTGTGCACGTATCCAGTGATTTATGTCATATTTAATAATTGTGATACGTATATATAAACAAGAGCTAGTCTTTACTCCTTTTCACACATTTCTTTTATCATCATCATCATTGCATGTATAATCTTTTTTTTTTTTTTTTTTTGGTAGCCGATTCGTAGAATTATATGATATTTTCAATGTTAATTGTTTTGCAGTGGAAAAAAATCACAGTGGCAAAAAAGTGACATTATTATATTTACAGGACAACAATTTACAGTCATGTAATTTTGAAACCCCTATTTTCTTGGTAATATGCCTGAAAAGCTTTATAGTGCGAATAAAAATAATCAAATAAACAAGAACAATCAAGAAAATTTTAATTCTTTTTATTCTTGGAAAGCTTTTTATAAACAATACTAACTAGTTCATCAATTATGATGATGTTAACCGTTTTCAACCCATTTTTTTTTCACAATACACTAAAAAGGTGATCAAATATAACCCCCAAGGTGCTTTGTTTATTTTTCACTAAATTGGCTTTCCTTTGATACCAAACTCTGTGAAAAGTTTTTAATAAAATCATCTGCAGTCAAAATGTAAAAGGTGATTCGGAATACCCTAAATGACTGTAACTTTAAGAATGTACACTAAGGTAGACAAAATATACATAAAGTTAAGAACAAACTACTTTTAAGGAGATTTGAAACAAACTGGTTGTTCAAATTGAACATGTTAATATTGCAACATTGCAAATACAGGAACAAGCCCTCACCACAGTTAAACATGGGTGTGTCTAGCAAATTGAGAACAAAATGATCATTTTAACAGTACAAAAGGGCATCGCTTGGGGAAATAAATTAATTAAATTCTGCTATAATCAAAACCTTTTTGAGAGTTTATATTCCTTTTCATCAAACATGCTTGCTGTTTATGGCCCAAGTCAGAATGGGTATGAAATGGACACTATTAGCACTCTTACATTTTAGGAATTTTATTAAATTTTCTGCCGAAGCGTTAATAGTGCAAACACGCTTATTAAAATGGAAGTTACATTTTTAACATGGCAACCAAAGATTGCGGTAGCATTCAAGACTCTCTGAATCTCAATTTCTCCAAAAATTGTGCCCAAATTAATGCTTGAAATAATTTTCAATCCACATTGAACTAGGATTGTCAAATTTATGGCAGAAAAGCTTATTTTATTCTGCATACTGATTACTCGTTATGAGTATGGAAATTGTTATATTAGGCCATAATAAATAAATTTTTCTCATCCGATTTTTTTTAAAGTTCATCAGCTTTTATTATATATTTTGTTATTTTTTCAAATTTGTAGATTTTTTAACCTGGTCAATCGGTGTAATTTTATCTACATTTTAGGAATTTTAAAATTTTCATAGTAAAGGTTTAATAGTGCAATCACTAACTTCACATCATCACCAATCTTTTTCGCAACCAATGATTGTTTAAAATATATACTCATGTTTTACAGCAATTACCATCTTTTCAGCTGTTAAAATCATGTGCACAAATGAAAGTAGAATGGTAGAAATAATTTGACAGAAAAACAGAAATTGGATTTATGGCTAAAAAAATCGAGGCGGTGGTATAAAATCGGGGCGGGCGGGGATGAGAATCTAGGAATATATTTATTATGGCCTTAATTAAAGGTTTCAAATTCATGTAGTGAAGATTTATTGTAGCAAAACTTCACATTTCTCATACAGAGTTTTAGAATGGGTTATTTATGTTATTGCCCTCTTTTTTTTTTAATTATGAAGGAAAATATTTTTATATAGCACATCATAATGAAGAAATCTGCCAAGAAGACATTCCATGTGGATGAATCAGACCTGCTGTGTAAAAATGGCTGTGGTTTCTATGGCAATCCAGCATGGCAGGGATTCTGTTCCAAATGTTACAGAGAAGTTTATCAAGCAGCAAAGCAGGCCCAGGCACAACATGATGAACAGAAAACTAGGTAAGGACACCCCCCTTCCCCCACTCCCACCCCCAAAGCAGGCCCAGGCTCAACATGATGAACAGAAAACCAGGTAATGACAACACAAAAAGCAGGCCCAGGCACAACATGATGAACAGAAAACCAGGTAATGACCCCCCTCCCTCCCCCCACTCCCACCCCCAAAGCAGGCCTAGGCACAACACGATGAACAGAAAACCAGGTATGGACAACATGATATACAACTTACAAGCCCAGGTACAGAACAATTAAGAGAAAACTAAGTAAGAATACTACTATAAGCAGGTCCTGACACATTATGCTGAACAGAAAACTATGTGAGGACACATAAGTAATCAATGATGAGGTGTAGTTGGTAATTATTTATTTACTTGGCAGCCACCAGAAACTTATCTGGTGGCAGCCATGCAGTTTTTTGGCGACTGCCAAATAAGTAGATCCTGCAACCACCATAGAAGAAAAGATAAATTGTAGGCATATTTAACCTCTTAAAATCATTGTTAAATACACATAAAACAGGTAAAACATTCTGTAGCTGAATGTGAATATAATATAATTTTTTTAAGTGCAAATGAAGAATACTTGGGTGCATTGACTTGGTGTACATTAAAAGTTGAGAAATGAATATAGCAGGGATAATCTTCTAAAAGAATATTGAACTTCTTCTAATGAAAAACAATATAAATTGCATGCCTTATAACATACTATATGATTTTAGAGATGGAGGGATTGGTTTGAAGAGACTATTTATCTAGGTATTTAGGTAGCTGCAGAACTGTAGCTCTCCGAAAAAACTGTATATTTATTGCGCACAAAAAAAATGCGCTCGGTTTTCGATTTATTTTTCCATGTTTTTAAAACTGCAATCTCAAAATATTACTAACCGTATGTTCCTAACACATTCTTTCGCTGTTTCCAAAACCAAATATTCCTCATAATTGTTGTTAATAGTCCTCCTGATCCTGATATTGTAGTCATCGAACATTTCGTTTATTTATACTGCCATTTTGGTTTCAAAGATAATTCGGGCCAATATGCTTCGTTCAGATGTCAACTACGAGATTACTTGATACAGGAGAGAGAATTTTTTTTCAAATCTTCCCTTATACAGTTGAGGTAAGAATTTGGAAGAAATAATCAAGAACCGAGCGCACTTTTTTGTGCGCAATAAATATACAGTTTTTTCAATGGGTGGCACTGTAGCTCTCCGGTCTATCAATATTTTTTTCGGAGGGCTACAGATCTGCAGCTAGGTATTTAGGAAGACATTGACATCACAAAAGTCGTGTAATATTACTTACTGGATACTCTAGGAGTGAAACGGTTCACCGCGGTATTTTTTCTCGGTTCGATACACGGTACAAAATCTCTGCTTTCGGTTCGGTTCGTTTTACGGTCGGGATCGTCATTCTGTCGGGTTTGGCATAAGGTATAAACATGCTTTTCTGTATAATTAGTTCAGAAACGTAAGTTTGTGTGGACTTGAAGTTTGTAAAATAATTTTTAACAGTCAAATCAATTAAATTGATACATTCGATCCATTTTGCACATAAATTATTTTACTAGATTAAGTAAAAGGTAGCATAAAACAACATTGAATCTGTTTCCTTCTATCAAAATGTATCATATCGAAAATAACCGAACCGAGACGAAATTTTTTGATACGTATCGAACCGTGAAGGAGGCGTATCGTTTCACCCCTAGGATACTCCCCCCATCCACAGTCACTGGTTAACACCTTAAAGAACATTTTAATAGCTGATTGGTGAAAACAAGATTTCTTTTATTGTTAATTTATAGCAATACTGGTATGTTTTTATCACTTGTGAAATGTCTCCTTTTTAAGTTCAGTTATAGGATAAACACAAGCCCACAGGATTTACCTAGCCATGGGCTTATTTTTTGTAAGATTTTTTTTTCACGGAGAATCGAATGTATTGAATTACTAGTGCAGAGGGATAAAAGTCAAGATTTTAACAGTAAAAGACCCTAACCTTATTCTGTCAGCCTCATTATATATTTCAAAAGATACGCTAGGAATACCATGGAATAATTTGAAAATTTTATTAAGTTTAAAAATGTATTTTATTTTGAGAAATGAATAGAATCAGTGTTATTATAAAAGAAAAAATTATTTCTCCTGAAATCATGGTCAGCAGGTCTGTAATTCACGAAATAAAAATTACAAACATAAATTCAGCAAGGACTTGTGCTTGTAAATTTTTTCACTTGACTTGAGCTGCAATTCCTAGAGATATGAATCTCACTTTTAATGTGTCAGTCACATCCAGAATGATTAAATAATAGTGAACAGTAATCAGTCATACTTAGATATTAATAAATAAAATTTATAGGCACATATTGAACCAGTATAATTCCAGTCAGCCCTAATAATAGATTTTGCGAATGGTGAGTCAAGTAGACCAGCTTCACACATTACGATGATTAAATCAAAAAGATTTGTTATAGAGGCTGATGAAGAAAACAGATGTCGCACACAGTGACTCATGGGCGGGGTTAAACGTTCACAGGGGCAACAAGGTGGAGGCCACAGGTGTCTCCATCATATTTTGTTTATGTTTACTTTGATATCTAGTACAGAGATGGTACCCGAGCTAGATTTACTGATATTGATAGTTGTTGTTACCATAAAAATTATAAAATAGGAAATGACTTTCTACCTCCAAACAGCAGTTAAACCAGCTGCTTTTATCAGGGTCCTTTTTTGATTAACTTGATTCTTTTGTTTTTACACAGCCAATTTAGCTTCATACATTTTAATACATGTATTTGTTCTTTTTCTGATTAGTGATAAGTCGTAGTACGAAATCAGTAAATACAAACACAGTATATCATGGTGTTATTGGTTATAACGAATTACACTTAATTTACATTGATAATCCTGGTGTTCTTGCACTTATTACATTGATAGCAAAGTTTTTGTACCAAATGTGGTGCCATATTGCACAGATATAGTCATGTACATGTAGGCTCAAAGAACAGCAAAAATTGCTTCATCATTCAATATTACCCGGTATTTTTAAGTTCTAAATGCTAAGAGATAGTAATATACCAGGGTATTTGATCACAATATCAATGTTTCGATACTACAAACACTTTTTATTGTATATATATCTATTATCAATGACATAGGATGAATATGATATAGTAAGAAAGGTCATATATTGATCTAAGCAGGCATTTGTGTTTTTGGTGGTTTGGATGGGAGGTAGGAGTCGTATGTATATAACTCAGTAAGGAATTCATTGGTCATCTCCAAGGAATTGAGTGTTAAGATCAGTGAGAAAAATGAAGTATTCTGTTTATCTTTAATGACGTAAAAGTTTAATGAATTAGGATAATAATCAATGAAGGACAGAATCATTCCCTGTTGTAAGTTATTGATACTTGACACTGTTTATGAGACTAGGGTTACCTCAAGGTACCCCCAGGAAAGCAGATGCTATGTCAGGAGATGTTACTGTTATTGATGTGTTATAAATATGTCAGTAATCCTATCAATTGTTCTGCTCCATCTTCATAGATGAACAAAGTAAAACATAGATAAGTGCGTTGTTAAAATTTTTAGTTATCTCTTAATAGGAAGGCTTTATAAAGTAGAAGTGACATTGGGTTTAATTTTTCTGATGTTTGATGTCTCTCAGTATGACTTTGTTGTTGACAGGCCCGAGACGGAGGAAACCTCTACGCCATTGTTCTCCAAATTCACTGAGAAGAAGTCACTTCAGTTTAACAAGAGATCACATACAGTCAAGTCTATCTTCAGAAAGACTCCTACCAAAGGTAACACAAAGAAAACTCCTCTGATCATTATAGAGTAACATAGCTAGTGATTGTGAGGTCTTGTACATCTGTTCACCTTTAATGACCTTTTTTTGCTTGACAAGATGTATTCCTTATATGGGAAAAAGTATTGTACTAAATTTCCTATTAAGGTTTATATTTTGCTGTACAAAAATGGCCATTAAAGAATAGAATGTTATTTTTTTAAACTTGCAGAAAATGTCTACTGAAATAATACACAAAGATAATTTGAGGCACTTAATTATTAAATATATATAATTATTTAATTATTAATAATAAACAAAACAAAAAATATTCACATGCTTTAGAAAGTTGTTGTGTAATTGAAAAAGAAATAAGGTAACATATTAAGTTTGTAAAGGTGAAAATATATATTTAAACACTGTTTTTTATTGACTTTTGCATTGTAATTATATTTTTTAAAATTGTCAGTGGAAAATTTTAACTCTAGTGTCAGAAGTACCTTGTGACTTATTCATAATCAATTTACAAACCACCAAATTATATTTTTAGATCTGACACCTATGATATTGATTATTTTATTGACATTTGATTTGATAATGATAGTTTGATCATTCATATACAGACTGGTGGCAGATTGCAGGTTAATTATGGTCTGTAGTTCAGCAGGTTAAGTAAGAACCCTTTGTTTACAAACAAAGTCACATGACCCAGCACATGCCTAGGGATTAATGTCACCTGCCCAAGCCAGTAATGATTGCATCATCACAGTTTGTCATTGGTCGGCTTGGAGTCCACAACTTAATTATACTGCTAATGTGCAACATTTGAAAATCATTTCCTTTGTTAAGACATTTCCATAATTGTTTTTGTCCAGTGCAGTTCAGAAAGCATACAAAGCCTAATTTTTTCAATTTGAAGAAATTGGGAGTTAAGGGTTTCAAGTGTAAAGGGTAGAAGATTGTGCAAATGAGCAGTCATGTCTTTGGAAAATGTTTTTACAAAACTCAATGTGAAAATGAAAGAAAACTTTGTGCTGAGGATACATGATGAATATGATGATGAATTTGTAGTAATTGATGTGAAAACTATCAATGGGAAATTCTGTTACAGGGGTAAGCTAAGATGTTCATTTAACATAATTATTTACAGTTATTTTGATAATGCTATTTTCTATGTTATTGCAGTGAGTGCAGAGATTTTTTTTTCAAAACTGATATTTACTGAAGAAATGCACATAATATGCTTCTTTTAAATAACTTGATAATTTGTTTTTCCTATATTACATTTTCTTGTAATTTTTGGGTAATATTTTAAAAGTATACAGTAACTTAGTAAAATTTGTGTATTGATTTATGAAATCTACAGAAGACAAGACAAAGGAAAATTAATGTTCACAAAATATTTGACTCTAAGACCTTATGTCACATTTATATAATGTTAACAACTTCCTATTAGTGATTTACAACATTAAATGTGTAAGGATGCCATTCTATGATGTAAGCAGCCATTGTCTTCCTGTAGGGGAGATAATTGAGGTATGAACACCTCAGGCTAGGATTATGTACATCATTGTATTGTAGTAGTAGATATTTAGGGCACTGTGTCAGTATGTGTCTGGTGTATGTGCTTGGTTTGCTTACATTCATTAACTGGGACACTTTGTTATCTCATGTTATCTGTGTTTAGATATATACTTTTATCTACATGCTTCTTTGAATGTCAGGTATGAACCAGTTAGTACTGGGTTAGACCCACATCCCTACAAAAGACTGATAAAGGACTTATGACACCTGAGATAGGTGGACTGTGATCTTATAACACCTGAAATAGGTGGACTGTGGTCTTGTGACACCTGAAATAGGTGGACTGTGGTCTCCTCTATACAAAGGTTTCACAGTTAGTCAGTAACACATTCCAGTGAATTCTCCTTGTACTAATAACTTGACCAGCAGACCTTAAGTACCGTACTCCACAATTAATTACATTCAGTCAATGTTCTAAAAAGTTCTGTCAAAATATTCTCATCATACTTAAAGAATGAAAAAAAACACACACACAAAACCATTGGTTACTAATACACAACTACAGAAAGTAGTTAAAGATTTACATTTGCTATTATATATATGCCCAAAGGAAATAAGAACATGTAACTACCAAAACATTTTTCATGCCAAAGTGACATTTTTGTATTAAAGAAAAACATGCAGTTACATAATTTACCTTTGATGTGACAGGGTTACACACTCTGATGATAAAATATTAATTAAAGAACTGGAATGTGGGGCCGTTTCATTGTCTGATATTCAGAAAATATACTATGTAGTTTGTACATATTGAAATAAGACTATATATCCTATAATTACAATTTGCATAACGATTAATTTCATCTCATAGGGATTGAAATATAATCGAGATAATTAGATATTGACTTGTATGTATTCTATTTAACACACTTGAGTTTGATTAAGGGCTTTTCATCCCTGTAAGAGGTTAAGCTAAGTTAAGTAGTGTTTATAAATGTCATTGTATTATAGTTGGTCTAATCTTCATGTGACGTACATTTAAATTGAAAAGAATAAGATCATTATGTAAACAACAATCCACAAATGTATCAGTGTATTTATTACAATTACCAAATACAGCGTTTGTTTTATACTAAAGCGTCAATGCATTTTTTATACGTTATACATGTATAAAAACAAAATAGGTAAATACATAAATTATGAAAATATTGAAGTAACACATGAATTACACACAGCATGAAAGAAGAAATTTACTTGACATCAGAGTACTTGCTTATTTGAGGATTCAAGCACAGGTAATTTAATGATGGATTTGTGAAACCATTCCAGACTTATGATCATAAAACAGACATAAGTCAAGTAAAGACTTAAACTTAACTGCACCTTGGTGATGCAATATTGAATTTTGGACTGTTTGACTTCTGCCTCAAACAGACTGATGTTTCATGACCTTGTGGCCATATTAACAGATTAATGACAGAATAATATGTGTTAAGACAATATACCTTTTTCCATGCCCTCTAATGGTCTGTCTTTCCAGTTGTATAACCTGTATAATTTTGTTTCAGATTCACCACTACAAGAGAGCTCAGGTCCACGTAAAGAAATCAAGCGAGTGAGCTTGGAAACTCAACAACTCGGGACTGAGTTTGCAGATTATCTCAAGTCCATACGTAAAAATGTGGCAGTGGACGTATCAAAGAACACAAAGTCGATCGTGGATAAACTCACTCAGAACACAGATGCCCCCGTGGAGGAATTGTCCGAGATGGTTCAGGATTTCTACCAGAATATGTCTGACAGGATGAACATGCATAGTACTTATAAAGGTAAGAGGGCAGGAGAGGGAGCATGCAGGTACCAAGTTCTCAGTGTGAAGTGTTATGTACTGATAGCCTATATATATAACAGAAATAATGTCTGGGATCAAAGGAGTATGTATACACATTTATCTACTTTATGATGAAATTGTGACAATTTTTCCACATGGAAACCATTTTTTTTCCTTACTCACATATATATAAGTATTGTACAACAAAAGTATGACTTGACTAACTTGTATCAGTTTCAATTCTTTCTGCTAAACTCATTTTATGTTTACACTGTATACAGAAAAATACTTATTATTAAGTTTGAAAATAATATCCAATATTGAAAAACATTTGAAAGCAAAAAAGGTGCAGATAAATTATCACAGATCTTGGAAGGTTTATTGTGACTTGACACAGATCTTGGAAGGCTTATTGTTGACTTACCCTGTTTACAGGTCAAAGTCGTGAATGTTTATTGTGACCTGACTCAAATCTGACTTGACTATTTATTGTTGACTTGCCCTGTTTACAGGTCAAAGTCTTGAATGTTTATTGTGACCTGACTCAAATCTGACTTGACCATTTATAGTTGATTTGCTCTGTTTACAGGTCAGAGTCATGAGATGACAGAGAAGTTGCTGGACTACATTGAGAAGTACGTGATGGTGCGCGTCTACTCCATGGTGTTTTGTCAGAGTAACGAGGATGAACAGAAAGATCTGAAGATTCAGGACAGGATCCGAGGTCTACACTGGGTGACGGCGCAGCAGCTGGACACACCCATTAACGATAACGAAGAGGAGGTCCGACAGTTAGTGGACAGGGCGATCACAGGTAGTTAGCTGTTAGAGGAATATTAATAAACAACTTTCAGTTTTGAAATATTCACAAGATAATAAATATATACAGATATAAATATATACAGATATATATCATTATTTTTTTGAATTCCAGAAATAATTGAGATGAATTCAAAGAAATCACCCCCTGACAAGTTGGATTGTGTGACTCGGTGTTGTAAGAATATCTTTGAAATCTTGCGCCACTCTAAAACGGGCCCAGCTAATGCAGATGATTTCCTCCCAGCCCTGATATTCATCGTACTGAAGGCCAACCCCCCACTACTCCAGTCAAACATACAGTACATCACAAGGTTTGCCAATCCAAGCAGACTAATGAGCGGAGAGGCAGGGTATTATTTCACAAACCTGGTAAGTCTTTATTATCTCTGTAAGTGCTAGATATAATTAATTGTAAATTTTACAATGGCTGTAGGCCCTTTGCTATGTAAATTTTATAACTGATTTAAAAATAAATATTAGAAGAAAGAAGAACTGGCTTCTTAGATTGATATTTTTAAGTGTCTAGAAATATATTTTTTTCAAACCACTCAATCAGTGAAATATTTATCCTCTTTTGTACAGTGTTGTGCTGTGTCTTTCATCGAGAGTATCAATGCGGAGTCGTTAAACCTGACACAACAGGAGTATGACAGATACATGTCAGGGGAGGCAATTCCTCCCCAGAATGGACAGGACAATACGTGTGATGGTCTCCGTATTATGTGGGAGAATCTGCGGACTCTCTCAGATCTCCGACAGCGACAGGAAAAGGTCATGGCCGACACACTTCAGCTCCAACAGGAAATGAGGGAATTCCAGGACAGCTTTAAACAGGAAGTGGAAAGTGTTCTTAAGAGAAATCCATGGACCATTAGACCTCGGAAAATGAAAATTGACATTGATGCAGACACCGAAAATATCACAAATCTTCCTACTCCTCTTCTTCCAGAACCGTTAATGCCGACAAAATCTTCAGCGGGGCAGGGAACCAGTGTAGAGAGTCCATCAGCAGATACAGTGGCAGGGGACATCACCCCTACAGACTTACTCAGTTAATTTTGTAAATTACTGTGGTGTACCTGAAACAAGAGATTGTGTAATGTGTGTGTGTGTATGTGGTTAGAGAATGAGTCAGTGATTGAGAGAGTTTGAAATTCAGAGAAACGATGAAGTTAATAATTACAAAGCCTCTAGTAGACTAAAGACATACATTTAGATCTGAGTAATCATTTTATACTCATCACAACACAAACACTGATACTCATCGAGGGAGCTTCTCCTGGACAAGGAGGTGAAATGTACATCCCCCTTAAAGAAGTGAAATGCCCATCTCCCTTAAAGAAGTGAAATATCCATCTCCCTTTAAAAAAGGAGGTGAAATGTCCATCTCCATAAAAGAGGTGGGATAGATTGCAAGTGTTAGTGCTTTAATTTATGTTAGCTTGTAAACAGTGTACATTGTATATTTGTTGGAAGATTTTTTTTTTACTTATTTATTTTCATCGAAGCTTACAAGAAGAGCAGAAATCATGAACAAGTTTATAAGTTTATCTGTAATGTTGTTTGTAAGAGTGCATTAGGAATTTAGCATGGTTATAGTATGTATGTTTAAGTGTACAATTCAGTGTCTCTTTTATTGTTATTTTTTAAAGGAATAAATTGACTGAATTATGTTTTTTGTATCTATTGAAATAGCAAACAAATGGAAATTGGAACTAGAAATTTCTTACGGGGTATACTGGAATCAGCCTGTTTGTCTGTGTGTCCATCTGTCTGTCTGTAGAATTGATCTTGTTGAGACATGCCCCTAGAGATTTGGAGTGAGAGACTATGGCATGGATTTATCTGGAAATATGTACACTCCGAAAGATGTGCACCTGGTATTTTCACCTGGTATTGATTAGACTATACCTATATCTTCATTTATGTAGTTTTCTTTAATGAATTCATTAGGAGGAAGGTGAAAACACATTACTGATAGGTCACTGCAACCTCTTAGGTAATGTGACCAAATATGGCAGAATTCTGTCCAAATCATGAACATTATTTGCCTTAGAATGGTAAAACTCGGTCAGTTTAAGCATCAGTACATGAAACACAAATCTTTTATAAAGCCCAACATGATTTATAAAAAACAAATAATGAAATACTGTCAACTAGTAAACTGTTTAGTATTTCAGTTCTTGTTGTATCGAATTTTCCGTTAGCTTTTAGTGGCTTATTGGGTTAGTATAAGAACACAATGTTGGAGATTTACTTTTAAAATCAATAAAATGCTTTGTTTGGTTGGTAGTGCTAGTAGGGAAATTAATGTTGCAGAAAAAACCCGCATATCCTTGTATCTGCATTCTGCAATGTTAATTCCCATACTAAAAAAAAAAAATATAGTTTATTCTTACATCTGTACAAATAATCATCTAAATTGGACAAAATAAATTAAATATTGTATTAACATGATTATTGACATGTATGTCATTGTTCGTTATTGATGGAAGGACTACCATTCAAGAAATCTGATAGTCTCTTAGTGGATTTTACTGACTGATGAAAGGCAATGTATACTAGTATCTTGAACTATAAAGGAGAAAATATTAAATGGATGTTAAAGTTTCAATAATTTTTTATATTATCAGCACTTTAAAATATGAATATACCTCTTATGTATACACTTAGAACGGATACTTGCAAGTTCTGTGGGTTTTTCCCCGCAAATATTGATAGCTTTTGCAAATTACCAATGTGATTTATATTGAAATTCAATTTTCACCGTATTTTAATATGCTCATTTTAATATCATGACGGTTTCTCCTCTGTAAATATATACAAATATAACATAATTTTTGGAAATTTAAGGGGAGAGAATGAGCCCCCTAAAACCCCGCTACTGGATGCTGGAAAACATAAACCAAGACAGATTATGCTTGATATCTAATAGATTAATCTAAAAGGACATGTTTTCCCTATGTAATTAAAGTACAAATAAGAATTAGTTCCTAATACAGATATTTAATCACATTAAAGAACTTTCCCCGCAGTTGGTGGGAAACCGGGAATATATAAATTTTTTTGGTTAAAAAACTGATACAGAGAGGACGTTTCCGTTACCAGGGTTATCATGAAAGACGCGCGTTACTTCTCCCGGATATATTACAGAAAGGCACATGGTGGAAGATACACACAAATATACTTTACATGTTTGGGACTTTTGATGTTGTGCTCCCTCTAAACTGCAGAATACGAGAGCTTCCTTACAGAGAGAGAGAGAGAGAGAGAGAGAGAGAGAGAGAGAGAGAGAGAGAGAGAGAGAGAGAGAGAGAGAGAGAGAGAGAGAGAGAGAGAGAGAGAGAGAGAGAGAGAGAGAGAGAGAGAGAGAGAGAGAGAGAGAGAGAGAGAGAGAGAGAGAGAGAGAGAGAGAGAGAGAGAGAGAGAGAGAGAGAGAGAGAGAGAGAGAGAGAGAGAGAGAGAGAGAGAGAGAGAGAGAGAGAGAGAGAGAGAGAGAGAGAGAGAGAGAGAGAGAGAGAGAGAGAGAGAGAGAGAGAGAGAGAGAGAGAGAGAGAGAGAGAGAGAGAGAGAGAGAGAGAGAGAGAGAGAGAGAGAGAGAGAGAGAGAGAGAGAGAGAGAGAGAGAGAGAGAGAGAGAGAGAGAGAGAGAGAGAGAGAGAGAGAGAGAGAGAGAGAGAGAGAGAGAGAGAGAGAGAGAGAGAGAGAGAGAGAGAGAGAGAGAGAGAGAGAGAGAGAGAGAGAGAGAGAGAGAGAAAGAGAGAGTTGTAAAAGAGCCATAGCGCATTTGATAGTCACTTTCGCCTACTTTAGTAGTGATTTTTTAAATACATTGTTTAACCAAAATTTTGTCATACAATGTTAGTTTATACATGCCTAAAGCAAATCACATAAAAAAAAAATTTAAATATTGATAGTTCCCTCATATGATAGATATAAAAATCGTTCAGTTTATATGGAGAATACATTGAATACTGAGCTACCCCCCTAAACAAGGACAAACTGTAGCAAAAGACCACCCTTAACCAGAAAAACAACTTTTGAATAATTTTATTTGGATTTGACTGCACTTCATCACATTTAGATAATTTTGGTTAAAGGTGGTCTTGATATTGAAAATGCTGAAGATATGTTTTTAATTTTTCTTCTCAAAATTATTTTAAGATTCAACAATCTGTTTTAAGGAGGCTAGGGGGTCAACAGATTATTTTTTTATTAACCACTAGGTATAGCTTATTTTTTTAAGATATGATATCTTAAGCTGTCACCTATCATTTGGCAAAGAAAAATTTCATAACTTTTAATTTTAAAATTTGATCATTTTATTATATCTTTATATGGAGCTCTCTTCTAAAGGAGATCAAAATATTCTGAAAATGGCCACGACCACCCAGCCTCTTTAAATTTATTCATCCATTTGCAATGACTTCGTGGCGTAGTGGTATGATTGCTGGATTGAAGACATAGTGATCGTGAGTTCGAGTTTCACAGTGCATGTTTCTTATCTATGCTTCTATTTTTTTTATACCCCCGCTGACCGCTCCGAAGGAGAGGGGGGTATACTGTTTTACCCTTGTGTGTCTGTCTGTCTGTCCGTCCGTGTGTCCGTCCGAAACAAATTTTCGTCGCAGTTTTCTCAGCAACTACTCAATCTTCTCTGAGGCTGTCAAATTCGATGTCAACTTCCTGTTTATCTGTGCGTCGTCCATTTCATACATAACAAAGCATGCTTGAAATTTTGTCACAATCTTCTCTGAGGCATGTCATATGGTGGGATACATTTTTGTTTAAATCCGATGTCAACTTATTGTTTGTCTGTGCGTTTCATACATTACAAATCTTTGTCGCAGTTTTCTCATTAGCTATTCATAGCAGATGCTTGAAATTTTATTATACTCTATGTTGAGGCATGAAATATGGTGGGATTAATTTTGATATGAATCTGATGTCAACTTCATTTTTTTCTGCGCATCTGCCTGTAATTGATTTTGTGTATATATTAACATGATAGTGCTTATTTACGTCAGAGCGGGGTATTACTAGTGAGCATTGGCTCACAGATTTCTTGTTTCTCTCTCTCTGTGCATTTTTCCTATGTTTTCTTTTATTATTTTATAATACATGTATAAATAATGTAAGAGATATCTAATACCGGCACAACAATACATCTTGAAAGTATCTCGGGAAAAACAATACTAAACTATTTTAATGACCCAAAGTCAAAGCTGCTAGCTTGTTTTATTTTTAAAATTTTCTAAAAATCTTGTTTAGAATACGAGTATTGAACAAGCAAAAAGATTGTGATGTAACAAACTTGAAACTATGAAAATATAACATTGGTCCATAAATGATTACATACATGTAGTTTGATTTTGAATTGAAAAAGGTATATGTATCTATAAATAGAAACAGGTGATTTCCTTTTAAATACTTGAGTCGGCCGTGTCGTCGGTAAGGCAGCTATGCCTTTTTTTTTAGAGTTATGACTATCAATTTTTTCTAAAAAAAAATGAAAATAAAAATATACGTTGTCCATCATCTTCCCTATTCAAAGGTTTCTGATCCTCATCGTTCATGTGAACGTTTTTGTGGAGCGAGAAGCTCAAAACAGTGACGGATCCATGAATTTCGTAATGGGGAGTGGAAGGGGGGATGCAGCAGAAGGCAGGGGATCTCGGGGCTGCACTGAAACTTCCATGCAGTGGATCTTGGGCAAGGCCCTGGTGGAGGTTCGGGAGCGAAGCCCCCGGAAACCGACAAATTCTTACAAATAAGAGATGTTCTTTACTTGATTTAAAGATAATTATATGTTTTACATACAAGAAATTCAAAGGGGGGTGGGGGGGGGGGGGCGCACGGTAAGAGTTGGGGTTCCTGTCATATTTCTTGAATAAACCAGAAGTCTCTGTCGAGACTGAAGCTCTACTGGTTTGTACTTATAATAAAGAAAGAGAAAAGTAGCAGTTGGGATATAAAACTCTACAAAAGCAATCAATAGAATAATGACAAAAACCGATACACAGAATTATGTATCTTAGTGTAGCCTACTTGTGTGCCAAGTTATATTGAAATCACACCAAAACTGTAGGAGGAGTAGCATTTTGAATGTTTTTCACAGAATTTTCTATTTTTAGTAACAACGGCAACACCGTTCTTTGAAATCAAAAACCAATACACAGAATTATGTATCTTAGTGTAGTCTACTTGTGTGCCAAGTTATCAGATTAAAAAAATAGCAGAAATTAAAACTGTAACAATGGCAACAGGACGAAATCAAAAAGCATACACAGAATTATGTATCTTAAACTTGTTTTATTGAAATTGACCAAAACTATAGGAGGAGTAGCATTTTGAATGATTTTCACAGAATTTTCTATTTTTAGTAACAATGGCAACATCGTTCATCGAAATCAAAAACCGATACACAGAATTATGTATCTTTGTGTAGTCTACTTGTGTGCCAAGTTATATTGAAATCAGACCAAAACTATAGGAGGAGTGTGTGATTTTCACAAAGTAATATTACACAGAAAACACTTGTGTGATATATAAACTGACAAAACTGTAGGAGGAGTAGCATTTTGAATGATTTTCACAAATTTTCTATTTTTAGTAACAATGGCAACACCGTTCATCGAAATCAAAAACCGATACACAGAATTATGTATCTTAGTGTAGTCTACTTGTGTGCCAAGTTATATGAAATCTGACCAAAACTGTAGGAGGAGTAGCATTTTGAATGATTTTCACAATTTTTTCTATTTTTAGTAACAACGGCAACACCGTTCATCGAAATCAAAAACCGATATACAGAATTATGTATCTTAGTGTAGTCTGCTTGTGTGCCAAGTTATACTGAAATCTGACCAAAACTGTAGGAGGAGTAGCATTTTAAATGTAGCATTTTGAAAAATTGTTTACAGACTTGTGTACCAAGTTATATTGAAATCAGACCAAAACTGTAGGAGGAGTAGCATTTTGAAAAATTGTTTACAGACGGACAGACAGACAGACAGACGGACGACAGACGCATTACTATCGCATAAGCTCTTCTGGTCTCTGACCAGTAGAGCTAAAAATGGAATTTTCTAGATTAAAGAAAGAAAGAAGAAGAAAAAACCAAACGCATGAATCACAGAATAAATAATTTATCTCAAACTTTGAAAAAAAATTATACGTGTGATTAATTCTACCTATCTGATTGCACATTTTTCAACATTAAAGCGACAAGGTACACGGCATTATCATCAAGTAATGAGTGAAAACAAATAGACATGAAGTTAAAACAATCATATAGGAATAAGACATCTGTCAATGAATTACGCATCTATATACTGTATATATTTTACCTTACTACAAGCAAAACTAAACGAACATGACCAATGAAAAACATTCCTTACATGAAATAATGCACGATTACATACAGTTCGTAACGATATTTTATTTTTCATGCACCGAACAACTTAAGCAAATTACTAAATACCCTTGCCCTAGCACCTTAATGAAATTTGGCTCCAAAAATGATGCAACTGTTGACTTAATGCAAGACTAAATATTATAGATATTGAAATTCTCTCGATATCTTTCTCTCTCTCTCCTCTCTTTCTCTCTTTGAGACATACAAATGGGTGAAGATAATAAATTAAATTCGTATACATCAGTTACGAAGCATCGTTTTTGAAAGGGGGTGGGTTCCAACCCCCCACCCCCACCCCCTCCCCCCCCCCCAAAAAAAAAGAAAGAAATAAATCAACTTACCTGAAAAAATGTCAATTGACAAGCAAAAAAAAAAAAAAAAGGGAAAAAGTCCAAACTCCATGTTTTAGTACCAAAGTTTTACTCTAACACAGCATTACCCTAATATTACCCTTATTTGACAATACTGCAATCAAAAAGGGGGGAGGGCAACCGGACTTTGAATGAACATTTCCTGTAAATAAACTTACATGTGTGTCTGGGAAAAAGTGGGAGCAGGCCCCCTTGATGCTACGTGCCTGTACATTGCCAAACATGAAATTACATATACATGTAAATAGAATAATAATAACATTAAATATAATTTAAAACAAAAACAAATGACATTTAAACATAACGATTCACAACAACATACACAGCCACAGTAATTTTATTGTAATTTGTTGTTTCTTTCCGAGGTGAGAATTCACAGGTAAGTCGTGGTCCCCATTCGAACACACGCAGTGGGGATCAGTCCGCATCTCTCCCCCACCTTGACCTGGGTCATCCCCGCCTTCATATCCCGCATAAACTCCACCTTCTGACCTATCTCCACTGTTAACTCAGACGGACTCTACAGAGAAGTTAAAGGTCACAGATTATGACTGGCCTAATGTACACCTCTAATTTGCACACCTATAACAACCATATTATAAATAATCGTGGTTTAAATTCATTTTTCTAAAGGAAATAAAGACAAATATTCTGTCTAAGAAATTCACATCTCTTTACAAAATTAAATTTTTAAGTTTTAAAAATTTTAATCCCCCCCCTTTTTTTTAAATCAAATCAATCAGTAGAAATCAATCAAAAGAAAATGAACTCTGTCATCAGAGGTAGATGTGAGTGAGATATGACGAGATTTCCTGTTAATGGAGATATCTAAACGAGATATGACGAGACTTCCTGTAGGAGGAGTGGAGATTTACCTTTGCTTGATAAGACTTGAGAATGTTAACCAATGATCCGGGCGTTAAACCTGGTCCAGAGGGCCTGGAATCTTTGTAGAAAGAAACTAGTACAGATCATGCGCTAAAATACTCAGATAACAATGGATAGTAATATCTGACAAGAAATGCACAAGATAATGATTTACAGTTTATGTCGAAAGCAGATATTAATAGATTCCTCAAGATGAATTTCATGTCTCACATACTGTCAAATATACTTCAGAATGTTTTAAAGAACAAAAATAGATGATGAAATGCATAAATAACAAATCGTGCATTTGAAATGCACAGCACTTGAAATAGGAAAGAGAGAAAGTTATGAGAGGTTCTGATGTTATAAATGTAGTGCTCTCTTAAGAGCTAAGTGGATACATAGATTATACTGGGATGGTTACAGTGTAGACATGCTATATAATGACATGCAGTGTTTGCTCCGATTTACCTTGGAAAACTCGAGCATAAGAATAATCTCCAGACGGTATGGCTCCCGCCAAAGCATAATGCTCGTCAGCTAAGCATGCGTGGAATTAAAAAAAGCAACAAATTAATTCCCAGGGTTAGTAGGGAAAAAATCAAGGATTCTTTTTGAATTCTTATTAACTTTTTTTGTACTTTTTGCAATTGTCTGGAAAAACAAACATGTAGCATTAGGTTCCACAAGCAACCGTGTACGAAACAAAATTGCTATTTTAATTCGATGCAGTCATTCTACTAAGTCCCTCTACCTTCTTCGAAGGAGATGAGTGGTCCCTCGGAGGGTCTGGGTGGCGGGACTCTATGCTGCTGGGCGGGTGGGAGTGGTTGTGGGGGCCTCATCGTGTGGCTACGTGGTGGAGTACTTGGAGCTCGGCGGTCGTAGTCTTCAAATACTATCGGTTCTATGTAGTACAGTCAACAGCTCATCATATACCTTTTTAGGTTTCATAATTAAACAGTACAATGTTCATATATCACATACAGTAGAGAAATATAGCAGATATTTTGCTTACCCGGTCTTCTTCCCGATAATTTGTTGTTATCTATGAATTCTTGTAGGTCTTTGGAAATATCACAGTATTGCAAGACGTTCCGAACAGCTTCAGCGCACTGTTCAACAAGTAAGAAGATTGGCATAAGCAAAGTTTGATAAACAGCGTACATCTCAAAATGTTTGTTTATTAGTGTATGTACATTATAAGGATCCAAATGACAGGTAAGTAGAGTATAACGGGTGCCGAAGGAATCAAACTTTAGAAAAACTATAGAGAATAAGAGAAAACACTATGTCGGATATGTACATTTTATTGTTGTATGATTAATCTCTTCGTTGCATCACTGTCATCTTTAGTAAAATTCTTACCAGATAAGTACTAATATCGCATCATTTAATACAGTTCTCGATGACGACGCTCATCTTGTTTGTCTTATATCAATCAGAAGTGTTTCAATATGGAATCGGTTTCTTCTTATTTAATTTTTTTATAGCAGCTCAATGATGAGTGTATTCAATCATACACTTTTGAGCCAAGGGATTAACTTTTCGTTCGGCAATATTTAATTTGTTATAGAAACTAACCTCGTCGTGGTCCACACATGCTTTAGAGTCGACATTGGTACACTTCCATATGCTGTCTCTAAAAAACCCTACCCTCTGTTCCTCCAACCGCTGGAATTGCTGTGGATAAAAGGATATATTACAGATCAACTTCAACTGTTTTAAACGCATTATAACAAGCAACTGAATAAAAAGGGAGTTCTAGACATAATTACTACCATAAATAGACACTTCTGAAAAGATCTGAATAACAAAATGCATTTTTAAAAATTTGAATAGAGATTTAGTAGGTACTATATTATATTGCAATGGTGGAGAAATATAACGAAAACTTCGTATAGTGCATGATTGAGGACATCGTATATCAAGCATCTTTCACTCACAAACAAACTTTCTCCAATAACATAACAAAAGATTTCAAAAGTTCTCTTATCATATAAAGATTAGATAACCAACATCCTATACTGAAACAAGCACTAACGTTACAAGAATGAAACAAGCACTAACGTTACAAAAAGGTATCAGTCGCCTGCGTGGCACAGTGGTTAGAGCATGTGCTCTAGAGTAGCGAAGTAAGGAGTTGATCCTTACGTCGCGGGTTCGAATCCCAATGTAGGACGTGGAGATCGGTCCTTTGGATGAGACCGTACATATAAAACGAGGTCCCTGTCACCATAGGTGCTGGCACAAAAAAAAAGATTCTTTACTGCTCAATGCCCGTAAGTGCCGAGTGTAGGACAGATTTTGCCGCTCTCCACCAGCAAGTGGTGGCATTTCCATATGAGTGAAAAATTCTCGAAAGGAACGTTAAACAACGTACATTTATTACAAAAACGTAACATATAAAACTTGCTATCATCATATCAAAAAAGCTTTTCAAACATTACATGCATTCTTTTCAAATAAACATAGCTGATGTATTTCACTCTTGATAATAATATTACAAGCGTCCTTCATGTCCCTTTCCAACACATAAAATACTCAGTACTATAGTATTCTATTACAGCACACATCCATCATTCACACAATAATTACATTACAGGCGTCCTCCATCATCCTATCCTATAAATAAAAGACTCTATTACAGCACACATCCATCGTTCACACAATAATTACATTACAGGCGTCCTCCAACATCCTCTCCTATAAATAAAATACTCTATTACAGCACACATCCATCGTTCACACAATAATTACATTACAGGCGTCCTCCATCATCCTATCCTATAAATAAAATACTCTATTACAGCACACATCCATCGTTCACACAATAATTACATTACAGGCGTCCTCCATCATCCTATCCCATACATAAAATACTCTATTACAGCACACATCCATCGTTCACACAATAATTACGTTACAGGCGTCCTCCATCATCCTATCCTATAAATAAAATACTCTATTACAGCACACATCCATCGTTCACACAATAATTACATTACAGGCGTCCTCCATCATCCTATCCTATAAATAAAATACTCTATTACAGCACACATCCATCGTTCACACAATAATTACATTACAGGCGTCCTCCATCTCCTTTTCCCACATCTTCCTAGAAATCTCCACTGCCTGCACCGCATTCTTGTAATTTACATCTGACAAGAAAAGGGTCAATCCTCAAAATATGGACTAGTATTTCATACTTTAATTTCATCTGAAACTAAGATGGGTTGTTTTTATACTCGCTTGAAGTAAATTTAAGTTCTTTGAAAGAGATTTTAAGTACTGCGGAAAATATCTTTTACTTCAGTGTGTTGTTTTCAGATTTATTAGACAATCACATGCAGTACTCTTGATTCACAGAAGGGAACTCGACCACTCCTCCATGGCACCTGATCCCACCTCTGATGTTTTAGAGGTCCGTGTTTACTCTGCTCCTGATTTGTATCGTTTGAATGGACTTTTGATTTTGGATACTGTTCGCTATCTCTATTTATTTCATACAAAGGTTTACGCATAAGATACAAATCCGACATTCAAATTAAAATTAGATCCTTTACGCTCCTTTATTTTGTTATGTCGCTGTAAGGAGCGTAAAGGATCTAATTTTAGTTAGATTGCAAATCTGACAAATTTTTCATGTATGTTGATTCCTAACCTGCCTGTTGTTGGGCTTCGTCAGCCTTTTCTTTTGATTTTCCAACCTATTATTGAAAAAAAAATTATGATGTATTTGTGTCTTCATTGATTTCTTATAAAAAGCTACTCAGGTATCATCATAATTATGACGTCATATTTGTCAGTCAGTAGGCCGTACCTTGGCTAAGTCTTTCGATGTAATCTGTACACTCTGTCGGGCCTGGTTAAATGCCTCCTCGGCAGCCTCCTTCTCTTTACATTTTGTGATGTATTTCTCTTTACACTAAACAAAAGTAAAATTATTCAAATAAAGCATAATAATACACGTGCCTTATGGCTGAAGATAGATTTACCTGAAATCTTCTTACTTACCGACATACAGGTCTTGTACTTTTGGATTTTGTCATTCTGACTTGATTTTGTTCTGTCCTCGATCTAAATATAGAAGATAAATATAAAAAAAGTCAAAAAGGTCTCTCATGTATCTCAATAAAAATCAAATAAATAGTAATTTCCGCTTCAATATTGATATGTGAACATATCAGTGTATCTGGTCCCGCGTTCTATTTAAGCATTATTTCTTAATTTTTTTCACAAAATATGCATTAAAAAATGGATTATATGTAAAAGGCTTCTTTTTACTTAAAATTACAAAAATCACATTTCAAATAGTTTTTATTCCTTATTTTCTTGTCAAGTATAAATCTCTCATATATTTTGATATAAGGTATAACAAAACTTAATACTTTGGAAATTCATAGGACAACATATGAGAGCAAGCGAACTAAGTCCTCAGACAAAAAATGTCTATGTTTTATTGGTTAAAATATTCGCTCTTAAAAATCTTCACTTATAAAATATGCACAAAGTATCAAATGAAATGAGAGGATAAGTAATCTAAGTGTCTCACAATTAAACCATTAATTGCCTGAGTTTTTAATTTATGACAAGTTTTGTTTAGTGTTTAAGTATCAACTTCCAGCAATCTTACTAATAAAACAATCCCAAACTTTATGAAATAATTTTATGTTTCAACAAATAACTAACGGTAGAAAAACTGCTGACATTAAAATTGTCTTCCTCTAAGTGTTTCATGTCTATGATTTGTATCAAATGGCATATAATAAACGAGGTACTGGGTAGTCACATGATAAGAAAATTATAGATCTTACAACACGATAGTGGAGCTTTTCGATACATATACATGCAGTACGATGTTAGAAAGGACCCTGAGTTATAGTCTCGAATTTAAAATTTTGTGACAGCAATAAGCAAAAAGACAAATTCTGAATTGACAGATATTTACAGTCGTCACTTCAATCTTTCATTCTCTTGCTTTGGGTTTCCTGTGTTAATTTGTTTTCAACGAAAACAAGAAACTCATCAACACATAAGGAAATGCATATGCATTTTACCCCGAAGTTGCAGCATTCTTAGTAATCTAAATATTATGTTCGTTTACAATTTAATGTTGATCATCTTCACGTTTATCCAAGTTAAAAACTTCATTGTGCAGTATTTATGTCAGTAAATATTTATACAAATTTTGCCCCGGTTTTCTTTTTTTACATGTAGACGTATGGCATCGTTTATTTTTCATGTTTTCTTTTATTTTTTCATGGCTAAGTAAGCTGAGAACCTCCGTGTAAACGAATGAAAGGTTTTTGGCAATCATCCCTTAAGAGAGTGCATTGAGGCTCAGATGAGCTAAAAACTAATTGTATTAAGTGGACTTGTCCTAAAAAGCTCACCTGTTGTTTAATAGACTTGTGGTCGTCGTCGAACTTGCTGAGCTCGTTGTAGAGTATTTGGAAGTCGTTTCCCGCCTGTTCATGAGTTCGGGCGATCCTCTCCGTCTGCGTCTTCAGCTCCCTCACGGTCTTACCCAGGTCCCTAAGTAACACAGAGTAGGAGTCAGTGAAAAGTCTAGCCACATTTTCATAACACAGACTTACCCACGTCACTAAGTAAACACAGGAGTCCGTGAAAAGCCTCCAGGCCCCAGGATCATGATATAGACTTTGACTCAGTTGCTCGTAAAATGTTTTTTTTAATTATCTATAAATTTGCTGATAACAACACTTTTGAAATGCATATCGACAAGTAAGTTTTATGTTTATCTGTCTGACTTCTTCAACGTTTTAGTTCAACATAAAGCTTTTGACTTATAATACGCTGAAGAAGTTTCATGATCATGGGGCCTGCTCATATGTTTCTGTCTTTAAAGATCTCTCTCTCTCTCTCTCTCTCTCTCTTGTATATATGAATTTGCTGCAGTACGAGATTCTTGTCTTTTTTTTAGTACATGTATTTTAAAATCATATTTCTATCTTTTAAAGGAAATCATTCCCCCCTCTCCTATACACACCCGATTTCCTCTTTGCCCTCTAGTTTTCTGACCAGAGCTTGGATGGCTTTGCTGTACACCTGTTCCGCCTTGGCTCTATATAAATAATAAACACCGACACTATTACAGGTCATTGAGATAAACAATCTAGTCTGATATTAAAACCGCTGTAATGAATTCGTTAGCGATAACTTTACGCTCGTCCCTTCATCCTCGTTTATAAATTACAAATACAAACTTTTACAAATCGCTGATTATGTACTTTCCTTATTATTATTTATCTTGTCTTAAAACTGTCGTATATTCACGCAGGAAACACTTGGGAGATAGATACACATTAATTTATAACCCCACCTTTCTTTGTAATAATCCTCCAATTCCTTTGACACCTTCCTTATATCTTTGTTTCTTTTGGAGAGGATCTCAAAACCTTTAGTATTGGTGAAGTCGGGGTCCTAAATACACATTCAAACGAAAAAAGTTGTGAATTCCAGAACCGGTTTGTAAAATAAAGAGTGGAGGTAATATATGTTTAAATTCACGTGATTTTTAAAAGAGTACAGAAATATGAATATTAAAACAGAACATTTCTGACACCTTGACTTGATGACATATGTTTATATCACTTTATTAACTCTCCATCTTAAGAAATAAAACATTTTGTTCAGATAACACGTCAACATTAGTGAAACCAGAAGCTATTAATCATTTTATACATACACCTTTCTGTGTATATGAAAGTAGAATAATTATCATTTCTAGCGATAAACTCGTGATTTAAATGCTACAAAATTCTTGACCGAGTTTGAATACCTACCCAGAAAGCGTCCACATATTGTGTCGTCCTCGTCATTATCTAGATCTCCTCCCGTGACCTATTCACGTGTAATGCACGTCCCTTAAAGTAAAACATAAAACCGCAAACGCTACAAACGCCACGAATCAGAGCTCTAAAAATAAAATGCAAATCTGAGTAAACAATTAAGATCCAGGAAGTAAAATAGCTGTAAAGGTTTATATCAAGGTGTAGGTACACTGATGATAATTATATTTTATCAGTTAGGTCGTCGTGGGTCCTCTGAGTAAATACAGGATTCAAAGGAAAACTCCATAAATAAACTTCCTTCTTAATTAACTACGATTTTCCCCCCAGACAAGTAAATAAAAGTGCAGTGTAAAGTGTGCACTCCTTTTTGACTTTTAAATGCGTACACAGTAGAGGTAATCGCTCGAGGAGTAAACCCGCTGAAGAGCCCTATATCGCTTCCTGGTTTATTTACAGAACCAAATACTTCGATCCGCGCCTATTTTTCTCGTATATTTAAATACCTTGTATCATTCATTCAGAATTACTTTAAGCTACACCCATGAATAATAGATGTAAGAAATGCGATGCCAAAGATAATTGGATTATATTGACTTAAACAACACGATAAGATCCTTTGTCTTGCATATTAATCAACAAAGCACAATCTTAAACGTTGTCAATGGTAAAGCATAAGTTTGTCTTTTCCAGTATGTTTTCAGAGTGGAAACTCTTATGTATATTACTTGTTGTAACACACTAAAAGTGAGTATTAACCTACATCACTGTAGGACATTAAAAAAGTATTTTGGCATTCATACTAAGCTAATTGGTTATGTAAATTATTTTAATTTCCTCCCTTATCCATTTTAGATATGTCAGACACGAGCGCGATAAAGAATCTGGATTCGCGGGTTTTTCCATTTACCTGTCGCCGATGTAACCACGTGTATAATGACGAAGATCATCAGCCACGTCTGTTACCATGCCTACATGACGTATGCCTGTACTGTCTGTGCGAACTCGTCTTTGATGAGGTTTTGAATTGCCCGGAATGTAAATCAGCTCATGAGACTCCAGATAATGACGTCACTATATATCCAAAAGACCCCGTGAAGATGAAATACATTGCAGAGCATCCCCAAGCCCAGACAGAAGTCTACTGCGACTTCTGTGATCAAGAACCAAAGGCAACACATCGTTGCATGGATTGTCTCGATAACCTCTGCCCCGAGTGCTTGCAAATTCATCAGAAGTACAAGAAATACCGCGATCATGGCATTGTTTCACTTGAAGAATATGCGAATTTGCAACAACATTATGTTATGGCCTCTTCAAAATGTAAAGCTCCTGGGCATTCAAATGAGCAACTAAAATTTTTTTGTAGCAATAAAGGTTGCGAACAGTGTTTGTGCTCATTATGTGTGATTTCCCACATTGAAGACAGCCACAGAGTCAAAACAATTGAAAGTGTGTTTGAGACTAGATTAAAGAATATCAAAACCATAGAGGCAGTTTTGCAGCATCAAAGTGATGGTGTGGATGAGACGATGTCGTTGATAAAGGAAGAGATAAGCAACGTGGATCGACTGGGCGAGGAAGCTCTCGAGGATGCCGACTTTAATTTTAATCTCCTGATGAAACAGCTTGAAAGAAGAAAGTCTGAAGTGAAAAATTTCATCAAATCAAAACAAAAGACTAAAAGAGCACTCCTAATGGAACAAGAGAAGGAATTCCAGATGCTAAAAAACGTCATAGAGGATGGCAGGAGTTACCTTAAAAATATTCTGGAGAGTGGAAATAAACCAGAATTCATTAACCTTGAACAAATCATTAGAGAACAATTCTTGAAGCTTACAGATGAAGAAAATAGATGTCTTCCTTGTATTAGCTCCACTATTCGTTTTTCTTCCCAGAACAAGCTTGAAGAACTGAAGGAAAGAATCAATAACTTTGGTAACATAGTATTTTCAAATGCCTATGCACCATATACCAAAATCTTTATTCCATCTCTTGCACACGTTGATGAAACCTTTGAAATTAGAATTGAGTTGTTTGATCAACATCAAGTAGGAATTGAGGAAGAAGAAATGGATGTCCAGGTCTGTTTGGTAGATCACACCGGAAAAATAACACGGTCCTTGTCCCCGTGTGAGAGAGAGGATGGGGGACTCCTGACGACACAGTTCCGTGTGGATGTGACTGGTATCTACAGTGTGGATGTCTTTATACTTGGGCGGCCGTTTTACACCCATAGCCAGCAGCTGGATATTATAGATAGACCACTGTCACCTGATGGTAGGTAGACTGTTAATGGTCATTCTTGTTTCACAGGTACTAAAGGTAATAAGAAGTCTCAAAGTTTAAATTTATTTCAGTTACCTGGTAAGATAAATATTCAGTTTGTCGATAATGCTGACACTTAAAAATATGGAAAAATACAGTACAATTGAAACAATTTAATTTGTTTCTTACTGGTTGACAACCTCTTTTTTCAGATGACGTTGAAAACATTGATCTTATGAAATGTCCCATTCCTGATTTAGTCCTGTCACAAGGTTTGTATCTATTAAAATGTTTAGTCAATTACGACATTCTCTCCTCATTATTGTCGATTTTATTATATATTTTAACACACTTTTTTTTGGCCATATGTGATATCAAGAAGTTACTTATGAGTCTTCTTGAAAAATTTCCGCAAAATTTTTATCAATGTCCTTTATTTATTATTCCCCCATGTTTACTTGTATGCTACTTAATAAAACTGAAAAGATGTGGAAACAGAAAAGAGGGCCTGTATGGCCGATAAAAATAAAAAGTAATCCTTTAAAGGGTAAATACTAGTAGAATATATAATATATATTTTTCAGTGAGAGAATGTGATTTTTTTTTTTAAAAAAAGTAGTCTTTAACAGGGTAAATATCTAGAATATATGTTTTTTATATTTGATGTTTTACGAATTATTAACATTTGGTGCATGGGATTATTCTTATCACATGATCCTCTTGAATTACATCACCAGATAATTACCAATCAACAGACAATTTTTCAGTTTAAATTCGATATTCCAGTGTTCTCGTGATAATCGTTTACACCTTTTTATAATTGCAGACGACATGAAGCCTTTATCTTCCCCAAGGAAACCTATCAGTTCACACACATCCGGAGGAGTGCGCCATCGAATGACCTACACCTGTATTACTGTAGTAGCTATCACTCATCAATAAATCTTTCCCACAAGAAATTGCTAACTTGTGCATTGACTTTTCTTTTACTTACAGGTCCCCCTTTTCATCTTGATGAGTCTACTTTGCACAAGAACTGCTATATTTCTCGAAATAAGCTGATAATTTCTAACACCTCTACACCGGTATCACTGTATCAGACGACCCTCGTCAACAAGGGCAGCGTGTACAATGGAATTGCAGGCTCTATCTGGTTCTTTTCTCCTTGTGCAGCATATTTTGAAGTCGAAATAAATTATGACATTTGGGAAGATCTTAGTTCCAGTGATGTCATATGTGACGTCATTATTACGAATATGGAAATGTCTGATTTTACGTCACCAACTCGACACCACAAGTTTGGCTGGAGCTTCTCTGTTTTGTTTTGTGAGAAATGTCACCAGGTCTGCGTTGAATGCTGGGATCACGGCCACCTCGTCAGCCATTTACCTGTCGGCCTAGTAAACAAGATGTCGTCCCAGAGAAAAGTAATCGGGGTATTCGTGGACGATACAAATGGCTGTATATCCATCGTGGACACAACAGAGTCAGATCTCATCGTACGATTTGATGACGTCATATTTGAAAAACCTCTTTGGCCAGCTTTTTGTGTACACCCTTCAGAAAAATTTACTGTTGAGTTAAAAATAAGAACTGGTCAACAAATAAACAAAATACCATCTCATCTTTTACCTGTTTGAGTTGAGCATTTGATGCACTGGATATTTATTGGGTTTTAATATAATACCTAATGCACTTGATATATATGTCGAGTGTTAATACAATATTGTCAAGTTTATATAAGATGACTTTTAAATTAAATACTTAACACAATTGATATACTTTAAGATTTAACTTATTTTCTGCAGTATATGTGATAGAAAACAATGAATATTAAAAGCTTATTTTGATGCTCAACATTTACCATCCACGAATATAATTATCTGGTACTTTATTCTGTTTTATTTTGTCTGAAGGACTTAAATTGTCATGTGTTTCTCAATTACTTGAAATTAAATATGTGATTCTTCATCAATTAAGATAACAGTTTTTAAATTTTAAAATGTTTTTACTGCGGAAATGATCATTTAAAACTAGATATTGAAATGAAAATCCAAGTTAATTGGATAGTGATAACGTGACCACGATCTGCGTTATAAGACGAAAACGGACAATCAGATGGGCGCGTAACTCCTACTTAAATGTATACGCAATACCAACAGGTTTTTCTGCGTTATGTACAACTAAATCACTGATGAGTTTGATCATTAAAAGAAGCACCCAGGTATAGGTATAATATACAAATATTTAATAAGTACTTTTCTGAATGTAAATAAACGAAATAGACTCCTGAAAATGAAATCACAGTTTTTCCAAAGACCCTGGCAAAATGAAATACTCAATGCATTGCAACGAATTCCCCAAATCCAGAGGGAAGTTTGATATAAAAAAGCAACAATCATTGAATGGATTCTAGTGATAATCTTTGCACAGTGTCTGTCATTTATCTGAAGTACAAGAAGTACTTGGCATATTTTACTTTTCTAGAAAGCAAATGCAATAAAGTTTTTTATGCCTTCTTTGATATTGAATCCTACCGGTCATATAAATGAACATGTATTTTTTTCTGTAGCAATAAACGTTGCAGACTGTGTCTTTCATCATCATTCTCGAGAGGAACGTTAAACAATATGCAATCAATCAAAAACATTGAGGAATCATACGGAAAGTAAAACAGATGCCAGTGCATCAGATTTAGATTAATATTAAAACCAGAGAGCTAGGCCTTTGTTTTTAGACTGAAATTGACCACGGAATGTTCCGACTTCCAGATCAATATGTAAGGCTCACATCGTGTGTTACCGGTCAACAGGGACTGCCTACTCATCCTAGGCCTGATCCCACATCTGGACTTTCCAGAGATTCGCATTTTATGCCTTCTTCACATTCGTTACTTGTTTATAGATTTTGTGCATAATTTGAATTTTCTGCAATCCTTTTGAAATGGAACTTTATCATGGAAAAAACGAATTAGACAACAAGTTGAAAAAACCTTAGAAATTATAAAGAAAGAATACTGTAAAATCACAAAATTTCGTGGGGGTTTAATTTTCGTTGGTTTTGAGGTGTGAAGAGACCCACAATTTCAAGTCCACCCCGAAATGTTAACTTTTTAAAATATATAATTACTCAACAATTCTCCATCCACGATATCAAATCCCCGCGAACCAATATATTTTTCTCAAACCACGAAAGTTTGACACCACGAAAATATATTATTTTTTCAGTATGAGGATGAGAAAGGATAATCGAATAAGAAGTGAAGACCTGTTATACAGAATAAGGATAAGAGCAAGAAAGTAAGAAGGAAAAGATGGATGTTTACTGGACATGGACTGAATCAAAATCCAAACATTGACGGTAACATCGATTCAACAGGGGCACCAGAAGGAACAAGATGCATCAACAACCAAAAACAACATGATACTGTATTGCAGAACATGGAAAGGGTAGATGTTGGATGGCGGTCATGGAATGGAGCCAAAAAGAAGCAGCCAATAGGAAAGAATGGAAACGTTCTGTGCATGGATGCCCTATGTGCTATAAGACATGAGAGGGAAATAACAGGTAACAGGTAAATTAATAAAAAAAAATGCATTTTGCCGACTGCAACCAAAAATATCTTGAAAAGTACTAGTTTTTTTTTTTATACCACATACTAAACATGTATCTATGAAGTGTTAAATATTCAAAATTATTAGGGTTCATACAATACCATGCACAATGAATCATTTATATGTTTATTGAGCTTCATGTATAAGATTTTATAAAACTGGCATACAACGATTTTTATACAACAACTGCAGAGAAAGTGATAAGAAACAAGGGAACTAAAAAACATTTATTAATTTCCAGCAACAAACATTGTCAAAGACTTTATCCTATAACACAACTGCAAGGTTAAAAAGGTTACCAAGTATATGAAGTTTGTTTTTAGCCATAAACTATTACTAAGTACAGAAAAATACAACACATGATATAGCTATAAATATGTTGGTTCCTTTATTTTTACTTAAGAGGAAATGTCCATATTCAGGAGGTTTAAAGTGAAAAACTGATAATGATGCTTATTTTAGATTAAAAGGAATTATTTACTTAAATCTCCGACTTAAGAAGACTGATTTTGTAGTAAGAGGGATAAGATTGAAAAAAAAATGGTATTAAAATGAATTTAATTATAAGTCACATGTATATCCATGTTTCCTTTTATTAATCTCTAAAATTCAACAGTTATTTTACGAATTATTTTTTTCCCAAAATTACAAATTTAAAATAATTGAAAGTAGGCTCCGTGTATCAACACTGATAAACGAAACTCCGACAATCAAGTCGTGTAAATGTATATTTGCCGACTTAATATTAATGTAAGTATTGTGAATTGTTTATTTATTTATTTGTAAAAATATCCATTCTTGATGTATTAATTTAAAAAAATATCTTGGCCACAATTATTAACTAGCAAACATAATGAACATAAAAGGAAAAATCGTTAAACATCTAAGTACGGTTTATCACAAAAAGTCACGCTATTTGATTATATTAGGACAACATATTGTATGACTTACTGTATTGCTTATTTACAAGCGATAATTAGCTTCTAATTATGTAAATCGCGCCACATTTATTTTATTTGGAGGTTAAAAAAAAACATACAAACTAAATTCATATTAGACAAAAAAAAAAAAAAAAAAAAACGTTCCGATAAAAACGTACAAAAAGATATTTACACGTTTCTTAGTGCACGATCACACACGATTAGAACTGCAAAACGAATGAGTCTGATACATGCACGATCTCGCACGATACACGAACGATCACGCACGATTCTACACGATTGGTTTGTCAACATTTACGTTGCAGCCACTGTATGTCCTTTGTACATGTAAAATCACTATGAATAGATTTCTCTCTATTTATAGAAATGTTCTGACTGGAGGCTTATCTATTGCTGAACTGACCCAACTGTTCTATCAAGTTCTCTCTGGCCATTTGCTGCGTATCAGTTTTTTTTCACTATGTTGTTGAATTATTTGATCACAATTTGTTTTTGTCTTACATTTCATGGGACTTTCGCAGCTACTGAATTGTTCCACAATGCTGATTTTGAGAGCACTTCCTTTTCCGGTAATTGGGTGGCCATTGACTGTACCTTGAATTCCCGTACTGATGATAAGTATCATGGAACTCGCAGTGTCATGGTCTCTCATAGGCGAGTAAAATGTCATCCATCCCTTTTTCCTGTTTATCTGGTTGCAGCATTGCTATTTACATTGCCATTGAATTTATGAATCACAAAGTAAAGACATAGCCAAATATGTTTTATACTAGTATTTGTTTCTTGACCAGATTCGACATTAGCTAATTGCTTGAGCTACTGGTTTCTATAAAAATCTTTCTGATGTTGCAGACATCATACGTGGTCGGCAGTCCGGCAGACATTTCATGTCACTCCTGGGAAGAATTATGTGGTTAAGATGTACTTCAAGCTCCTTAACCTTCCTGCTGGACATGCTTACGCCGAAGTCAAACTGAACGTGGCTCTTACTGTTAACGGTATTCAGCAACCAGATCTTACAAAATGAAAAGTCACTATGCCTTAATATAAGTGTAATGAAAACAATATTTTACTTGGTAAAGGACGGTAAATCATACCTCTCTTTGGTACACTTGCTATTGGTAATTTGCGTAAATTTTCTATCATGAAAACTCATATTAGCTAACATATCCTTAAGGTAACCCTAAGTACTTCGGGCTAGCAAAAATTCCCATGCAGCAGTTAAAATTTGGATGGACGGAAATAAGTGGCGATTTCCATGCCCAGAATGGTTTGTTTATCTTGAAATAACATACATTCTCATTGATTTTACTATTCAATAGGCCTTTTTACGAATGTCTAACTACTGTAGTATTTCACATTTTATTCAGGAGCCACAGATGCTGGTATATACATAGAGATACCAGACATATCTGTCAATTACCTGGTAGACTTCGCCAGTGCTCAGGAGCTACCCCATAATTCCCACTGGATGACAGATGCCCAAAACAGAATCAATAGTATCCGGAAGGCCCCTGTCTCATTTAAGTAAGTCAAACATGTGCTTTGCTATATCATGCCAGGTCATCAACGATGCATCATGATCCACTGTAAATAAGAGGTCTGATTAGTACTTTTGTCTGATAAGTGCGTCGGGATGGAAAGTTTTCTCCCATTTATTATTGGAGAGAAAAATGATAAAAGTATAAAAATATCTACCTTTAAAGAATTATATCAAAGTATCCATTTTAGTAGTATGATTTTTCTAAGAAACAGTAACTGGTGTAACTGTTCATTATTTTTTTATTGTCGTCATTGAGGAAATGACTGTTGACAGTATCGTAGGAAGATGAAAACTTTTCCTCAGTGATGACAATCGTCATTTCCCTTTGAACGATAATGATACGCTTTTGAATTTTTTTTTATTACACCATGCTCACTGTTCTCTTTTTGTAAAATACACGTTTCTTTTTCAAATCAGAAATTTAGTGCCCTATATGTAAGCTTTGAACTAGCAAACAACAAAACCGATGATAATTTGTGTGTTCAAGTAGATTCATAGGTCGCCTGCAGATAGCTCTTCATTTTGAGATATTGTAACTTACTAAATGAACTTGATATAAGAGGCGCAAAATTACAATAGATTGTTTATTGACTATGGACGATAAATGATAAATAACAACTAAATTGAATGACAAAGAAGTTGACATCACCTTTTTCATCTTAATTTTCCTTATTTAATGTAGTAATATTCCACTATTACCTGATCTTGATGATTATGTCTCAAATTTTTTGCTACTCAAGAGCTTGCTATGAGTAGGATTATTTTATAAAGAGAGGCAGCCTACTCACAGACAAATTGATGTTACAGGGATTTCTGCAGCATCATTTAAATTAACATTTCGTACATTATATGGTTGTAATAATGACCTTCTTAGCAAATTTAACGCACATTACGTTGTATTTTGGATGACTTTTTATACCAATTGTTAGGCGTTTGTTTTTATACTGCATCGACCACGGAAAGTTCCGTCTACATGATCAAAATACAGGGCTCACGGCAGATGTGAATTATCAACAGGGTGTACTCAGTCCTAATGGGCACCTGATCCCACCTTCGGAACATCAAGGGGTCCGTGCTTTATGCCCCTCTACCATTAATTGTTTTGTTTATAATTTTTTTTGAGATCGACCACTATTATTAATCATTACCTTTTACATTATTCATACGCAAGATAAAAAAGCACCTTCGAATACTTGTCACCTAATGTTATTGCAGTCGATTTGATTCGCATATGGATCTTGAAAAGGTAATACATGTATAGAGGGAAATATTTTATGCACAATAATTTATAGGTTTTTCATTTTATTACTTAACTGAAGAAACTTGATATAGATTTATCAATGATTATAAATATCACTGAAAAAAATGAAATATATATGAGGATAACGAACAATTATCGATCAAAAACTATATACAATACTTTTATGTGAAAAGGGTATAAACATAAACCTAAATTCCAGAGGTGGTATCATTCAAGTTTCTAGGTGAAGTTATCATCCCCATTAATGACCGTTCACACCCGATGTGGACCCTATGTTTTGATAAATGGTGTAAAACATAACAGCTTTTATCCGCCCTTTGCTTTGTGCATTTTTCATGTGTTTTTGATGATATAAAAGTAGATAACCAAAGCTCAATCAATTAAAATATGTACATACGTTTCTTTAGATTGCCACATGGAGTGAATGCACATGGGATCTCCACTGAGGTAAATTTAGAAGTGAAGAACTTGTTTTGCTGACCTTGTCAGCAAATACAATTTATCATTGAGTCAAATGCTGACTGACATTTTCATACTAATTGTTAGTCCATTATTTAAACATCGAATTGACGACGGATTTTCAGTTATTTCCTGATCATGACAAGGAGCACACAGCGGTTGTGACCGGTCGGCAGGGGATGCTCACTCCTCCATGGCACCTGATCCCATCTCTGATGTTTTAGAGGTCCATATTTGCTCTGCTCCTAATTTGTATTGTTTTATGGACTCTAATATTGAATACTGTTAGATTTTTTCCATATTCTTCATGTGAAAAGAGGAGGATAATGTTTTAATGATATTAAACATAATATATTCTGATGTAAACTGTTATTTGAGCGAAACGCGATTGACCATTTTCTTAACTCACCTTAGCAGATTCAAGTTTGTTCAGATGATGGTTCCCTGGTAAAGGACAAGGCTGCAATGAAAGTTTAATAGAGAAATATAAAGAAGAAAATCTTTAAAAGTTTTTTTCCTCAAGATCAACAAAGAATGACACGTCTTTATATGGGACATTCTCAACTAGTGTAGATTCCAGTTTTTAAAACATGACCCAGGGGTTTGGCCTTGATCAAAATAGGCAAAAGATTTTTAAGCTATACTGAAAAACTTTGTGAAAAACTACGACTAGTCTTGCAATATACCTTCATCACCTGCTAACGAGTTTATATCTCTCAGTTGATTCGATACGCAAGAGCATGCTCTACTACTAAAACTAGGTATATTATTGAAAAACAAGTTGATGAAACAAGAATATCAGCAGTCTCGTTTAAAGTCATCATTTCGTAACCTCTATGGGCGATACATTGACCTTGTCAGCAAAGACAATTTGTCATTGAGTCAAATGCTAATTGAAGTTTTTCTTAATAATTGTTAGTCCATTATTTATGAAAAGGAACACACGGTGGGTGTGACCGGTCGGCAGGAGATGCTCACTCGTCCATGGTACCTTTTACCACCTCTAATGTTTTGGAGGTCTGTGTATGCTCTGCTCCTATTTTGTAATGTTTTATGGATGTTTGATCTTGAATACTATTCGTTATCTCCATATCTTTCATGGAAGCATCCTGGAGTAGTTTATATTGATAATAATTATTTTTCAAATCATGACCCCTAAGAAAGGGGAGGGGTCGCAGAAGACAAAGGAATTTCTACAAATGTTTAGGAAAGGGCAGGCAGAAAAGATAGCTTTGATAGTTAGAACCCATTGGATTCACTTCTCATAGACTTATAAAGATTACGTATAAAAATATGCATTGAAGATATCTGAAATGAATAACGCAAAGTATCACGTGTTTTTTTTTTCGACTTTCTCTAGTATATTGATTAAAATCAAAAAAAAATTCTCTAAGTACTATTGCACTAATTGTGTGAGAATAAAGAATAAAATTTCCTTTCCTTTGTACAGTTGGTCCAAAAGAACCGAGATTTCGCCTTTGGAACTGCTGTTGTTGCTGACTCCATGACCGACCCATCTCAAAAAGGATACCAGGATTTCGTGTATAATAACTTTGAATGGGCAGTCCTTGAAAATGCCTTGAAGTGGAGGCAAATGGAGTGGACAGAAGTAAATTCAGTTCAGTTATAAATATCAAAATTTCACTGTCTGATCGACAGTTATAATCTTCATGATGATGATGATGATATGAGTTCATTTTTTCCAGAATCATGTTAATTTGGACAGGCCGTTGAATGCTATTTCTGCATTGAAATCCCATGGGCAAGTATATCACCTCTGAATTACCTCATCTCAAGCTGGTAAGTGAGTAACTATAATAATTTGTTTCGTGTAAATTATGACATTGATTGTTACAGAATTAAAGTTCGAGGACACAACATGTTTTGGGACGTGGAACAATTTATTCCTCAATGGCTGAAAGGAAAATCCCAAGCTGAACTTGTATCTACTATGAAAGGTCACGTGACCCAAGTGATCTCAAGGACAAAGGGGAAGTAAGCTGGGATGATTTTCTCAGCATTTTATTTCATTTTTGCTGTAATTCTCAGTCAATGAAATGAAAAATTCTTTTTTATGTTAATGTGTTTGTTTTTAAAAAAAATATTTTTTCTTTGAATGTTTACACGTAAAGAAACCTGTCATTAGATATTATTCATAATGGTAGATGGTAATTATCAGGATTGATATCATAGTAGTGAATTAGAGTAAACACATCCTCTATAAAGTTTATATATTTTGATTCAACCTGTTTGAAACGACTTTTGGTGGATTGTTTAAGAACATTTGAATACATCTAAAAAAAAAAAATTAGGAAATATTCCAATTTAATTGTAGAGGAAATTTCTTTAAGAAAAAATGGATACAAAATGTAGTTTGCTTATAGGTTAGAACACTGGGATGTCAACAACGAGAATCTCCATGGAGACTGGTTTGAACGTCACACACGTGACCCAGATATAACAGAGAAGATGTTTCAGTGGATCCACCAACAGGAGCCGCACGTGAAGCTGTTCCTTAACGACTACGAAGTCATCAACCAGCCATTCGAAACGACGGTATGTTCAAAGGTGTTAGTAGGGTTAGTTCTTTATCAAATTACTTTTTGAAAAATATACTAGTATATTCATATCTCCTCTCTCACTAAACAACCACAAAAAAAGGAACATGAAGGAGAAAACCATGAAAACATAGGCATTAAAAACTACAAAGTTTATTAGAAACACACTAATTAAATTATTGTTGTTTAGCTTCATTAATCTGTTTAGGGGAATCAAATAAAAGATATTATTGAATACGTAATTGCTGTTTCTCTAGGCACTACGAAATCAAGCATTACATCTTAAGAAGGAGGGGATACCGGTTTATGGTCTTGGACTCCAAGGACATTTCTTTTCACACAACATTGACATTGATATCCTCAAAGTAAACATTTTATAATATTAAATCCGTATGGTTATTCATTTATCAAAGAATAGCAATTTAAAAAAGAAGGCGATAAAAAAAATCGCAATAAGTATTTTTTAAGGATCGGTAGTAAACTGATATACGTGACTGATAACCAAACTCACAATACTTCTGTAAATAATACTACATATCTGACTTAAGTACAGACTGGATAAGCTTGCTGAGTCCGGTCTGAAGCTGTGGATCACCGAGCTGACCTTGACTGACACAGATAACAACAGGAAGGCCAGAAACCTAGAAAATCTCCTGACTTTGTTCTTCAGTCATCCGGCGGTAGAGGGCGTCTTACTCTGGGGATTCTGGGATAGACACATATGGCACCAACAGGATGCACTATTTACCGGAGACAACATCACAGTACTTTGTTATGACTAACCCACAAAAACATAATTTTCATATTGTTAAAGATTAGGTTCAGAGCTTGATAATAAAGAACTTGATGTTTTTATATCGAATTAAAATAAATCAAAAAATTATTTCAGCCGAACGCAGCAGGACAGAAATACCTCGATCTTTTCCATAAAATCTGGAAGACCTACTTCGTTCACAATGTTAACCCTGGAAGTACTGTCAACACACATGCATTTTTGGGAGATTATCTGCTGAACATAAAAAGAAATGGACATCTTATCCACCAGGAAAATTTCAGCCTCGACAAATCAGGAAAAGATATAACTATCCACCTAACAAGTAAGTTGTATTTCAAACTCAACCTCAAAGTGCAGATTTAAATCACATAGAATTTTGTAATACTTTTGGAGGGTGTCGTGTGATAATCAAGTACTTGTATTGTATTTACGATTTTTTTTCATTCCTTTGATTTCAGATGACCACCATGGAGTTTCACAGATTGTGTTTGGATAAGGAGCACAATGTCCCTGTTCATAGACTGATGTTCTGCAAAATTAGTTGTTTTTGCCTGAAAGATATGAATTACAGAAATAACGAATATTTCAATTTGCTTTACAAAAGAAATGGATCCCACTATCATTAAGAAATAAAGTGCTTTATTCGCTTATTCTACGATATTACAGCAATATTTGACTGATAAAAAATAAAACTGAGACTGTTGTTTATTTTTCTGCTTGGTCTGACAAAGTATTTCATAAAAGAATACATCACCACGGGCGTGTCTGTTTTAAATTGAAAGATAGAAACTTATTTCACAGCGAAATGTTGCTGTCCAAAAAGTGAATTTTAGGCTTGGACGTGTTTTTTGTTTCGACTGATTAATATGTTAATAAAGATTGCATTTTGCATCCAACTAGCGCTTACATCTAGCATCTGTATGTACATAACGGCCCAACAATTAATATGAAAAGTTAAAATTTGACTTATTGATAATTTGTTTGACATCATGGCGCTAGACATTACTAGATTTAGCCAAGGCTTGTTGGTCAAGTCGTTCAATAAAATTCATGTGATAACTTGATAACTTGATTTTGGAAACTTTATTCTATCTTAACTAGATGGAGAGCATGAGGATTGATGATGAAACCATGCCAAACACCAAACAAAGCAAAAGCATAGGGCTTAATTATTATCATAGTATACATTACACATTACATCACAGAAAACGTGATAGCATCTTTCATTTTCAGGGGACATACTTACTTAGGTCCACATCAGACTGTCCCAGTATCACCCGGACAGAATTATGTCGTCAAGATGTATGTCAAACTTATTAACCTCATCCAGGGACTTTGTATTTTAGCCTGTCTCTGAGAGTCAATATCCACGAGTTTGGCTGGAGTGTCTACGTGTATGTCTTTTTGTGAGAAATGTCATCAGGTCTGCGTTGAATGCTGGGATCACGGTCACCCCGTCCGTCATTTACCTGTCGGTTCAGTAAACAAAATGTCGATCCTGAGAAAACTAATCGGGGTATTCGTGGACGATACAAATGGCTGTATATCCATCGAGGACACAACCGAGTCAGATGTCATCGTACGATTTGATGACGTCATATTTGAAAAACCCATATGGACAGTTTTTTGTCTTCGACCTTCAGAAAAATTTACTGTTGAATGAAAAAATAAAAATAAGAACAGGTCAACAAATAAACAAAATCCGGTCTCATCGTTTACCTGTTTGAATTGAGCACTTATTGAACTTATTATACGTTGAGTATTAAAATCATACCTAATGCACGTTATATATGTATAGTGTTAAAACAGTTCCGTGAAATTGATATATTTTTACTTAAAAAAAATATTAATACAATTGTTTCAATTTAAGTTTTAATGATAGTTTTGCAGAATACACGGATGAAAACAACGAATATTAAACCTTATATTGATAATAAACAAATGTGATTATCTGTACTTTATTCATTTCATTAGCCTTTACGATTTTTGTTCGACATTGTTTGAGTGCATGATCAAAGTTAAAGGTTTTATATTGTACAAATAAAATATTTGACATAAAAGTTTTTTTACGGACATATGTACTCGTTAATATGTTGGAAGGCTCTATAAATCGTAATAATCTGACCCTTGGTTTATCTATGCAAAACGGCCTGTAAAGTCATTTCTGGCCATTCGGTATGTAACAGGTTTTCACTATGCTGTTGGGTTATTTGATCACAATTTGTTTTTGTGTTACATTTCATGGGACAGGTGCGTCCACTGAATTGTTCCACAATGCTGATTTCGAGAGCACTTCCTTTTCCGGTAATTGGGTAGCTATTGACTGTACCATGACTTCCCGTACTGATGATAAATATCATGGAACTCGCAGTATCATGGTCTCTCATAGGCGAGTAAAATGTCATCCATCCCTATTTCCTGTTTTTATGGTTGAAGCAATGATAATTGCCTTGCCTTTGTTTAAGTTTGGTTTGAGTTTATTCTGAATCACTTACGAAAGTAATGATTTAGACATAAATATAACATAATTGTTTCTATACCAGTTTTTGAATTAGCTATATATTTATCCTTCAAATGAAGCTTTCTTGTTCTTGTGTAAATCTTTCTGATGTTGTAGACATCATGTGTGGTCGGCAGTCCGGCAGACATTTCATGTCACTCCTGGGAAGAATTATGTGGTTAAGATGTACTTCAAGCTCCTTAACCTTCCTGATGGACACCCTTACGCCGAAGTCAAACTGAACGTGGCTCTTACAGTAAACGGTATCCTGCAATCGCATATTACAAATTGGAAATTCACTGTTTATCATCTGACTTTCAAAGAGATTTTTTAGCTGATATTGTAGTGTTGAAAAAGATATTTGATAGAAAGAATGAAAATTAAACATGTACTTCAGTGTTCTGTTTCTTCATCTTTTTCTTCTCTATTTATACAATTTCTGTCACCAAACTTGATATTTTAAGGACATCCGAAGTACTTCATGTTGGCAAAGGTTCCTATGCAACAGCTAAAATTTGGATGGACGGAAATAAGTGGCGATTTTTATGCCCAAGAAGGTTAGTTTCTCTATTTTGAATTGTTCTATAAACCTTTCTTGTCTTTTTTCATATTTCATACAACATAATTCAAACCATTTGTTAGGCGTTTGTATTTCCATCTCCCTGATCATTGTAAAGGGCTTATGGCTGGTGTAACCGATCAAAAGGGGATGCTTACTACTTCTACACACCTGATCCCATCTCTAGAATTTCCGAAAGTCCATGTTTATGCCTTGTTTACAGATTTGTATAGCATGCAGTTTTATGAGATCGATTTCTTTTGATATCTTACCTTTTCTTTCATTTTTCTAGGAGCCACAGTTGCTTATCCATACATAGAGATACCAGACATTTCTGTCAATTACCTGGTTGACTTCGCCAGTGCTCAGGAGCTACCCCATAATTCACACTGGATGCCAGATGCTCAAAAAAGAATCAACAGTATCCGAAAGGCCCCTGTTTCATTCAAGTAATTAAACAATCTTTGATTCGCTACGTCATGACACAACATTGATTACGTATAATGCTTCTGTCTTTCCATCTATCATCTTTTAGTTTAACTAGGTCATCATACGTCATTGAAAATGCAGTCTGGCTTCACAGTTTAAGTACTTCCTAATCGTTTTGGCCAGTACTTTTCATCATGATTGAAAGCGAAGTTTCATACCACAAGTCATTAAATAAAATGTAAAGAAAGACATTAGAATATTGAATTGAATTTTGCTTGTATGGTTAAATGATTTATATAATTTTTTTTTCTAAGAGTAAATGCAGCTGATCTATTAAGGATTGTGCTAACGAAATATTCCAATTACCTGGTGCATGATTATTGTTTTTTAACCTTGGTGAACGTTTGTACATGTTTCATGCACCTTTTAAAATGTTTCAGAGACTATGCACGGAAAAAGAGCAATAAACTGTTTTAACACTTCATCAATTAAATGTATGTATTTATTTAATCATTTAGATTGGCACATGGGGTTAATGCACATGGCATTTCAATCGAGGTATGTTAAACTTACCTAAATTGTTTTTGAAAAAAAGAGTTTGGTTATTTCGTAAAATCTTTGAAGCAGTAAATAACTATTTCTATACCAATTTTGTCCTTCGTCGTTTTGTCATAGTTAGTTTCTAGCTATTTTGCTATGCCTGTAAATAATGTTAAAGAACTTTATTCGGTAATAACCAATATTTGCCCCCCCCCCCCCCCAAAAAAAAAATCAAACATGGATATATATTTAATTAAGTTCTTGAACAGGGGAGTATATGCTGACTTCAAAACACTGAATATTTTCATAAGTAATGACGCCATATGTACGTAATGACGTCACAATCATGACGTAAATTTCAGTGTTTTATGAATTTTACAGAAAAATGTACATATTTCGTCGATATTTTGAGTAAAAGTCACCGAGCGCATGTGTGTTCAGGATCAATATTTTGATATAATGTGTAGAATGATAATATCAATGAAATATGTCAATATTGTTCCTGAACAAACTTGCGCTCTATAAATTTCAAAGCTAAAATTGTTGAAATTTTGTCTGTTTTATCCTTTTTCTGAATAAGGATATAAAATCGGACTAGTTTGTGACGTCATAAAACAAGAAATGTGAATACACTGCTTTGACACTAGAATATTTTCTGTTAATATATATTTCTCATTCAATTTATTGAATTCAGCACATTTCAGGAAGTTTTCAAAATTTGACTTTTGTGGGGGCAAATATATGTTTTATACCGCATATAGTTCTTTGGTGTTTCTCGAGTTATAGTTCAATCATAACTTTCATAACCCATTTTTAAAAAGAAATTTTGACATTATGCATGCAAATCTTGTGATAAATCATTGTTTTTCTTACTAATAGTGCTTGTAAATGATGATATGAATCTAGGCAACTCTCACTTAAATTTATACTGACGAGTTACAGATCAATGAAATATGAAGATATCGAACATTAATCAAGTTCAATAGTCCATAAAAAAGCAAATTTGGATCTGAGGAAACACAAACCTCTAAAAACATCAGAGGTAGGATCAGGTGCCATGTAGGAGTAACCATCCACTGCCGACCGGTCACACCCGCCATGACCTCCTTATGATCGGACGAACGGAAAAATCGGTAGACAATTCAATTTGAAAGTAATGGCTTAGCAATATGCATGAAAAAGGTTTGTCTACGTTTGACATAGTGATAGATTGTATTTGCTGACAGAGTCATTATATCGGCCATATGAAGGTGACAATAAATATTGCTTCATATATAAGAGAAGTAGATGATACAAAACTTAAAGTAATCAAATTTACCAAAATTTTTGTTTTAAGGTTAAAGTTAACATCTTTTTATAGTAATTATACAGATTTGAAACAGATTCATTTAATGTATAAAAAATGAATGTTTTCGGGGGCATTCATGTCAAACTTACACGTCTAGTTTTACAGCGCTATAGGTTTCACAGATATCGATGTAAGTAAACAATCCTTACACTATATTAAAACACGTTTTTTATGGTTTTACGTGATTTTTATTGTGGTCTCTGTAGTTTTACGTCACCTTCGAGAAATTTTCACTCATTTAGAGGGGCCACCGTGCATTTGTAAAGAGTTTAAAATTTAGACTTTTACTCAGCCCTCAGTGCAACTGAGCAATGATGGCTCTTTATTATGCCAACGGTTTTAATGACTAGAGGACCCAAATTTTAAACTTTTTATCTGACAATCCTGCAATTTTCACTTTTAGGTGCAAACCGTTTGGCAAAGAAACATTTGCTACCAATTTTGTATCGATTAAGATCTGTCGCGACTGAACTTGAACGCAAGGCTATAACGTGTATTTGTCAAATTACAAAGTATCATTCCTGTATTTCTAGACCTCTAGAGTCCGTTTATTTGTCAATTTTTCTCTCTTTTTTGAATTGATGGCAAAATCATAGTTATAATACATTTCCTTCTCTCTGTGAAGTTGATCCAAATGAAACGAGATTTCGCTTTTGGAACTGCTGTGGTTGCTCAATCCATGACCAATCAATCTGAAAAGGGATACCAGGACTTCGTGTACAAGAACTTTGAGTGGACAGTCTTTGAAGGTGCTCTGAAGTGGTTGGCAATGCAGTGGTCAGAGGTAAGGGTAGTTTAAATTAATTGACATGGACAGAATAGTTGTGGTTCAATTATATTAGATGGATCAAGAACGTTTAGAAGAAAGAGATGGTTTGATTTCAGTGTCTGAGGGTCGAATGGAAGATTTCTGTTCAATAACTTAAGGGTGATATATCATGACTTTGATGAACAAAAGTGATTTTACTATCTGAAGCACATGGATTAGGGAAGAGTGGACAAATGTAGTCATATATTCATTGCATAAAGTTGATGTACTAAAGAGGAGATGACAGAGATGGATATTAATTCATTACTGAAATTTGATGTATTAGGGAAGAGTTGACAGAAGTTAGTGGACAGAGGTAATCTTTGTTTGATTATCTTAAGGGAATGTTTAAGTTAGAATAGACAGGGAATTCATTATTCTGTGACTTAAAAGTGATATACTTGGGTAGACAGAAATATGGTTTTTTCTTTTACTTAACAAGGTTCTTCTAGGTTTAAGTAGGTAGAAGTAGGCATGGTTTGATTTCTATAAAATTGTTTTCGAACATGGAGATGGAATAGATAGATTGTAAGATCGTAAATTTTTATTTAAGAAAGAGAAATATTTCAACTCTCTTTACCTGGTCCTAAGATCAAGAACATCTGAAGCTGGGGTCAAAATATTTATGTTTTAGAAGTTAAAAAGAAACATCTTTAACTAATTTTCAATATTGCTTTACAAAAGGTGTTGTTATCTGCAAATTTAGAGATGACTTCAATTGTAGTTTTGTTTGAAGACAGTTGATAATTTGACTTAAGTCTAAGCCAGTTTCATGATCCTCGGGCCTGCTTGTTTCATTCTTGGTTGAAAGGTTTTTTTTTTTATTATATTCATTAATACTTATTGCAGAATCACTTTAACTTAGACAGAGCGTTGAATGCTATTTCTGCACTGAAATCTCATGGGCAAGTATTACACATCTGGATAACCTAAATTTCATCAGGCGTATGAGTTATATATATTCAAGATAAATCATTGTAAAATGTATGATATTGATCACTACAGAATTAAAGTTCGAGGACACAACATGTTTTGGGATGTGGATCGGTTTATTCCAAAGTGGCTGAAAGAAAAATCCCAAAATGATCTTTTGTCTTCTATGAAAGATCACGTAACCCAAGTGATCTCAAGGACAAAGGGGAAGTAAGCTGATTATTTTAGCATAGGATTATGATTATGAAATAAAAATAAAACCAAAACAAAGCAAAAACATCCCTCATAAAAACCCTTGTACATTCTGTGATAAGTAATACTCTATTCTAATTTAAAAATGTCTAAAATTGTCTATATATGCAAATGAATTGTCAACTCAATATTACTGTCATTATATAAAGGTAGACAGTGAGTTGAAGAAAGCAATACTAATTTGTTTGAGAAATATTGGAGACAGAGTGTATCTTGTTGGTAGGTTAGAACACTGGGATGTCAACAACGAGAATCTCCATGGAGACTGGTTTGAACGTCACACACGTGACCCAGATATAACAGAGAAGATGTTTCAGTGGATTCACCAACATGAGCCGAACGTGAAACTGTTCCTCAACGACTACGAAGTCATTAACCATCATTATTTTACAACAGTATGTTCAAATTGTTATTAATCAACTCACCTACTACAACAAATAAAAAATGACAAGGATGAAAGAAAAATAATGCGTCAACCGACAATTTAAGAAACAATCAACAAAAGATTTGCAAAACACGAAATACATCCCCCACACATATATACACGCGAAACTGCAAATAAAATAAACCACCCCCACACATATATACACGCGAAACCGCAAATAAAATAAAAATTACATCGAATCTGTATTTGTCATTTCATTGTAGGCACTACGAAATCAAGCATTACATCTAATGAAGGATGGGGTACCTGTTTATGGTCTTGGACTCCAAGGACATTTCTCTTCACACAACATTGACATCGATGTTCTCAAAGTAACCATTGCGCAACAATTTCGTTTAACAAATAACAGATTATGGAAGATATAAGAAAACGATTTGTACTGAAAGTTTTCAAAGTTAGTTTGACTGATTTTATGTAAAAATTATTACAAAGCAACGTTAATAATGAAAACATTATTCTTTATACTGTAATGTAAGAACATTATTCTTTATACTGTTATGTAATATTACATATCTGACTCAAGTACAGACTGGATAAGCTTGCCGAGTCCGGGCTGAAGCTTTGGATCACCGAGTTGACCTTGACTGACACAGATAACAACAGAAAGGCCAGAAACCTAGAAAATCTCCTGACTTTGTTCTTTAGTCATCCGGCGGTAGAGGGCGTCTTGTTCTGGGGATTCTGGTATAGACACATATTTCACAAACAGAATGCTCTATTTACTGGAGATAACATAACAGTAATATAATTGAAGATCAGTAATAACTACTGAAAAATATAATTCCTATATATAATTCAATATTTATATTTGATATTTATAAATGAAGCTGGTGATTTGTGTTCAAAGAGTCACTGAAATATAAATTTGTTTTAGCCGAACGCAGCTGGACAGAAATACCTCGATCTTTTCCATAAAACCTGGAAGACCCACTTCGTTCACAATGTTAACCCTGGAAGTACTGTCAACACACATGCATTTTTGGGAGATTATCTGCTGAACATAAAAAGGAATGGACATCTTATCCACCATGAAAATTTCAGCCTCGACAAATCAGGAAAAGATATAACAATCCACCTAACAAGTAAATTGTTTCAAAGTCAACCTCAAAGTGCAAATTTAAACCACATAGAATTTTGTAATACTTTTGGAAGGTGTCGTGTGATAATCAAGTACTTGTATTTTATTTACGATTTATTTATTCCTTTGATTTCAGATGACCACCATGGAGTTTCACAGATTGTGTTTGGATAATGTCCCTGTTCATAGACTGATGTTCTGCATAATTATTTGTTTTTGCCTGAAAGATATGAATTACAGAAATAACGAATATTTCAATTTGCTTTACAAAAGAAATGGATCCCACTATCATTATAAATAAACTGCTTTATTCGCTTACTCTATGATATCACAGCAATACCTTCCAAACGAGTGACAAAATTCTCGAGAGAGACTTTAAACACCATACACAGCAATGCCCGACTGCTAAAAACTAAAATCAAGAATGTTATTTATTTTTCTGCTTCGTCCGACAAAGGTATTTCATAAATAATATCCACTGCCATCCTTCATTGTTAAGGTCAAGTTCTAGTAAATAAGCCTTTTTAGTGTCAGCTGCATTATGACATTATAATTGATTTAAACTTAATTTTTCCCGTATTTTACGACAGTAATAGAATTATGTAGAAAATGAAGCATTTTCATGGCATTCAATTCAAAATTATGTCAAAAGTAACCCGGCTACCTATGTTTGTGTTATTATTATTATTTTAAAGATGAAGTCAAGAATATATGAAAATTCGTTTTCTGAGAGACTGTCGACAATACTAAAAGATTTCCAAAATCTGACATTGAAAAAAGTATATTTATGCAAGACCTTCTTTTTTAAATTAGAAATAGCATATAAAGTATCTATTTTCATTGAGTTTACCTAAAAAAAGTCTCGATACATTTTATTCAACCAAGCTACATTTGTAAAGGATCATTAGAAAAATTTGTTTCTCAATTTTGAGAAATCTATAGGCATCTGTCATTTACTAGATCTTGACCTTAAATGAAATTCTTATTCTTCAATGATTAAGGTTGAAAAATTTCGTTTATGCGGCATAACATTGTAGGTCTGCCTGTTTCTCTTCCTCTTTTTAATTGAAAATAGAAACTTATTTTAAGCGATACATTACTACCAAAAAGAGAATTTTAGCCATGGACATGAATTATTTTCTTTTTCGACTGATTAATATGTTACGAAATTAAAGAAGAAAAGAAAAAAGATTGTATTTTGCATCCAAATAGTGCTTACATCTTGCATCAGTGTGTAAAAATGTCCTAATAATTAGTATGAAAAAGTCGGTCAACATTTGGCTCAGTGATAAATTTTATTTGCTGACAATGTTATTGTAATGACCATAGAACTTACGAAATGAAGACTTTTAATAAGATTGATATTCTCATTTCATCTTCTATTTGGTCAATAACTTACCTCGTTTCAGAAATTGTTCATACGTAGAGCATGTCATTTTTAATAAAAAAAAATATTTGAACAAAGAAAGGTACAAATTAGTTTGACGACATTGAATCTAGCTCAAAGATCTACAGAACAATTCAAATTCAAAATAGAGCAAATAGCGTCCTATATCATAGAGATGGCATCCCGTGTCATGGAAGAGAAAGAAAGTCCTTTTTCCCTTCACATTTGCATTTTGCTTCTTGTTTTGTTTGGGAAAACAAGAAAATTCTGGAGACATTCATTTGGAAAGCAATGACCTATTGATTTGAATGAAAAATGTTATTCAAATTTGACCTATCGATAGAAAATCTATACTAACAATATGTAAACATTAAACTTTTGAATTCGAACGATGATTGACTTTTAAGAAATAAAGCGTACTTTATATTTCATATTTTTATACATTATGTAATGAACAGTGAAAGTTCACTAAAACAAATAAATATTAGCTTTGATTATGAAAAGCACCTAATACTTTTATAATATAAATTAAGAAAACGTCGAATTGTCCTCGAAATATGTGAAATACCATGCATTCTCTCTCGTATTCACGTAACAAAGGTAGCATTTAATCTTCAGGAATTCGGACATTGTCTTATCGCGTCCAATGTTAGTACTGACTTAGTACATTAAGAGACAAAGATTATACGAATGACTGAGAAATATGTTACTATATATAATTGTAAGTTCCCTTGTCATCAGTTGTATAAAAGCACAGAATGAATTGCTGCATAATTCTGATTTTGAAAGTTCATCCTTTTCCGGAAACTGGGTTTGTAGCGACTGTACGATGACCACCCTCACTAGCGACACCTATCATGGGAGACAATCTGTTAAAGTTACAAACAGGTTAGTCTTTTCCTTATGGAGATTTACATTTTCGGTAGTTGTGGTATTTTAACCTCAGAACACATGATGGCATCTCTTTCATTTTCAGAAGACATACTTACTCAGGGCCTCACCAGACTGTCCCAATTTCACCCGGACAGAACTATGTCGTTAAGACGTACGTAAAACTTCTTAATCTTCACCCGGGGACTTTGTATTCTAGCTTGTCTATGAGAGTCAACCTTCAAGTAAACGGTAATTTAGTTTCAGTATATAAAGAAATGAAAGTGATGGACATTTTTTTTTAAAGAAAAAGAAAAACAACTGAAAAACAGTAGTGTAATAATTAAAGACATTTTCAGCGATTAAGCTATTTTGCAATGTTTTCTTTTTCAGGAAAAACTGTACATCTAAAAGTGGCTCAACAGCCTATGCAACAATTGAAGTATGGTTGGACAGAAATAAGTGGCGATTTCTTTGCACTTAATGGTACATGTATCTTTATATTATATTGCTCCTTGTGCTATCTTTTTATCCTTTAATTGTACCATGTGAAATAATTCAGAAATTTGCAGCATTTCAAATGATTATAATATATTAATATTTATAGAATTTAACATATCTTAGGAACTTCATCAGCAACGATTTTCCTTGAGGTAATGAATGTTGATATCAATTATCTGATGGATTCAGCAAGTCTTCAACCATTACAACACGATTCACACTGGTTATCGAGAGCTCATAACCGCATCAACAAACTCCGTAAAGCACCCGTCACAATAAAGTACGTGAACTTGTAAATTTTATTAATAGCGTGAGGTGTTTACTGTATGTAAAAATGATACAAGATTAATCCCCATAGAAATAAAATGTCTGTTAAAAAAAACTATAGAAAACTCATATTTTATAGAATTATCTCGTTCATAAATTAATGAAGCAACTTACATTTTTAGACTGGCACCAGGACAGCAGACTCATGGATTCTATGCTGAGGTATGGATTACATGTACATAATATATATCTTGTAGTTAAACAATTTATATCACTTTTCTACTTGAAAGCAGTTGATCCTCATTAAAGAAAATTACATTGTCCTTCATGATCTTTCTATTCAGTTTTTTTTCTTTTGCAAAATAACGCTCTTGATTTCACTTAGCTAATTCAACAAAAAAGTGCATTTCCGTTCGGAACAGCCGTCCATGCCGACAAGCTAGGAAATCCTATGTACCAGAAATATACAGACTTTGTCGTCAAAAACTTTGAATGGGGTGTCATAGCAAATATGCTGAAATGGAAAGCACTAGAACATAGAAAGGTAAGAAAGACATATCAAACTCGAAATTGGTGAACGTTCAATAGATGTCAGATTATCTCTTATTTAAAACAATCCAGAGACAATTTGAAGGAAGGTGACGGTATTCATTTCACATTTTTTCCAGGGTCATACAAATTATACACTTGCAATGAACGCATTACAACTTCTTCAATCTCATGGGTAAGCATCTTCTGAACTTTAAATGCATTGAACAAAAATTAAATCTTGATTGAACCAGTTTTTAGCATTGGTTAAAAATTGTTACTCCTTTTACCAAAGACAATAATGACCAGCTAGAAACTAGTTTTTGTCCAGTTCACGATTCAATTTGATCGCTGCATGAATGAGATTGGTCACTCTTTGATATCTTTACCTTTTACTTTTTTTCACGAGGATTTTAAGAGAAATTCTTTGGTCAATTCACAGAATGCAGGTTCGCGGTCACAACATGTTTTGGGATGTTGACAAGCACGTGCCAACTTGGTTACAGGGGATGTCTCCATCAGATCTTGTCAAAGAAATGGAAGCCCATGTAAATGATGTTATGTCGCACACCCGTGGAAGGTGACAATAAAAAAAATAATACTACGATAATATGTTTAAAGGATTAAAACCATATATATAAATACCTATTTTTGATGGCATGAAAATATAAAAGTCCTTTTACATGACACAAAAAATATTTTCTTTCCAACTAAAATGCTATGCGACAAAAGTTTCTATGACGGTCAAATGAAATATATTGAGTAAAAATCAGTATTCAAGCTCAAAAAGTTCATTCAAACAATACAAATCAGGAGCAGAGCAAACACACCTCCAAAACATCAGAGGTGGGATCAGGTCCCATGTTTATGTCTCACTTTCATAGAAAATAGAAATAATTTTATGTTGTTTTTTTAAAAATTCTTTTTCATCAAATTGTGCGAATATTGAGAGGATGGTAATATAAACAGATAAAGGTCATGGCAAATTGAATATTAATTTTCTATTGTACAGGCTTGTACACTGGGATGTAAACAACGAGAACCTACACGGGGATTACTTCGAACGTCACACGAGGGACCCAGACATCACCCACAAAATGTTTCAGTGGATCCACTCCCGTGATCCCAGCATTAAACTTTTCCTTAATGACTACTCTATTCTCTCTCAGTCCTCCATGACCACGGTCGTCAGATTACGTCAAATTTATATTTATTTTTGTATCGGAAAAACAAACAACTGAAAATTACGAGTTATAAAAATTAATTTTATGTATTTATATCAGCATAATACTTTCAGGCAATCAAAAATCAGGCTGTTAATTTTATCAAAAGTCACGTTCCTATCGGAGCAGTTGGTTTACAGAGCCATTTTCATGGAACAGATATCGATATGGATGTTATAAAGGTACATGTATTATTCTTATTCAATGAAATAGTGTAAGTTTGGTTTACAATTAAAAGTTTGATTACGAACTAATTGTTTTGACTTCGTGTATATTCTTATGTATATAAATTGTTGAAATAGTTTAAAACACATCTTTATCTGTGAGTAATTTTTCGAAAACTAATTAGAGATTGAATAATAAAACCTCAACATTATCATTGCCATCCTTACTTATAGCACAGACTTTATAATCTCTTTGATTGCTTTACTTGCCATTCTGTCTGTACAATTCTTTTATATATACAATGCATTTGCCATCTTTTCTTCACAGTACAGACTGGATAAGGTGGCGGAAGCCGGACTAAAGATCTGGATCACCGAGCTGACAGTCGGAGCAGCAGACGACAACAGGAAGGCGGCAGCTTTGGAGAAATTGATGACGATGTTCTTCAGTCACCCTGCAGTAGAGGGGGTCATTCTTTGGCATTTCTGGGACGGTTCTAACTGGCATCAAGACGAGGCTTTATTCAACGGTCCAGATATATCTGTAAAGATATATTTGTTTATTTTCAAAACATCTTCAATTTTTAAAGTCTTTTGACGGAGAAAATTTTGTAACTTATAAGATCCACTGACTTCACTACTTTTTAATGATTTGAACATGACAAGGAGCACACTGCGGGTGTGTCTGGTCGTCAGGGGATGCTCACTTCTCAATGGCACCTGATCCCACCTCCAATGTTTTAGAGGTTCATATTTGCTCAGCTCATGCTTTTTAATGTCTAATGGACTTTTAAGCTCGAATTCTGTTCGTTATTCGCCGTATACCACATATTTCATCTGAAAATTAAGTAACATATATCACAGTTTATTAAATTTAACTTTTAGCCAAATGCTGCGGGACGGAAATATTTAGATCTTGTTCATGGCACCTGGAGATCTCACATGAAACGTAGGATAGATCCAGGTCACACAGTAAATGTTACAGCGTTTACGGGGGATTATGTTCTGAGCGTTCGACGGAACGGTCACGTGATTCACAACGAGACATTTAGCTTAGGTTCAGCGGGAAAAGATCTCACAGTTCATCTTACAGGTAAGTTTCCATGAGGAATTCGTCTTAACCATTGTTTGATCTTTTAATTGTTTTGCTTTATTTTTCGTTTTACTCGTCTTCTTTTTTTTTTTTTTTTACAGATGACCACCAGCATGTTTCACAGATTGTGTTTGGTTAAGCATAAAGCATATCTTTAAAATTTTATGTTTATAGAATATTAAAAGTTATCATATCTAGTATATATTGTTTTATTTCCTATTCATTGAATAAAAAAGTAGAGTAATAAGAGTGATAACTAATAATTAATTAAAAAATCTGAAAATCCTAATTAAAACATGACAAATTGAATAAAAAAAAATGTTATATAAAAACTTTTGTATTTTAAACACCCAACAAAGTAGAAAAAATAAGAAATAATTTGCTGTAAATTCAATACATGTATGTATTGGGTTCAGTATAACCAGAGTATATTTCAATTAATATTGTATCTTTGCATCTTGTTCACTAAATGAAGATAAAATGTGTTTAAAGATAAAATAATAATAAAAATTTATTCACTATCTAATGTAAGTAATTGTTGTTTTTATTGTTTCCATCAACGTTTCTTTATACACAAGCTTTCTCCTTCACAACGGGGTTAATCAGATGTGAAAAGGCTCTGAAAAATTCCACCAATACTAAGATCGGGGACTGACGACAGCGTTATGTCATTTTTCTTATAAATCAGTCATCAAAAGTTATTATATATACTAGTCAAAATTTCTAAGTCCCCAGGCAAGTTTTTGCTTTACAGCGCTCTTATATTGAATTATTTTAACAGTATAATTTAATAAGTATACGGGATAAAAAAAAGTAGCAATACATCTTTTTCTCACTTAATTTATTTTATTGAAGCACTTGATCACAATATGCAGAAATGTTAAGGCACCCTAGAATTAAAAATTCACAACGTTAGATACTGCAATATCCTCCATTCAAACTAAATCACAGCAAGACAACCGTTCCTCAAAGAGTTTACACTATTTAAGAAAAATTCTTTTTATTGAATGTTTTTCCATGTGGAGACTAGGTCGTCCTCTAGTTCCCCTAGATTCTGCTGCTGGAAAAGCTGTCTCAAACTCCGGTTTATCTTCTTCCATACATGTAAGTTTGGGTTGAGATTAGGATGACAAGGGGGCTTACCGAAAGTGCCTGTGCCTTGCTAACAAAAGTTAAATAATGTCTTATTACATGTGTACCCCATTCCTCTTGTTTGACATTGAGGGGAGGGCACTTCCGGTTCCGGTTCCATTGATTTTTCCGGATAAATTCTAGGATGATTTTGTTGTGTTTGTTGAAAATCTAGCGATTTCTAATGATTAAAAGGAATTCAGGTATGCTTTGTAGGTTTTTCGGGCGATAATTATAAAGGTTTTAAGTAAAATAAAGTCATACAGTGAAAGGAAACTGAACTCTCGTCAACTACGACCAGCTTGGGCCATTTCAACTTCACTTTCACATTGTTGTGTGGACATACACCACACTTTAATCAAACTTTTTTCTGTTTTTCTTTACCAATTAAAGATGGAGAACAAATGGAAGTAAAAAATATGAAGAATACACCCGAAAAACATATGGAACTCGAACTTCATGCTTTTTAACAAAAACGGTCACGGTCGAGTAATTAAACATTCAATTACAATTTTTTTTGGGCCTTAACAGGTAAGTATTGCAAATTAAAGGCAAAATTGTAAGCAACTAGTACATTGATGTTAAGGTTTTGGACTTTTTGAAAAAATAAAAGTGGGGACTTAGAAATTTTGACAAGTATAGTTTTATATCATGTAAATCAAGCTTTTCATTGAATGATTGGTAACATGGCATTTTACAGATATCGAACGATAATTAGTTTTAAATTTAATTAAATATTGCAGACCGTGAACACCACCAGACTTTCTATTTGTTCCATAAAGAAATTTACTGAAACATTCGATGTCAAGCTTACATGGACATGTATCTTTATTTATTTTACTCCTTTACTCTTTAAAAACATGGTGATTGGGTGTCTCACACGTCCCTTATTTAAAAGTCCGTAACACTTCGGATACCATGTTTTTACTCAACTTTTTAGCAATACTCCTGCATCACTGATTAAAATTAAGTTAGATTTGTGCAACTGTATACTCTTATCAGACAGATAATATGGTTCTAAATTAAAAGCCAAGACTTGGACTGTCATTTCAGTTTCCTATTTGGCGCAATGGTAGAGCGTTTGCTCTAGAGTCGCAGATCTTATGTATGGACTTGAAATTTCGTCGCAGGTTTTCGTCGCAGGTTTTCAATCCCACTGGAATTCGAGGGTGAGACAGTAAAACCCTATGTCATGTGTCTCATGAGGTGCTGGCACAAAAGGATCTTCACTGATCAAAGACTGCAATTGCAGAATACAGGTCAAAATTTCCAACCATCACCGGCAAGTGGTGGCATCTCAGTATGAGAGAAATTTTCTCAAAGAGACGTTAAACAAACATACAGACAAAATATGCGTGAACGACCAAGCAAAGAAACTTTAGTCCTAAAAAAGTCAAGAGGTCAGAAATTTGATCTAGATCTGACAAAGGCACTCATACCTTATCTTGCCCACCACGTGAATCAACAATACAATCTTATAAGTATAGATAGATTCAAAATAAGTTTGGGTTTCTAGTTTATGCAAGCATACACATAGCATGTCAAAATTTTCCTTATTATACGGACTTCTATTGTTTATATTTCACTCTAATGCGGAGACCGAATTACTTAAAAATGGAGACTTCGAGAGCACGTCTTTTAGTGGAAATTGGCAGGCTGCAGACTGCAGGGTGACGTCATATACAGCTGATAAATATCAGGGAAGCAGATGTATAAAAATATCGAACAGGTTAGACAAAACTGTTTCTGTGGTTAAAGCGTTTACTATCGAGTGGTGGAGTAAGGAGTTGATCCTTACGTCGTGGGTCCAATCCCACTGTGGGACGTGGAGACCGGTCCTTCGTTTACCAGCTCCCGTGTTGCAGTATACGCTGCCGCGAAAAAGATCCTTCTCTGCTCAACGGCCGTATATGCATGTCTAAATTTGCAACCCTCAACCGGCAAGTGTTGGGGTCTCAATCGGGGTGATAGTTCTGTATCAAACACGAAAGATGAAAGATCATAGGTTGGGTTATTGAATTTATCAACATGAGTAATGATTTAGACTCAAAACATCAAATAAAAATGGTTCTAAAAAATTAAGAGGAAGTGAAAATCGACGGTAGGGTATTCAGCATTCTATGTTGATGAGCTGTCGTTCTTCATCATAAGGCACCATGACTGGTCAGCGGTCCGTCAGGATGTCAGTCTTACTGGAGGACACTGGTACGCGGCCAAAGCATACATCAAGTTACTCAACATGCCAGCAGGTGCCCACTACGTGTACATGGAAATGATGGCAGCAGTCCATGTAAACGGTTTGTATCTTCTTATAAATTCTGCCGTGTTCAGTATTGAATATGCAGTAAAACGTAAGTTAAATGTAAAGCTAGGTGTTTTTTCATGTGATGTTTGTCTTAGAGGAATCTCTTTGTAGGACATACAAAATACAGAACTGTTGGTCAAATTCACATGCAGCAAGAGAAGTATGGATGGACAGAAGTCGGAGGGGACTTCTTTGCAGAGCAGGGTGAGTTTTGTATGCACAACTACCTTTGTAAATAAATAATTATGTATATGAAGCTATGCTTTTCAAATATATATAAATGAAGACGTTTTATATATAAACTGTCTGTAAACAGGTGCGACAGGAGCTACCTTGTATGTCCAGGTCCACAACTCCACTGTGAATTATCTACAAGACTTCTCCAGCCTTCAGAGGATTCCTACAAACCCCAACTGGAAATCGGAGGCTAATGCTAGGATCAACAATATCAGGAAAGCCCCCATAACAGCCAGGTCAGTTCTGTAATCTTTTGTATATTTTGTTTGAAAAACGAATAATTCCATCAGAAAATAAACGTCACATGATGTTTCTTTGAAAGGACCATGAGGGGAAAATCAGTGTCCGCTTGTAAGGTTTTATTGTAATTGAAATTTATATTGAAAGTTTCCAGTGCTTATGATTTTTACGAAGCCGAAAAAATAGAAACAATAACTAGCCATAAATTTTGGGAAATAATGATTGATTCTAATATTAAAAGAAATGAAAGAAACAAGAGCTAGCCATAAATGTTTGGAAATAATGATTGATTCTAATATTAAAAGAAATGAAAGAAACAATAACTAGCAATAAATTTTGGAAAATAATGATTGATTCTAATATTGAAAGAAATGAAAGAAACAATAACTAGCCATGAATTTTGGGAAATAATGATTAATTCTAGTATCAATGAATACATTTATTCTTCAGCCTAGTAAACGGAGCGTCAGCTCAAGGACTTAGCGTTGAGGTAAATCTTGTTATTCTCTCTTAATTCCAATTTAAGTAATTCGAAAAGGAGATGCTCCTCTGTAATTGAGAAAACAAACCATTATTCATAAAGCATTGAATTGACTGGTTAGTGTTTAACACCGAGTCGGCAATATTACAGCCATATTTAGTCGCCCGCTTGGCGCAGTGGTTAGAGCGTCTGCTCAAGAGTCGCGAAGTAAGGAGTTGAACCTTATGTCGCGGGTTCGAATCTCACTGTGGGACGTGGAGACCTTCGGATGAGACTGTATAAACCGAGGTCCCGTGTCGCAGTAGGTGCTTACACGAAAAAGATCCCTCTATGCTCAATGGCCCTAAGTGCCGAGTATAAGACAAAATTTGCAGCTCTCCACCGGCAAGTGGTTGCGTTTCCATATGAGTGATTCTCGAGAGGGACGTTAAACAAGATACAATCAATCAATACAGCCATATTTATGCGAGAAACTATGATTCATAAAGTACTTAATTCAGATTTGGTCTTATTATATCTTTAGTTGCAGCAACAGAAGAGTAGCTTCGGATTCGGTGCTGGTGTAGTGGCCGACATGATGACAAACCATAACCAACATGCGTATCAGAACTTCGTATATAAAAACTTTGAGTGGGCAGTGATTGTTAACGCTCTTAAGTGGCGTCTCATGGAATGGTCAAAGGTTAATTTTTTGTTCAAATTAGTTAAAATTATGATTTCCAATATAATATCCTTTTATTTAAATTAACAGATTTTTTTTGCAAGTTTGATAGCTATAGAAGAAATTCAATTTTTAATGGTAAAGTTAGCTTAGATACTTATAATTTACATGTCCCTTGCTGTTTTTCAATTAAGGGCCATATTAACTTCGCCAGACCTGACAATGCTATAAAAGCCCTGAGTTCTCACGGGTATGTACTTATATCAAACCATCAGCCTTCAAATAGTCTTTATCGAGGGGGAATTTAGTATCCTTTCATCGGTGTTGCAACTTTGAAGAATATTTACATATTTTGTTTGAAAGATGAAAATAACAAGTAAACTTTATTTAAATAAAGTGTAAAGATCCGAGGCCACAACATGTTTTGGGGAGTGGAAGGGCATGCACCGGCGTGGTTGGCGGGAAAATCTGCAGCAGAATACGTCACCGAAATGAAACTTCATGTCCAGGAAGTCATAAGCCATACCAGAGGAACGTAAGGAGAGAGAGAGAGAGAGAGAGAGAGAGAGAGAGAGAGAGAGAGAGAGAGAGAGAGAGAGAGAGGAAATCCTTCCGTAATCAAATCCTTTACAAACTTTCCTGAGCACGTGGTTTCATGAATTGTTTTCAGACTGGAACACTGGGATGTTAACAATGAGAACCAGCACGGTGATTACTTTGAGCGTCACACCAATGACCCGGATATTACCGCCAAAATGTTTCAGTGGATTCACCAGGCGGAGCCGGGCGTCAAACTCTTCATTAACGAGTACAACGTCATCACAAACTCACAAGTTACAACGGTCTGTTCAATTTCGTCCTTCAAGATTTTGTTTATTGCACGTATATATCTTACGTGTTATAATCTCTATGCAAAATATTACTTGCAATCTTCACTATAAAGAATAGCCGTAAAAAGTTGCAAAAAGATTGAATAACATTTTGGAGATAAATTTTTAATTTACTTATTAAATACAAGTAAGTATGCGAAAAAGACTAAATCTTGGAATTTCATTAGGCGGTATTTTTGTCCTCCAATACTAGTAGTTATTTTAGATTTATTTGATTATAATTCAAATATATAAAATATTTATTTAATATTTTGTCATGAACTATAACCTTTTCCCTGGTTCCTGGTTTGAAGCAAAATTAGGCAATCGGTTTTGACTTTGAAATAAAGAGAAAAATTTAATTTCTTTTCTTTGATATTTTCTCAATTTCTACATGTATTTTTTTTTATTATTGGCTTGATTTGAATTTTATATTACTGAACAAGTAGGCCTATTTATAATCCAGCTTTCTATTAGACATAAGCATTTAAAATTTTTAGGCTACTCGAAATCAGGCTATTCAGCTCCGTAATATGGGTATACCTGTCTACGGCGTAGGAATACAGGGTCATTTCCACAGCGGTGACATAGATATAGACGTGGTGAAGGTAAAATTGAACTTATAATCACTTATTATATAGTTATTCGTCAATAAATGAATTTTAAAATTCTTAATCATTCTTAATAGTACAGATTAGATAAAGTAGCAGAAGCTGGCCTGAAAATCTGGATAACAGAGCTCACCATTTCGGAAAGTGACGTAAACAAAAAAGCTGCGGCTCTGGAAAATCTCCTGACTCTGTTCTTCAGTCATCCGGCGGTAGAGGGCGTTATGTTCTGGGGATTCTGGGACGGTGCAATACACCACTCAGTTGATAAGTTATTCGAAGGACCAAACTTGACGGTATTTAAAAAGTACTATTTCAAACAAGTTTTGTAAATATGTATAATTTCATTATATTTTTAATATTACATTTCCATACCGATAAACTCCTGCAAAAAAACAAGTCTGGTATAGATACGAGTACATGTAGTTTTCGATAGGCCAGAATTTAGCAAGAATTATTTCCCGTTGACCGCCATATTGGAGGTCCAAATGCATATATTCCTTTATTTTTCAACCAACTTTAAATCTTAATATTTGCCATTCTGGGATAGGAACCATTGTTTTTCTGAAGTATAAATATTTTTTGAATCCTCCTTTTTTGAAAACATTATTTCATAAAGATTTTTCACGAAACATTTCTGCTACATCCTTTTAAACATAGTAAGACAGAGAAGAAAAATCGTCGTTGACCTTCAATATGGCGGCCATCAGGATATGACTCTTGCTTTAAATTCAGACCTTTTGAAAACTATGCAGTGGCGTAGCATCGTTTTTGAAAGCCAGCCAGAGAAAATTTTTTTTTACTTGCCTGAAAAAGTTGACAAGCAAAAAAAAAAAAAGAAAGAAAAAAAAAAAACTACTTTTAGTACCAATTCTAATACTACATTTTCCGTACATCACTTAAGGTGGGGGGGGGGGGGTCAACCAGGCTTTCAATTAACATTTCCTATAGTATAAGTAAGGTTGGGAAAAAAAGTGGGGGGCCAGGCCCCCCCTGGCCCCCCCTGTTGCTACGCCCCTGCTATATATACAAATTTGCGGCGTTAAAAACGTAAACATATCTTGATCTTTCCTACACAGCCAAACAAGGCGGGACAGGTGTACCTTGACTTAGCACGTAAAGCATGGAGAACCGACTTTACCCATGCAATAAGCACACACAGTGGAGTTCATACATCCGGGTTCCTTGGTGATTACGTACTGAAGGTTAAAAGTAATGGCCACGTCATTCATCAGGAACAATTCACTTTAGACAAAACGGGGAAGAATTTGAGCATCCATTTAACAGGTTAATGGTTATAAAAAGTTTTGTTGTGTGAATTTAGTTATACTAAAAGAATTTTTCAATTTTAAATTATTAAACGTCTTATGTTATCCCTAATTTTGTATTCGATTGTCATCTTAGTTGAAAATAAATTCTTAATTCAAAATTTTCTTCGATTTCAGATGATCATCAGGTCTCCCATATTGCATTTGGATGAAAGCGATACTAGTGTTGATCTTTTATAAAAAAAATAAAATAAAAGGATGCTGGGGATTTTAACAAAGTATCTGTTGTCTTTTTCAATTACTTCAATCAAATATAGTGACGTTGAACTTTGTAAGATAAGTTGAAATATTATCGAATCATGCAATTATAAAGTTATGAAAACTGTTTTATTTTTAACTTTATATTTTGTTACACAAGACATAAAATACCGATAGCAGAGCAGTTTTACGTTTAGTGTCATATAATTGTACGTGAAATCTATAGTAAGAGGGCGTCTGTTTCATTCATACTTCTTAACTCCTTCGATCCTCTACATTTGTGATAAATCTCAACTATTTTGCGAAGCGATTCCTTTCTCAAGACAATGTACAACCAAGGATCAATAATTGCATTTAGGACAGTCAGTCGAAGAAGCCATAACTCGATTTCGTTGTTTTCGTTGTTTCTGAGGTTTAAGGCATGCAGGAATATATCAACCTAAGAATGAAATCACATAAAAAGATTTAATTTTATTCAAAATTTTATCGGAAGGGTTTAACATCGTTAAATAATGATATAACTTACCACAAGAGGGGTCCAGAGAAAAACAAATACGACGGTAACAGCGCTTATAAAAATGATCACGTGAGAGTCATAAAATCCGGAAACAACACTGGTGTCCAGAAGGTTTCCTCTTTGTACTGGATCTCTGCATATCCGGTACATTGTGAGAGTGTTAATGGTTAAAGTACCCAAAATGATAAGAAAGCCTATAATGGAATACAGGTACGCCATGACTCGGTTTCCCGTAGTATCATCAATAAAATCAAAATAACACCAGGATCCCGGGAAATACATATTACTCCGCCCAACTCCAATTAAATGTAAACAAGATATCAGGCTAGATAGAATCCATATTCCAATGAGGATAAGTGTATAGTTCCTGTTTGTAATGAAAACTGAATTTCTGAGATGCATGAACCGGTCAACAGACATGGCACAGATAATTAAAGCTGCAGACAAATGAGCGTCGACGAAGACGAAGGAAGTGAATTGACAAAGTGGCTTCGGGTAGCACCACTTGAAATGGGTAGCATACCTGTGCATCACAAACGGATATACCAGGAATATCCCCATAAAGTCCGTGATTACTAGACCAGTGAAGAGTTTGAAGAAGGAAAACCATTGATGTTCTCGGCGGTTGATCCAGAGAAGAATAAAGGCGATGATATTACCAGTGATTCCAAAGAAATATTCCAATCCAGCAGGCACCCATTGAGTCTGGGTATCATTTCTATAGCATATAGGGTAGTCATACTTTGGAGAAGACGAATTCATGCTGAACCATCTAAACAGTTCAACTGAAATACTGCATAATAACATAAAGATAACATACACATTTTAAATAATGATATCTAATCTGACAAAATATTGTTCTGTACATCAACTTTATCGACGGAATAAAATTAGAAAAAAACATGTTTGGCCAAAACATGCCTTTGAACTAAGCAGACATGAAATGTTTCTTATCATTGCGGTAACTGACTATATTGTCCTATGAAATTCACACACTGATTACATATACGAAAAACTTTCAGACAGCCATATTAATTATCCGTAAAAACATCTAATAATAGATACATAAATAAACATATTAAGAAATACATAACTTTTTGCTTTATGGTGCGTCAATCAATACTCAAGTTTCGAGATTATCTCCCTTGATGCGCTCTTTCGTTGAGAAGGGGAGTTTCGTTGCCGCGTAAACAGAGAGGTGGGACAGATATTTATATATTTCCATTTCTAATTTTTTTCCTCTGTGATAACTCTTAAAAAGTTAGGGGTAGTTTATTTCTTGATAATTCTGCCGGAATGCAAATTAGGCAGGTCGATAGGTCGGGAGCTAAGGAGGCTTAATACGCATGCAATTCTCGTGCGCATCTGTCTTTGTGTCTGACGCTAAGGAGGCCAAATATGCATGTAGATCTCGTGCGGCTGCCTTTGTGTTTGACGTCAGTTGGCGAGGACTATTGAAATTGGCATGGAAGTCCTCATGTGATTTAAATCTATTAATCTACATTTTAAAAGTCTAAATCTACAATTTTATTTCACAATGAAATGGAAATATAAGGAATCACTGTCTAGTTAGTTTAGTATGCCAGGGACATCAACGATAGTGGGAAACATGGGATAATTTTTGCATTCCAACTATCGTTGATGCCCTAGCATACTACACTAACTAGACAGTGATTCCTTAAACATTGGATACATTGCATCTTCGATATACTGGTTTATCATACATGTAACTACATGACTGTCAGGATGCACTTTACAGCTCGAGAAAAACCGAATTAATGTAAAGGCACAATTTTTAAAGCAAAAAAAAAAAAAAAAAAAAAAAATCGTAACGAAAAAGAAAATATCAGTGGATGTGATCCTTTTCAGACGAGGGAAGAGAAATAGATCTCTAATAAATACGGTACACATGTATCTGATCATTGCACGTCGGCAATCTAAATGACATATTGATTCTTTTCCTTATTGTAACTTAAAAAAAAGCACAAACTTTTTAGAAAATGTTTGTATAATCAAGAAAATCGGTTACCTTTTATAAAGACTACCGACGTTTCTTTCGTTTTCAAGTACCCTATAATTGAAGGTAGATTTGTAAATATGCATAGTTGAGCTTGATAAAACCATCAAATGCATCACTGCTTAACATTATTATCTTTCAATAACATTTAATGAATTTTAAAAGCCCTAAATATCGTTCATTTATTTATGCACGTTTGTATACAGAAACAACCTGTCCCACCTCCATGTTGAAATGAATACTTTTTGTGCCTCTCTCATAGGAGAGTTACAATCTGGAAACTTGTAAGTAATAATTTGCTGAAAAGTCGGCGGCTCAGTGTATTACTTAGCAACCCACATCATGCGCGGATCTAGAGGGGGGTGTGTGTGTCCGGATTCCCCCTAACCCCCCTTTGAATTGTTAGAGTTATTAAATCAACTTTTAATCAAGTAAAAAGTTACCTTGCACCCTCCCTATAAAACACAGACACCGCCCCCCCCCCCCCCCCCCCCCCTCCCCCCCCCCCCCCCCCCCCCCCCCCCCCCCCCCCCCCCCCCCCCCCCCCCCCCCCCCCCCCCCCCCCCGTGAAATAGATTTCCACATTTTGGCGAGATAAGGTGTTTTTTTATTTGGCTTGTCAACAAATTTCTGGCTTGGATTTTTCACTTGAGTGGACCCCCCTCCCGGAAAAAAAAATCCTGGATACGCGCCTGCAAATGGACAAATAAGTTCTGTCACATGCTGAGCAAATTTATGAAATACATTTAATGATTAATTTTCAATTAGAAAAGGAATAGAAGGTATTTTTATTCGCGATCGATGTTATTAGAGATGTTCTGATTTTCCCTATATATATATTTTTTTTATTAATTTTAATGATGAAGTTTGAAGAAATTCATGCATGGTTAAATATAAATTACTTTGAGAATTCAGAGATATTTTTGTAAGCATTTTCAGTTATAGAAGGCCTGCTTTTTGGAACTCGAGGATCGGACTACCTTAAGTATAGTTCTTTTAGAACGAATGCATTGGTTTTAATTATTTAATTTTTAAAAATTTATGCGACAACTTAAGCAAAGCAAGAGATGCTAGAATGCGGATAAGAGTAACTTGTTCATGATGCCTGGGCATATATATAACTTTATCTCTCGCTGATCTACAACGACCTGCCTCTTAGTTATCAATATGTATACATAAACATAACCTGATAAGAAAGATCAATATTTTGATTCGTAGAAAGAGGACCAATGAAATTATTCAAAACGATGCAATACCCCAATAAAAAACATATCACTTGAAGATTAAATACTCATTACATGAAAACTAGTACAGACTTGACTAAAGGTTGCAAATGGGTGATCTAAATACGAGTAGATCAACACACAACAACATAAATATAGCAAAGTACAGTTAAAACTGGCACCTTGTATGTAAGGTAGTTTAAGGTTCACAGGTGGATTGAAAATGTTCGAAACACTGATCGTATTGTCATAAGTTTTCTGAACTTTTCATTTAGATTTCGGTATCAAAAATTTTTTTTTCATAATATTTCACATGTTCAGAAAGATCGGTATAGAAGCCAATAAAGGACTTATCGTGAAATTTTATTTTTGAATTTGATACATTCGACACTTTCAAAAATTGCGAATGATAATTTAATTAGAAAATTCGTTACAAGAAATTTTGATGTGTAAATAACGGCTTAATATTTAGTATGCAAAACGTCAGTCTGCACATGACTTATTGCTAGATTGTATTTGCTGACCAAAGTCCTCACGAAATAATGACTTTAAATGGGGCTTCTTGTTTCACCAACTTGTGTGTCAATATCTTACCTCTTTTCAAGAATAGTTCATACGTAGAGCATGTCCTTAGGTATCGAATCAACTGAGAGATATAAACTCCATATACTGGTGATAAAGGTTTGATACATAAGTAAGGAAAGTTGACAATTGAAGAGTTAATGTTATCATCATGATGTTTATCTAAATTCTTTGTTCTAAGATTACCATTGACGTTGTTTGAGTAAAATATTCCTTTTTTCAACATTTATTTCCCAGACTTATAACAATGAACAATTGATATGTAGGGCAGCTGCCATGGATGGGGCCCTGACTAAGCTCCCTCTATAAAATACATAATAGTAAGCCCTAAAGCACCACGCAAGGTGCTTTATTTTTTAAATACAAAGTCACAAACAATTATACATCTAATACAATGCACAGGTATATCAATTAAGTTGTATTGCATATAAATCAAATAATATATACATGTATGTATATATAAATATGTAATCAATTTTAGTGAGAATGTACAATATAATGTATAACTGTGAAAAGATCACATTGTATTTTATTTAAATCAGTAGTGAGGAAAACAGGTAACAGTTAATCGAAGTCTGTTAACATATCTAATGTTAATTTTAAATCACTGTTAAAGTTGCTCTTATCTTTTCTTAAAAGTTGAAAGATTGATTTAATTTCTTTCTTGAAGTCTTTCAAGAGTACTGTATTGAAGTAGTAATATTTTTATTTTTAAAATATTCATTTATGAAATAGATGTGTCAGACTCTATGATATCGTTTATTTCAAACTCACCGGGATATATCGTATAGTCATAAGAAAGGAAATAACCATTGTTAATAGACATTACGTCGTCGATATATCTAATTATCGAGCTGTAGACCGTAGCAAGTGTTTTCTTTTTTTTTTCTTATAAGATTCTGAACAAATTCTGCTTCATATGTATAAAAATGATTCTGCTAAAAAAGGGGCGCACTATTGGTTTCCATGGGGATTCCAACAGAATGTTGCAAGACCTAGTCTAAAAAAACCAAAAAGATATTGTCAATTAGGAACTCAGGTATCTTTTCAATATCAACTACAGAGAACTTGTGTGTATAATTAGATTTTTTAATCAATAAAGTAATTTTGCAAATGACCATTGACAAGGTAAGCAAATTTATGAGTTCCATTTTTATTGAAAAAAGCAGCTGTTAATGACGGAAAAATGCATTGACTTTATTTTGTTTTAGGAATTGTTGTAAATAATATAAAAGTTGAAAAAGTGGTAAGTTTTCATGTCATTGGTATTGTGATTTCAAATTTTCCAAAAATTCCTTGGTGTCCACATCTGATTTTCACTACTTCTGAAACACATTGTTGCAAATGAGTGTCTTTATTCATAAAGTTAACATTAAATCCTTTTATAACGGATAATGACTCATTTCGAACTTATTTGTGATAAAACATTACAGAGGTTATGCAAACATTTTAAGCAATTTAAAATTTTCGTTCCATTTTTTTGTAATATTAGAATGCAACATATGATGACATTGATTGATTATTGAATTATGATTTTCGGTTGTCAATAAAAGTATTTTTGTAAAACACTTTTAAATAATACAGTACTGAAACTGTGATAATGAATAAAAGAAACACGGTCTAAAGTATCAATGCTAGAACAATTAAGAATCTATTGTTTGCTGTATTTGCCTTGGCCTTTAAATGATCAATGTATAACAATTACTCTGGCCACATGTAAAAAGTTTTACCCGAACTCACATTAAAGGCTATTGTCCAGTTTTTAATCTCCTTTACTGTTGATGTCACCTTGATGATGACATGTGCAGCCAGGTTTACAGGACTCTAGAAAAGGGTTAACCCACATTGCCAATAATTTTGCCAGTAGATAATTAACTGCATAAAAGAAAGCAGAATTAAATATTTTTGAGTACATAGTTTAAACTTTACGTTAGATTTAAGGTAATTGAGATGATGTTTTTCCTCTCAAGAAACATGACCATTTTACCTGTTAGGTTGTTGTAGGTTGTTGTATTCTCCTTAGGAAGTATTTTAAAGAAATTAATTTATTATAACAAAATCGTATAGTTTGTAATTACGAATCAAAAAGAAAACTGTGAAAATAAATCAGATCTTTTAAATGAATTCTTAATTTTTCATAAAGAATTATATTCGATTGAAAATCATTTAATATTCAGCCACTTATATTCTTGAAGGGGAACACATGTTTTTATTGAAAACAATCTATTTAAATTGTCATTTACAACCTTGTCTTGAAGTCTATGTGTCTGTGTGCTCAGATTTATAAAAAGTGCGTAGTCTATGGGATCAAATTCTTTTGCTAAAAATCAATAACATGTGCAATAAACAATAAACATGCATGAGGTCATCAAATTTAGTTGCTTTGCTTGATTGTTTCATTTTAAAAATAAATATCATAAATATCAGGTTAATTACGTCCTTGTCATTTATTTTTACAAATTAAAAGCAAATGAAAATGGGTTATCAGAATGACACTATCTAACGTGTACAATGAAGTTCAATTCAGCATGCTTTAATCATTTTGCACAATGTTTATTATCAATGAGGATGTTGATACGACCAGAAACTCTGTAAAATTATATAATCTCCTGTATTATTACCTGGCTATTTTCATTTATGATAGAGGATACAACAGCATACATATAAAGGTATCTTTTGAGAAACAGATGGTACAAAATGCACGGAATTTCAATGGAAAACCAGACGATTGTTCCATACAACGACTGTAAAAACTCGGAAACGGCATCGTGGGTTCCCCCCGCCTTAGAGTTCTTTTTCGGTATTCTTGGAAATGTCATCGCAGTACTCCTAGTATGGATAAATCGGAAGGATCATCGATGGTCATCTTTCTACAAAATGTTTACAGCATTAGCAGTCACAGATTTTATGGGAATCTTACTAACTTATCCTTTCATCATCAAGAGATATACTTCTCGGTTCACATACTGTTTTTCACCCGATGTATGTAAATTTACCGCCTTTGTTATGGTGGATACTCATTTAGCTTCTGCTATGTTGATCGCTGCTCTCTCTGTAGATAGATTAATTGTTTTGAAGAATCCTTCACTTTTAAGGGCCCCGCATGCTAAGAAAAGGTACAAAGTCATTGTGGTGTTTATATGGATAACTTCCTCAGTGATATCCATGTTGCAACTGGTTGGTGTTGGTTCAGTTAGCTTGTATTATCCCGGATCATGGTGCTATTTCAATTTCAAAGAACCCACTGGTGGTGATCTGATTATGTCATACCTTTACTCAGTAATAGGCTTATTAATCATATTCATAACATTGATTTCAAACGTCGTTACATTGCGCAAAGTTTGCATTGATCCCTTTGCCAAAGGAACTCTTCTAGATTCGAACCTCGTTTCCGGTTACTACGACCACCACGTGATGATTTTCATCCTGGCAGTTACAGTGTCGTTCGTAGCAACGTGGAGTCCACTAATTGTACGTACAAAGTCTATACGTAAAATTTACAATTTATGCTTGTGCTTTATATTTTTTTCTTTAAGTTAAGGATCAGATAACCCCTGAGTTTATATTTTTTATTCATGAAACATTTGTACACTGAAAGAAAAACCTAGTGAATTTAACTAGTGTGTTTCGTAAAGCGTTGGTCGTGATTAGTAAACTTTCAGTTTACTGGTTAAGATAGTGAGTTGTGGAGCGGGGGTCGTATAGATACTTAGATACCTAGTGAAAGTTACTCATTAAATTCTAAATTTACTAATCTTATCTAGTAAATATACCAATATCTGGTAAAACTACTATTAAGGTAGTGATTGTATGGACAGTGAATCTACTAGTTTTCCTCGTGACATTAATTAGTAATTTTTTTTTTACAGTGCATGTACCTTGTTCAAATTATTTTCTCGGAGGTCTTCATATATACGTGACTATGTACATGTTTCTTCAGATGTTATGAACAAAATTTGAAGAAAAAAAAATACTTCACAATTTTCTATTGACAAATTATATATGTATTATTTAAAAAGGTGGAGATATTTAACAATGATCTATCTTATAAAATCTTTGGTATCCATCTCCTTTTGTATTTTTCACTTTCAAAACTTTCACACAGAATTTGTTTGTTATTTTGTATGTGTCTGTATTTGTGCTTTCTGTGAAAGAAAAAACACAAAAAGCAATATTTCTTCTGACTTCGTTCTTGGGGGCATAAAATAGAATTTTATGAATAACTGTAAAACAGATTTTAAGTGTATTCGTAAATTAACCCATATATAATTATATAATCAAGGCAATAATTACAGGAAATTAGGATAGTCTAAGTTCAACAATTACAAATACATTTGTTTTTTGCTTGCTTATCGTCATTGCATACATTCTAGGTTGTATTTTGTAAAAAAAAAAAAAAATAAAAAAATAATAATAATAATAAAAATATATTTTTTTAAATTCATCTTTTAAGTCGAGGATCATTTTTTTCTGTTTTACTTTGATTTTAAGTCATAAATTGAACAAACATAAACTAGCGCTTAGAGGAATGCTAATTAACAGATAGATTCATGTTGCGTCCAAGATAATATTTTAAATATTCTTTTGAAGACTGATAATCCTTCCAAGGCTTTTATTCTGATTAGGCACTGGGATTATGAAATAAGAATACATAATTAAATACTCATTAATAATGAAGTAATCGTCTAAATTACGGTCTATTATTTGTTTGTTCAAGTTATATTTTCATAGTTGAATAAAAAAACTTTGAATATTAATGCTCCCATCCTCACCTACTTTAATTGATCATTGATTTTAAATGTTTGTTTTCTAAAGTTTTTACAAATATTAACTTTTACCTGTCTTTTTTAGGCTTGAAAATAGGAGATAGTAATCAATGTATTTGTATTTTTCTCGCGATCTTTATCTCTAGTGCTGTTGGGATGCGTATAATTATTCTAAAATACTGATCGTAATCTTGTAAAACATTAAAAGCAGGAATAATTTTTTTGTCTTATTGTCAAAAGATTAAAATTCGTAGTGCTTTCCATATGCATGTTCCTCGATTCCCTATTGTTTTCAATATATTTACTTTAAAACGCAACGATACTTGTAAATCTTTGATAACAAGCATGTCCGTTGTATGTTAAAAGATGTAGAAAATATCAAATTATATGTTGTTATATCAAAGGCTAAAACAATTTACATATAGTCTTTTTTGCTTGACTTTGTAGTTTTTATTGCATTAAAATTTTGCTAAAAACATCAATCAGTGCTTCTAAGAACAGTTATATGTATGAAACTTAGTAACTTATTTGATTGAATGATTCTTAATTAGCTGTGATTTATGAGTTTGAAAAAGCATAAATTCCCCTCCAATTTTTCCGCTGAGAGTTTTTTTTTTAAATTTTAGGTTGATATTTTTCTACACGCTGCAGGACAAAGAACGGGCGCTGGGAGACTGGAGTTATGGTTCGTTCGGTTGACGTTCCTGAATGCTATCATCGATCCCTGGTTGTATATAATTCTCAGAAAAGAGTCCGTCACAAAACTGGTGTCTTTATGCAGATTACTTGGAAGTCAAAGACCATCTGAACAGGAATCACTGCTAGAATGATTTAAAATCTATGTATTCCTTAAAGAATATATTGAAGACCTTAAAATGTTAATTCAAATGAAAAAAAAATCAATGTTTTTCTTAAATGATTATTAGATTCAGATACTTTACATAGTTATTATGCATTGTTCTATGCAGATGTTTAATGCTCTTTTGTATGGAACTGCTATTTAATAATTCTTTAATATGCCTTTATATTGTCATTTTCATTGAACGATGCATTGCGATTATATTTATGTATATTCTTCATGAAATTTTAACAACCTCATTTATATAAGATCTTGAATTCTTTGGTCGTTGTAATGATGCTGTTTGGAAATAAAATCATTTTATTCGTTAAGCTGAGAAAACTGAGTCTTGAATCTCTTTGTAAACAGTATAGTGGTCATTTAAAATTGAGGAAATGCAACAGAAACAATTATTTAATCATATTTTGACAAACAAGTGTAATTCCAATTGTAAGGCTATTGCTTATAATTTTAATTTGACTTTGGTTTATTTTCATCTACCCCATTCATTCCCGGCAGGTATGACCGGTCGACAGGGGATGCTTATTCTTCCTTGGTAGCTCATCCCGCCTCTGGAATTTCCATGGGTCCATGCTTTATGCCACGATCACAAATTTGTATTTTATAGCCTTTTTGTGACACATGTAGATCACTTTTTGTAATTTTCACCTTTTTAAACCATTTACCTGTAGTCATTATTTGTACCACACCTTGAAAGTTGATGTTTTTCATTGACAGGTTTATTGTGACTAGGGTCTGTTGACCTATCGGTGTTTATGTCATTAGATTGTAAGACATATTTATTAAAACTTATCATTGGATAATATTATAATAGAATTAAAAATAAATAAATTTAAACATTGTCAGAAATTAAAATAATTTTAATGTCTTCTACACTTGATATCGACTCTTTTTCTTGTATACATGTAATGTAATGAGATAGTGATAAGTCTGATTTAGAATATACTAGAAATAGGTTTAGATTAAGGATCCCTAGAAGCTTTGTTCTCAAGTGAAGTTTTAAGCCAAGAAGGACAGGATAAATCATATTGATATGAAAGAAGCATCTCCATGTAGCATATAGTTGAATTTGTTTAAACTATGACATCAATAGTGGTAAGACTTTATGAACATTAAATTTTCTCGGTAAGAGATACTGAAAATCTGCACAAAAACTACAGACATTTTTATGTGGAACCATGAGGGTCAGGTAAAGGGTCATTTAAAAAAAAAATATTCTATTGGATGTTTATAACAGACATTCCTATTCAAAATGAAAAGGGGTAAAAGACATCAAACTGATTAAAACAGCCTGTTGTAGTTACTGTACTGCATATTCAACTTATTTCAATTCTTGACCACATGGAGTTATGCAAGGACCTTAGAATAGGGTAAAAATTTGGGGAAGATAAAGAAAATCTTAACGTCTGGAAAAAGCAGTTTTTCTGTTAATCATGGCTGGGCTTATTTTTTGTCGCAGAGTAACTTGTTTAACCGTGTTCCCTAAAAAGGAAGGTGAAATATAAAATAAAAATATTCCGTATCCAAATAGCTTCCTTTCTCTCTAATATTGAAATTGAAAAGCATGAAAACAAAGAAGGTCGAGTTTAATTACGTTTTTAAAAAATCCGCATGTTAAATTTAATAAAAATTCAGGATATTGTAATGGTTTCTCTTTGATCAATTCTTTATCCAAATGCAATCTGTGTTACTTGATGGTCGTCTGAAAAAAAAAAGAGAGTCGAAAATATAATTATTTCTATAACAATCTGTAACGAAATCAGTCTTAAAACTATAAAACATGTTTTTTCAAAGAAATCTATCACTTTAAGAAGGAAATAAACAAACCTGTAACGTGGATTGTAATATCCTTCCTTGCAGAATCAATCACCAGGTTTTCGCGGTGAATTGTAGTTCCATTATGCTTAACCAGCAGTTGGTAGTCTCCTTTAAACACACTGGTATGTAACACGTGACCGGAAGTAATTGTATGGGTATAATCTGTCCACCATGTCTTCTTTACCAAATCTAAATATTTTTGTCCAGCAGCATTTGCCTGTAAAAGGCAATTTGCAACTTTGACCTTAACACAAATTGCACTACAGTAGTACGCATGCACAATTTTTATTGACTGATTGTTCGTTATGTTCTTTTACGCCCCGTTCGAAAACATCCCGATGAAGGGCTTCAAATTTAGACCTTTACTCGATCGGCATGCATGTCCAGGGTCATTGAGCAGTGAAGGATTTTTATTGTTCCAACCTTGTTATTTCGGCTTGTATCGTCCGAAGGACCCGCAATTTTTACTTCAAAGTGCCGAAAGTTAGCGAAGGAATTGTTGATGCCATTTTTTTAAAATATTGAGATCAGTACCTGCCGAGGCTTGAACGCACGACCTTTCAATCACGGAGCGAGCGCTCAACCGAATGAGCAGCCGTGTGGATTCTTACCGTTATAGATGGTCCAGTAAATAGTGATCTCTCCTGATCACGTATGGCACCATCCCAGAATCCCCACAACAGAACGCCTTCTACCGCAGGGTGACTGAAATACAGAGTTAGAAGCTCCTCCAAAGCCGCTGCCTTCTTGGTGCTGTTTGATTCAAAAATCGTCATCTCTGTGATCCAAATCTTCAGTCCAGCTTCTGCTACTTTATCCAATCTGTACTACAAAGACAAAATATACCCTATATCTGATCTGCATTTAATACATAGCTTTTCAGATATTACATAATATTAATTTCACATTTGTGCAGGGTTATTTTGAATTGAAGAATTCAATTTTTAAATATAAAAACCGTTTATTTCCTATTCAGATTTCTGATATTTTACCGCATTTGATATACAAGTTTCGAGAAAATTACGATTTAGATATTGTTTGTATTGAATGATGAACTTCATACTATACAACTTATAATTAAGCAATCTGTATATGCACCTTAATTATATCCTTGTGGATCTGAGAAGTCTTGAAGTGACTCTGAATACCTATTCCATACAACGGAACTCTGTCTTTTAGTAGCTGTAGTGCCTGGTTCTTTAGAGCCTTCAGAAATTTAAATTAATTCATTTAATGTTTAAAGCCAAGGCTTCATATCTTTATACACATTATTTAAAATTCAGGGGAAATAAAATTAGAATCACCGTAGTGAAAAGATTTGAAGTTACAATCTTGTAGTCATTAAGGAACAGTTTTGATTGGGGCTGAGCGACGTGAAGCCAGTGGAACATTTTTTGGATGATATCAGGGTCACCAGTGTGTTTCTCAAAGTAGCGTCCATGTAATGCTTCGTTATAAACATCCCAGTGATCTAAACTATGTTTCAAGAAAAGTACCAAGTTTATAAATGCACCTCTTCTAAAAAATGAATTTGTAAGAAAAAAATCATTTGAATAATTTTTTTTTCAGAAAACAATTATTTAATTGTAACTCCAAACGTACGTTCCATTAGTATGTGACGCAATGTCATTGATGTGTCTCTTCATTTCATTGATGTAACATGTGTGGGACTTTCCTAATAACCACTTTGGTGAATGTCTGTCTACCGCCCAAAATAAGTTATGCCCCCTTACATGCAATCTAGAAACATTAAAATATTTCTTAATACAAGGTGACGGTTTCCTTAAACAAACAATACACACGTATTAAAAGAAAAAAAACCCCTTTTTACCCATATGACACAAATCTTAAAGGAAAGGAAGATAGCATACGAGGACTGTTCAATAAATAATGTCCTGAACAGTATGACATACAATACAGATATCATATGACATTAAGCTTGACGCTATCTCATTATTGAATCTTTAATGAATATATAACCGTTTATGTGACCACTTTTCATCACATAGTTTCATTGTGAGAAGCTGGAAAACAAGGGCTATTCGAGACACTGCATTATAAATGAATGGTAAAGAATCAGTAAACTAAAGTGAAAATAAAAGCTTCATTAAAGCTGCTGTAAAACTTGTTAAAAATCCCAAAGAAATATTTACTGAAATATGTGAAATTTACAGCAATCAAAGCCTGTTTTATAGACAAATGAGCAGGTGGATTTCAATGATAAAAAATTATATAATTGGCATCAAAAATGGGTACCGTCCTTGCCAACAAAAAATTATAACAACTTATGTACTGTTTGCCTAATTTCAACAAATGATATTTGATGATGTATGATTGACTTTAAGACACATAGCAAATTTGATAGACATCATTTCGGGAGTAGTTTACACTGTTTTTAAGAAACGTTTGACCGTAAAAAAGCTTAGTACTCAAAGGTCACCCTATAATTTAAAAAATGAGTGAAAACGACAGCGTGTACGAATGTCTTAACAATTTTTTTTAAATATCAGTAATTGTACTTATCCACATTTGTTTGAAATTCAAACAGATAATGAAACTTGAATCTATTGCTTAAAACCCTCAAAACAAAATTTACCATAAGATGTACTTGACAAAAACAGCGAAGATCTGACAAGCGCAAAGAATTGCAAGAGCACAAAGACATATTTATATGCAATTTTCTTAAATTTCAGTGGTATTGTTGTTCAAATTCATATTCGGGGAGACAGTTTAATTTGTGGAGGATTCTTTAAAGCAAATATTGTGTAAAAAAAATCGAAATGTTTATTAAAGGAAGGACCCAGAATCAGGAATCCACTACATTAAATTTCTTCATGACAGCGTCCAAACCCTCACGCCCTGAAGAGTAAAGGAGTTTTGGGGATAAACAGAAAGTTAATGTTTTTTCACATTAACAATATTCGCCAGATCTTTGACCTTTTGACTTGTTTCTATTTCCAAACTTGAAAAATACCTTTCAGAAGGAAGAAACAAGTCAAGGAAATCACAGGATCTGCCATTTTCCAGTATACTAAAGGTCATACCCAAAAATGAGTTCTAAAAACAATCGGAAATTGGATAAAAATGTTACGGACATGTATTTTAATTAAAAGAGAATATTAAGTTAAATCATTAAGACTAAATCATTCAAAAGCGTCTATTGCTTCTTGTCGAGCACCGAGGACATTATTTATTTAACAGCCCTCGTATTTTACCCATGTGACACAACAGATTGAAAGGCAAAGAACACCTCATTTACCCATATTACGCGCATTTTGAAAGAGAAAGATCATTTTATATGCCAATGTATCACACTTCTAAGAATAAGAACATTCTTACCCATGTGATTGTAGTGCCGATATTGCTGCTACAGCTGTATCATACTGGGAATTCCCCTGTCAATCAAAATATAAATCAATGATACTTCTCACTTTTAAACAGTTGTTATGTCTTCAAGGTTATTCCGTTTAAATACATATCTAACCTCTGACCTCTCCACGTGGTTCCACTTCAGAGCATTTGCCAGGACAGCCCAGTTAAAGTTGTTAAAGACAAAGTCCTGATAGACCTGGTGGGCGTCATCAACAAGAAAAGATGCTTTTACTGCTGCACCAAACGGAAAGGCGTGTCTCTGCTGAACAAGCTGTATAAATGTTCTTTTGTTATGGATATGTTGGTATATAAAACAACTTATCAAAATCAACTATTTATAAAACATACTTATACATTTACCTGTATTGATAAATCATTAGCTTGTGTTCCATGCGCCATCCTGTGAATTGATTTTGCGATTCATCTTTTATGAATGGTTTTTAAAATGGTTATCAATTAAATTCTTTTTTTACTATTTTATTGATATCTGAGCGACACAGACGTCTTCCTGATGTTACTTATTCTACTGACAGCATCAGAATGCCAGTGTTGAATATGAGGAAGCTGTTGTAAACTGCAGTCATCCAGTAAGTAGTCAACAGAAGGCTCGGTTACTTGAAGGAATAACTTCACACTGGTTGTACCTATTGAAAGGGCCAATTGAATAAAGTAACGGTTGCAGAGTAATGCATAAAAGAAAGTACTGACCTTATATAAATGCTGGGGAAGTACTAGTACACAGTAGTAGGGATTAAGTTATTTTTTCATGGATAATTTTGATAGGCTGATATTTTATATCGAAATGTTCAAACATTTTTAAGTTACCCTCAAAGTTAGTGATTGTTAAATATGTAATCAACAAAACGAAATCCTTGGCATAATGTCTTAAATATAATGATTACTGATGGTTTTAATTGAGAAAATAGCACAATATCTTATAAAGCAGGTTTCAAATAGACACGATGAAATAATAAATAAATATCAATATCAATGCTTTTCAAGAACAATTTCAAAATCTAGTACTAGTACTTTTATATTTAAAAAGGTTAAATCTACGATAATGCAGAGGGAATTTTACTAAGTTTATTTTTTACATACTGTAATAGTTTTTTCGATTTTTTCTCAGAAATTTATGTGTGTTACATGTATATATATATATACATCAACATGAAAATATAACCTTTGACAAAGCTCATTTATAAATGCTTATAATTAAATTTTGAATGTTATGCAGTGAAAAGTAATAATGAAAAAAAAATCCCACAAGACAACATATTTCAGGATTTTAATTTGAACATTGATTTCATATACTTTTTATAGTAGGAGAATAAAAACAATATGAGTAAACTAGGACTAGTGAGAGTTTTTATCATTCACATTTTTGTAATATCCAATTAAAAATAGGTAAAAGTTTAAATATTGACAGAGAAAATAGAACTTTATTGTTCAAACCCCAATGAAGAAAATAAGGTATTGAACAGTGATTGATCTATAAAAACAATACAAATCTTTAAACAGGGGATAGGACACGGAAATTCAGGTGATGGAACCAGGTGCCCAAGAGGAGTAAGCATCCCTGTTGACAGGACACATCGGTTATAAGCCTTATGTATTAAGTAGATAAACAGAACAACTCGTAGTCATATTTTATATAAAATAAAGTCTAACAATTAGCATGAAAGACTTCAGCCAAATACGACTTAAAAATAGGGTTGAATCGTTAACAAGGACATCACCCCGACTATGGAATTTGCAAAACTCTTTTTTCAACCCCATTGTTGACATTCCTACAATATCGACATATTCGTCAGTAGCCTTTTTACATTCGTATTTTTTTAAAAATCTATTTAGTGACATTATTTATTTAGTAACATTATTTAATTTTTATTATATATCCTTATCTAAAGAGTATTGTTACTTTATTTGTTAGTAGGAAAATTTAGGTCATAATGTTAAAAAATATTTCTCTTTCAGAGAAGTATAAAGAGAAGCATCTAAAAACAACTTCTCTTTCGATAATCTTCAATCCTGTCATCTTGCTTTGATTTTCTCATTAATTTTTACCTGCGGGTACAAAGAAATCGCCGCTTATTTCTGTCCAGCCATATCTCAGTTCTTGATAAGGAAGTACAGCGACATTTATTCCGTGAATTTTCCCTTGAAACATTGAAAAGATAAAGCTGATAACTAATTGTAAATATCTGTTAAACCAGATTAAATTGCATAAGGGAAGAATGTGAGGTAAAGACTAAACTATTTGGCTTTTTTTTTTTGCTTTGACGTTAAAAATAAAAACAGTAAAGAAGATATGGATCCCAAAGTACATACCATACACTGTGTTCTTACTCAGATTACATAACATGTTGCCAAGTTACTTAAGCAGATACCCGCATGTATTAACAATAGGATGTTACCGATACCGTATATACACCATGGTATTTTACTATACACCGTATGTTCCATTAGAACTTACCATGAGTGTTGACTGCAGCCATTAGATCAACCTCTACAGTAGTCACATTGTTTGGCATATCAAGCAATTTGAAATACATCCTACCGACATAGTTGTGTCCGGGAGGGACGTGTACGTTGGCCTGGGGTGACGACCAGTTATATTGTCTGATATCGCTTTATAGAAAATATCCATAACATTGCTGGAAAGGCGTTCAATGGAGTATCCCAAAATCTTATCTGAATTTAAATAAGTAAATAAAATTTATCCATAATAATTCTGAAAACGGATTCAATTGAATCTACAAAAAACTAGGTATACTTTACGGGGAAAAATATGAAATCCTCAGATTTAAAATACAATATCTTTAATGAAAAAATGAAAATGAAAATAAATCCAGAACCGAAAGTTTATCATTCTACTCATCAAGAGGAGAACTAATTAGGAATCACTGACGAAAACACTTCATTCAAGACTAGATAACCTTGACCTTTGAAATATAACCTTTCTTATAATAAAAAATAGTAGCAGTATTCACTTTTGTATGAAACATGTCTTAAAGTGGGAAAAAATAATACATGAACAAATGGACCCTAAGGTCGATAGGAAATGCTTACTCCTCCATAGCACCTGATCCATCCCCTGATGTGTTTAAAGGTGTTTTTGCTCTGGTCCCGATTTACATTGTTTTAAAGGACTTTTGAACTTTAAAACTTTTCTCTCCGTATTTCATTTCAGTGTATTACCAATGATCACGCGAGAATTGTCATGTCTGGTAGAAAGGACATTTGGTAAAATTAAGTTTTATTTTACCTTGGTTTAGCATATACATGTAAAGCCTTGGGCTAGGTTTATTTTACCTTATTTTAACATATAAAGGGTAGGCTGTTAATTTAGAAAAATAAATCTCATTGGAAGGAGGTTCAATAGGAAAATAATTCAGTTTGCCAGCAGCCACCCGTATTCAAAAAATATATATGCACCATTTAGAAGGTCCCATCGAATTATAACCCTCTCGTTGAAAAGTGTTGCGAATTCATTGGTGAATACAATGACATCTGTATTGTTTCAATGGCTTTTTGAGCTTGATCAGTGTTTGTTTTTTTTTTTTTAGAGATTTGTCTCCCAGATAATTTGATGTCCAAGAGCACCTACGATCAATATTAAAAATTAACATGTTATTGACAAATTAATGAGGATAAAATATCAAACATTTGTTTAGAGATCCGGGGTCTGCTCCGAATTTATATTATTTCAGTGGTATTCTGAGCTTGTTCACTGTTCATTAATTTCATATAATATTATACGAAGTTAAAGACGAAGAAAGCTTACTTGATTTATATATTCCTTCATAGAAACATATCCATTGATACTGCCAGATCAGTTAAACCTTCCATTTAACTCACCTGTTTGTAACTTTGATTGATTTACTCCCATGGTAAACGTCTGCTGAGTATGACGTCATGATACAATCCTCACAAACCCAACTCCCATTAAAACTTGTATTCTCAAAGTCCGCATTGTGAAGATATTCAGTTGCAGCCTCAACGAGAGAGGCGACAAAAGAAAGACCTAACCACAGAGGAAGTGAGTGCATTTTCTGATAATCTAAGAATGACTAGTGTACTATATTTTTACTTCAACCTTTTATCAGATAAAGAAAGGTTCAGTTAGTTTCGTTTGCCTTTTCTGGGCATGGCTTAATATCCAATTTTGAACTTCAATAAAAGCCAACAGAATACAAATATATATAATTAAATAGACCATGCTGCCAACTACATGTTGTTTAATAACCCAATGCTGATTTAAACAAAAATAAAGAACATTATTAAAATTTTCCTTTGATCGTTCTTTAGCCGAATGCAATCTGTGTCACGTGATGGTCGTCTGAAAGGAAATCAAAGATAATTTTCTATGGAGCGTCTCATTCAGGAACGATGTAAATGCTATATTTTATCTTTATCTAATCAAACATACCCGTTACATGGACTGTAATATCCTTCCCTGCAGAATCAATCACCAGGTTTTCTTGATGAATTGTATTTCCATTATGCTTAACTAGCAGTTGGTAGTCTCCTTTAAACACACTGGTATGTAATACTTGACCGGAAGTCATTGTATGGGTGTAATCTGTCCACCATGCTTTCTTCACTAAATCTAAATATTTTTGTCCAGCAGCATTTGCCTGTAAAACAATTTGTTTTTCCTTGCAAAAAATATGTCATTATTTAAGAAATAAGGTATCATTTTTTGAGTTTTATTGAGATGTAAAACGGGTTGGTCACGTGATCAAATCCCATAAAGCCCGAAGGGCTTTATGGAAGATTTGATCATGTGCCAACCCGTTTTACATCTCAACAAAACTCAAAAAATGATACCTTATTACTTATATTTACATTTGTGATTTATTCATACTTTATATTTGCCTGATTGTTACTTTTAACGCGTGAAATGCGTTAATTTTTCAAACCCAACGGCATGTATGTAATCCACTAAACACGCGTCGACCCTTTATGACGTCACAGAGAAATTACGTCGAACGTTTATCCAAACGCACATCTATGACCTCTTGACCCCATACCTGTATTTACACAGTTATAAAAACGCTTGCTTTCAGTAGTGTTATATAAAGGAAAACACTTGCAAATGTAAATATATGTATTCATTCCCGAAAAAGGTAAGTACAGATTAATGGTCGATCAAACGCTCTAAAGAACTTATGTGAATATAGTTTTCTGATTCTGATGGTGAAATACTGGAAAGATTAGATGGTTCGTTGGATTGGCCATTATCAGAACAATACACATGTACGTAGGCAAACATTGTAGCACTATAAGTACAGACTTTTGAAATCGAATAATCGTGACAAACTGGCACAACACAATTATACTTTACAAAGGATCATTCTCTATAAGGCCGTTTTGCGGCCTACAATGACTTCAAATTTT